CCATTGAGTACCCTATTTCATTAGGCTCTAAACAGCACTGAAAACTAATTAATATATCAGTCTGCCACCCCCTTTGAACGCTTTGATTACACTTTTAGCGTAGCACAAACATAATCAGAAACAGCTCCATGAACCACATCCCAGTAAGACTCTATATTCATTTTCATAAAGTAACATCATAAAAGAGGTGTTGAGCATAACAGATGAGGGAAGGCAAATGGACAGCTGACACCCAAAACATCATCAAGAAATACAAGCAGGCAAACCTCATCTGTAGAATTTATATGACTTAATAACTGCAATGTCAGGTTAAATTAATTCACAAGATAAATTGCATTTCAACATTTCTATTTTTGATATTAGCAAACTGCATTATAAAGGAAAATAAGAACTTTTAAAAAACAATTATACCGTATAATCATGTACAGTACAAAAGAAGAATGCAAGCAACTCTTAAGATCGCATTTTGTGAAGTACTAACACATTAGTATTCTCTTGAAGTAAGTGTCCCCCTCATTTTTGGATTTGAAAATAATCAACTTACAGGAGCCGGCTCTCAATGAGGTTCTCATTACATATATGTGCAGTATATATACTGTACATGTCTTTTACCAGGTTCTTTGTTCTCCTTTTTACTCAATGTGTATTGCTCTGAGTAAATTACTTGTGCTTTCCTAGTGCTCCCTCCTTTGGAAAACAAGTGAAATGACCTACACAACAAGCACCAGTAGTAACAGTTGTTGTTTGCTCCCTAGTTTCTTTGAAAGTCATTTTAGATAAAGGTTTGCTAAAAGACTTTCATTGTGAAGTACTGCACACTTCATCAGATCCAATTTTTATTTCATCATGTTAAGATTAGTCTGTTTTAAACTGAATGTATCAGTGGAAAGGGAAAGTTTGCCAGAAAGAGTATCTATTTCTAGAAGTTCCTAGACTCAGATTTGGCAGAGGCCAAATCTTCTCAGAGGACATGGAACAAAAAATAACTTGCAGCAGAGAAAGAAGTACATTAAATCCAATTAAAAAAAACATTCAAAACTCAAAATCTTTACCTTAATGGTTACAGAGGTAGTTCAAATCCCTAGCCGCTCGGCTAATTGAAGCACTCCTCTCAGTTCTCCTCTGGAAAAACACAGCTCGTTCACTTCCTCTGATAACTAAATACTGCCAGCTGTATCTGCTTCTCTGCAGCCCCTCCCACAGGCTAGGCAGCCCGTTTTTTTTAAGCAATAGGAAGAAGGGAAGAGCTGCTTGCAGCAGCAATCTTTGTGACACAAGTTTGTTGGTTAGCTATCTCTACGAAGCAAGCCAGTTATTTTCATTTTGGGAGCCGTGTGTGGCAGGCTGCAGTTTGGTTCTCCTGCCCAGTGACCTAACTTTGGAATCCACTTTGCAAGAGTGAACTGGACTGCTGTACCATGCAAGTTGTAAAAATCTAAAAGGCATTAATTGCAACAATGCTATACAATCCATTATAGAATCTCTAGCCTGCAGGAATTTGTTACCTGCTAGCTCTTTTCTGCACAGAAATATGCATCTTAATTTATATGATATGCTTCTTTGCACAATTTGTGTACTCCTACCCCCTTACACACCATCAATGTTGATTTAATTGGTTTTATTGGTTTCTAGTACTTTCCACACTAACTCCCCGAGTCTTCTTATCTCTTCCTATAGCTTTCATGTATCAGTTTTATGCTGGTCATTTATAAATCTTCCTTTCTTTTTCCCCGCATTGATGCCAATGTCTCTTTCTGTATCACTACCATCATCTTGTTCTTTTTCTTCCCTCCCTCTTCCCCTTCTGTGGATCTCCCCAAGTCCTCTCAAGTCCTTTCTTCATAATTAATAATAATAATTGCTTACACTTATATAGCGCTTTTCTGGACACTCCACTCAAAGCACTTTACAGGTAATGGGGAATCCCCTCCACCACCACCACCAATGTGCAGCCCCACCTGGATGATGCGACGGCAGCCATAGTGCGCCAGAACGCTAAGTAACATTTGCAAACCTCCCCCCTTTCTACACACTTTCTAGTCCATTCCCTGGTTTTCTCCTGTCTTGACTATTGTAATACTGTCTTTGCTAGCCTCTCTGCCTGTGGTCTCTGTTCGCTTTAGCTTGTCCAGTAATCTGCTGCTCGCCTTACCTGTTCTCGTCTTGGTGTTTCACGTTACAGTACATAATTACTCCAGTCCCTCCACTGGTCCCTATTGTGGCAGGCATCCGATTCTAAACTCTTGTCTCGCTAACCACTTTCTCAGACACTTTACTCCTCCCTACCTTCAGTCTTATCTCTTCCTAGACAACTTCTCACCCTCTCTGCCATAATACCCTCACACTCCTCAGTGGTAGAATGCCCCACCCAATGGAACTAGACATGTTCAGTTCTCAACTAACTTACAGTGCCTGCTCATGTTTTGATAGCATGTATTCTCTCAGCTCTCAACTACATCCAGTACCTCCTACATTGCATTCAATGTTTTTAAGTTTAAATGTGAATTTGAATTTAGCAATGCTTCAGTAAATATAATTCTTTATACTTTTATTGCACAGCTCTTTCAAACACAATTATGCTCCTCTAATTGTCATTTTGTCTACATATTATAATTGCTTATGATTTTTATCGTGCATAAATTAATCTGCCAAGCGTAAAAACAAATTAAAAAAGCATAAGCTATAAAAACAGGAAATGGTAAAGAATGATTCAATATCTTTTACAGACACCTTAAATGCAATTTATGTAGTGGGCTACCTAAAATATTTTAGAAGAATCAATCTTAAAGTCTTGTAAGTCTAAGAGTCTTAAACGCTTATAAGATGGCCTTTTGAAAACATTCTTCTACCTTCTGTATAAGATGGGCTCAACAATTCAAAATACCCATGTATATTGGTGTCGGCCATTTTAAGCAGTAACAGCTAGAGCACCTTCAGCACCCACCCCCTAACAAAGTCACAGTATAACATTACAGTTTACTGTTTATACAGTTCATACTTAGCACAAGACATATGCTTATGAGAAACAATACAGGGTAGATACTGTAGTACACATTATTGTATTGAAAGTGACTATCACAGGAAGTGAATGAAATATTTCAGGTAATTCAGTTATATCAGACTTTATACTGGATCACCATTACTACAAATGTGTGCTTTAAAGATCTTCTAAAATTTGGATTTTTGTAGTTTCACCCAGAACCCTATTCTGATGTTGTCTATTTTTACACACTGTATACTTTCCTCAATGTAAAAATCATTTCATACAAGGGACATTATGTTGTTTTAAAGCTTACAGTCATGACACTTTTAAGCTGTAATACTTATTATTACACAACATGCTCCACATGTTCAAAGGAAAAAAACAAAAAATGACATGAAAGAAAATAGAAAAGTAATTTTTGCTTTAGTGTTCAAACCATTTGCTGTTGGAAACCTAAATCTAGGCGCACAAAAATGACCTCCATAATTGAACAGCCAATTCCTATTGAGAATTTGTTGAAAGACTTGAAAACTGCTGTCCATTTCAGTTTTTTTTGTCTTTAGTTTTTCCTGACATTTACAGCAACTTATCTTACACTTAGAAATGTTCACTTTGTGCATTTATGTTCCAAATAAAATACTTTGTAATTTCTTACCAAAGTGACACCACTGAATGCGTCATAAGTATGTTACGGCTGCACTGGCAAAATCTATGATGGAATACAAATAATATAAAACATTTTCAGACTTCACACATTTTATTTACGTTTTCCTCACAACGTTCACAACAGATTTAGCGCATTTACAAAGGCAGGAAACCCCACTCAACATTAAGTCTTTCCATCCTTTATACTACAAGTACAGTATATGCAGTTAAATTGTTCTTCCTTCACATTTAAGTAATTTGTGGTTAATGCACAAAAGGCACAATGTAAATCAAACACTTTCTTGATTTGATCAGGGTCTGTTACACTATTTTTTTCTGCAGATTGTTATACATACCGCTAGAGGTAATTACATTATCCTTTTATAATCTGCAAACAGAAGAACACAGTCTTGTTTTATAATAATGTTTTGAATTAAGTTATAATGGTAAGTTGGAAATATCTTTAATATCTGAAAAATCAAGAGCAATTAAATTCATTTAATTTTTTTCATTATCAATATTAATATTAATACATTATTCCTTTTTTTCTCTTAAAGCAATTCAGAACATAGATTACTTCAGGCTGTTAGTCAATTTAAAGAGCGATATTTAACATACTGTATTACAATGTAAATTCTAAGCTTGGCAGTCAGCACAAAAATTACCTCTAGTTTGCATATACTTTATTGGGTCAGTGTGTTTTTAATTGTTCCACGTGGCTGGCTCCAAATCACTGACGTTCTGCTATATACTGTATATGGAAAATCTCAGATGTGAAGGAATAAGCAATTTGGTACATACTTTTTAGACTGCATAAGATTCTGCAATATTCAGATCTGGAAAGGCTTTTTGGAAATAAAAAAATCACAGGAAAATTCACCCAAAACAAAAAAAAAACCTGTAAAGATAAAGGAACTTCACAAATAAATATAAACCATGTAACGCACACTTGTACGCCATTTTGCATTTCTTCATATATACAAATATTTCTCAAATCTGCCTACAGTATATAATTTATAGCACAGGCTCTCTTGACTAAACATCTACACAAAAGAGTATGGACATCTTCATTTGCTTTTAAACGAGATGAAACACAATGAGGGAATAACTATCTTAGAAATAAGGTGATTCAAGGAAGGATACCACATAATATTGCCTCAGTTTTTATCTGGACTATGCATTTACTGAAGTTCTTTCTAACAGCTTTATCCAATATAGAGTGTCAGCAAGCTTTTAGCCAGACATACCAGTTAAAGCAAACGTCAGCTATAAGATACCACCTAAGTCTTTAATGTATTGTGGATTATTTAAGAAACATTTTTAACTAGACACAAAGATTTATATTAACCTTGAAATAAGTTAATACATTTTCAAATTTCCCACTGGATTTATTTCTCCATTTCCCCAACAAAAACATGTTCGTCTTCACTTCAAGTAGAATAGTCTGACTTCAACACACAAGCACAAGCCCCTTGTTAATTTTTAATTAGGAGAATAAATAGCCTAGCACAAACATTATGTCATTTACAATGACATGTCATGTTTATATTCTTTCACCTATGACTGACAAGCAAAATATACATATACTAAGAGGCATTAAGAATGCAACACATTTTCAGTTCTAAGTATAGTATATAGATTTTGAAAAATACTGAACTCCCTTACGTTGTTTCAGTCTATGCAGTGAATGTCAGGAATGCCCCACTTTTCTGAATCTTTTGTGACATGCAGTCTCTAATTCTGATCTAGGAAAATATCATCAATCAACTGCAAAAATGTTACTTTTGCCACATTTTTCCAACACCAGCATCACCAGGGTAACTGAAATCTAAACTGGATAAAACTTGGAAAGCCTTGCAATCCTACTAGATAAGGGTTTGGAACACCTGCATTATACCACCTATTTTTTTCTTTCGACAATACCTTTGTTTCAGGATCAATTCCATTACTCTGCTGAGCTCTGCTGCAAGCAAACTGAAATTGAGCTGAAACATCAAAATGAACACATTTACTATCACAGGTGTTCTGGGTTTCATATGTGAAAAACAAAGTCAACTCCAGAATACAGCAGAATTACAATCACAAAAGCTAAAGGTTGCTGACTGGAAAGATATTTTTTTTAATTATGGAAGGTATACCCTCTGATCTTTCAAATTAATTATAACAGAATTGACTTAACAATATTCAAACCAGGACAAACCTTTTATAAAGAAAGACATCCTAATAAGCTAACACAGTGCAATATGTTAATTGGGATACAAAATGTTAACCTTCAGTGAAAGACAACAAATAATAGATGCAATTCTAAAATTCTATAAACACATTGGTCCTTAAGAGTGATGAACTAAAAGTAAATCACTATGACATCAAACATTCAGAGCTCTTGTGAACTTTTCTGTATTTTTTAGTACAGTAGGTAAACAATGTATATTTCTGAATGTGAAAAATCATATGGGTAAGATTAAAAAAAGTGAAGCCAGGAACATTTCTTTTTAATTTCTTTAAAAAACACAATGATGATATCTGCAATCAACACTTGTACCGATTTGGACTCCTGTCACTGATGGACAAACTGAAAAGTACTGAGGTTTGCCCTCCCTTGGTGTTTACACCTTCTCTTTAGTTATAAAAGGTATTTTACTAAAACTCCAGGTTTGATTATAGACATCTTCATGCTATGACTATCCCGTTGTAAGGCCCTGACAAACAAGTCAACATTTGGTCTGCAGTTTAACCTGTGAGTAACATCTCCAAATCTTCCTTTCTTAATTTATTCTTAATTAATAAAAAGTATATAACACATCCTTTGTTCTTCCTATGAGCCAGAATTTATTAAAAACTCCTCAAAATAGTTTTTTGCAGGTTGACAGTGCAATGCAAGACTAACAATGGACTGTGGTAAAGAATTGTCCTCAATGATACTTAGAAGAATTAGGGCACATAAAATCTACATATTAGAAGACACTATAAATAAAACAAAATATAATGCTTTTGGACCAAATAAAATATTTTGTCAAATAAACCAATCATTAACAAACAACTATATGAATTACAAACACTTAAAGACAATTTAACAAGTGTGAAACATAAATCCATGTATCTTTAGAGGAAATCTTTCCATACACGTCCTGTGCCATGGATGGAATTTGATCTTTTAATCTTATGAGAAAATCAGTCTCCATGGCCATCTGCCCCTGCTGTCAAATTTTGAGACGACACACTAAGAGTGTCATGGTGTTTGCACAGCTACTCTGTTGGGGCTTTGTGAAGAACATAGTGGTACAGTGGGGGTGAAATGTCTCTAATAAGGGATCTAGAAATTCCTTATGGAAAATAAAGATTAAAAATGGCGGAGAACTGAATTGATTTTACACTTTATCCTTTTCCTACCGAAGGCAGGGAAAGGAGCTAGGAGATGTCATAGACAGGGCAGCCAGTTGTTGCGTAGCCAACACCTATATCAAAGGGGTTACTCATTTTGGGGTACAGAGATGGAGGGGCCCTTGGGGTCATCAAAGCGGTCCATTGTCTTGAGCTGCATGATCATGTGAAGCCCGTAGGTGAGTATCAGCACCAACAGTAAGCTGGTGAGAAGACCCATCCAGATGCCTGGGGTGAAGAAGCTGGCACAATCACTGGCGTAGGAGAAGTTAGGTCCCACCACATTAAAGCCTTGGATCTGCAACCATGTACAGAAGGTAAGAAAAATCAAACACTTTAACAATGAAGGGGCACAATAAGGGGATGCTATAACAAACAGAATGGAATATTGTAAGATGGTGCAATTTTGGAACAAAAGCTCTCAATAGATCAGGCTTCACATTGAACAAAATCCAGGCTCTCACACAAGCTAGCACCACCTGTTGAATATTTCAGATTTGATAACTTGTTTTAAGCAGCTCTCAGAGAACTACTTGGGTACTTAAATAAGCTTTACACACCTTTTTCTTTACAACAAAAAGAGTGTTTCCACAACAAAGATTTTCAAGTACTCATGTTTTGCTATAAACCTTTTAAGATTTTATTATAAGCAACTCAGCTCCTCAGCACCATTTGGAATCTTTATCAAACTGTATTAAGAAATAACATTCGTTTATTTGATCATCTGAAACTGATAAAAAGTAAACTAAAAAAAGGGGAGTCCTTTAAAAGAAAAAAAATAAGATCAAGTGGGAGGAGCTAATCAGTATATTGAAAAGGTCTTTATGACCTTACTATGTTAGCACAGCTCAGGTTCTCTAGTTATCACTTCAGTTGTCCTTCTGACAGGACCAACCCCAGTCTTAGTCATATCTGCACTAAAACCTGTATATTTACCCAGTTTATGTTATATACTCCCCTGATTTGGTAGAATGTGGGCCTTACTTCTTCACACAGATCAAGTTCTTACCAACAATCCTCGATTATTTGCTGGTTTCCAGCTGAGGCCTTTATCTAATGAGGCACTGTCATGCAAGATACTTTCCGGCATTGACCTAGAAGGCCTAATTGAAAATGGTGCTTTACTATCACAAACTGTTATCTTTACTAGAACATTTAGGTTATCTAAATTGCTTTACTGTACATCAAGGTTGCTCTCCCTTCAAAGAGATGTTCAGTCTTTGTCAAAAGGTGAACGTAGCTATGGAATTTGTAATCACATTATAAGGGGCACACTGACCCAGTAAGATCTCAAGTCAATATTTTGTATTCAGAGTAAGTACCCAGATTCTGCATGTCTGATGATTTCCTTTTGAGCTAGTACATGAGACTGCAAGTACCTGGAAATCCGAGAAGGAGACTCTCCACTTGGAAGCACTGTCACTGCTGGGGACAAGCAGTGGGTCACGGAAGCTAGTGACGGTTGCACAATGGAAGGAGTAGTTTCTTGGAGCATAGATGTTCCTGCTGGCGTTGAAGGTTGCCTTCTGCCCACTGGACTCAATTTCAAGGCGATCCAGAGTGAACCACTCACGTGCAGAAACTGGATATTTCTTGCTGCTCATCATAAACCTGAAGCACAGACATATAACCACATTTACACTGTCCACTTCTGGTCCTACATAGACTTCCTTGTATCTTCCAGTTTTGTTTTTGTGCTCTTGTTTTGCAATTTATTAAGCATAAACTAATCTGTTTGGGTGAATTTTTTGTGAATACTTTTTGGGATTTTGATCCCTTATACCCTCCCATGTTTAATTCTGAAGAGATTCGGGGTGTTTAGGTTAAAGGGGATATCACACATAGACAGGCCTGAAATTATTCTAGTTTTTCTTCCATTAACTCCACAATGTTCTTTTTAAAGTGCAATGACCAACTGACACATAACTCAATCAGTCACTAGCACAACTGTACAGCTTAATCCCCTGCAATATAGAAATAGTTTACTGCATAAATTTGCACACATTTATTACTTTTGAATCCTTTAAGAAGCTGAATTAAACCAAGTATTGTCCTAATTTTGGCATTATTTAAATGAACAATGACATTTTAATATCATTATCATGTACTGTTTTAATCATGTCATAAATGAAACAAAAAATTGACATGAATAATTTTATTGGTCATTTTAACTGGTGTGGTACTTAAAATAACACATTCCTCAGGAGCTGGCTTTAAATTACACTTCTTGGTTAAGGCAGACGGATCCTGATCCTACACGTTTTAAAAAAACGAATATGTACTGTATGCCAAAAAAGTCAGTAAACCATAATTACATGATATAAGCACTTACACTACTCTGAAGTTCTGCAGATCCTGAATATTTCCATAATGGAGAACAAGTCTGTGAAACATAAAAAATGACTGATTAGAGCTACAGCTCTCTGTGCCTTGAGATTTGATGCATACATGCTTCCAAATACATATCTTTAATAGTTGCATTGCACATTAGTGCTAGTAGCATATTTATACCACTAAATGACACTGGTTGAACACATTAAAAAGAGAACGAATACAATAAATATTGTATATTTAGAAAGGATTGTAAATAATCAGAACACCAGACATGCAGGACCAGACAAGCGAAAACAGTCAAGAATATAAGCATGAGAGCGTTTCAAATTTAACAGGTTCTAAGCTCTTCTACAAACCAGCACAAGTTCAGCTGTGCAGGATGTCTAGTATTAACAGAGCGGAGACAGAGGCTCACAAAAATGTGAAGACTAGCCAGCAAAAGGGACGAAATCTGGACTTTCCCTCATAGCACAACTGACCTAGAATTTGTCTGGTTACAAGAGGAGTCACTCAAAGAGACATTTGCAGAGGCGCCAAAGGTCATAGGGCCTAGGTCCAAACGGACCCACTGGTCCCGGGACCTCTCCCAGCTCAAGGTGATATTCTTTGCCCAGAGAAGAATGCAAGGCCCTGAGCTCCCATTGAACATCACAGGAGGATAGGGAGTCTCAGCCTTGGCAGGGGCCTGCAGCAGGGAGCGGCCCAGAGACTCCACAGCCAGGGACACCTCACGGATCACCTGGAAGACACAGGTACAGGAATCACCCCTTCAAAACCAACACCACCAAATTATTCATTTCTTATGAGAAAAAGCGAAAGCTTTTGAAAAGAGAAAGACGTGATGGGCTACACTTCCCAAACAATTAACGAAATATTGGTTTCACCCTTCTGTGGGCTGCAAATAATATGAAAACATCAAAGCTTCACACAAAGAAGATGATGATAATAATTCCCCACAAGCAGTTCTTTACAACACAGAAATACATTTCAGTGTTCAAAGAACAACTCCTCCTAACACCTCCCTCCCTAACTACTACTTATGTTAAAACAAATTTAAAACAGCACTGTGGAAAACCAACCAAACTACATGACTTCACAAAAAATATATATATTTCTTGGTACTTTTCTCTTCTGGCTTCAGTCCTTCACCACCACAGTAAAAACCATTTAACTTGAAGGTACAGTACAAACATACATGAAACACATACTGTAAATGCACACTTATAAACAAGATAACTAACTTGGCCACATTCAATGAGGATACAGTAGGCACTGTTGAGGTATACTTTTTCAGTTCCTTTGATCATTATATTAAAATTGTTATATGTCTCTGCAGTTTTGTCTTACCCTTGAAGGTCTGAGTGCGGTGTAGACTGCAGTGTAGGGAACTGCCTGTGTCTTCATGACATTCAGCACCTGGCCAATCACTTCATCTATGAAGCACAGAAAAGGCCTTGTAGCCGACCAACAATCCATTCAATGGCAACACTGCCATGGCAGAGGATTAAAAATGCTTACTTAATCATTACCAGAATGAAACTATTTACTATAACAAGCAAATACCACTTGAAACCCAAGTTACCTGTATCATATTTAAACAAGAAAACACCACTTGTTTCTCCCACAAGAAATTTTATTTTTTAAATAAAATTTGATTGATTTGATTATAATATTTCCATCTTAAAACATAAATGTTTCCAGAGGTGCTGTTGGTCAGTACAGAAATTAGAAAAATGCAGACCATTTCATCCCTATTATGATCTTCAGGTGGTACAGCCCCAATATGGTAGTGAACAATTTCACAAACAAGGAAACCTCAAGTGTCTGGAACAGTGTTGGTCAACACCAGTTCTCTTATGTTTTTCCTTCCACGAGAAGCTATTACACACTGTTTCCACTTGCCTGCTTTGAGGTGCCTCTCAGCTGGACTGTGTCTGGATAAGAGGCACTTCCATTAAAAGTACATTAATTGATTCATTCATATTTTGTCCAAAAAGATTTATTTCAAAGTCATTGATTACCTTTTAATATATGAAAAATGTTACATTAAAATTAGATGCCAATCCGTAAGGGAAATGCTGAAAATATATAGACCAAAAATAAAGCCTTGCCTGAATTTAAGGCAAATATTTTTAAAACCTATGACACTCTCAAAAGGACAGTCATTGTCAGCCTATCTGTTAGTGAGTCAGAAATCCAGTCATCTTATTCCAGTTATTCACAGCTAAAGTTAAAAATGATTTTCCAATCAAATAAATAAACAGGCATATGCATTTTCATACTAAAAATTAAAGCTCTGGTATTCACAATTATTTTTTGATCATCCTAACAAAATCAGTTTTTGATTCTGGTTAAACTGGCAATTAATTCTCAATTGTTAAGATAAAGAAAGTGATCAAATAGTATTTTCATGTTTTTCATGTACAAACAGAAGACTGTAAAATGTGTGAAAAATTAACGTAACTGGATGCCCAAAGACAAAGCTACACACTTTTATAATCGCGATATGTGAAGAAATTGAAGCTTTTTGTGAATATCAAGACATTTTGTTTCTCCTGTATAAGCTTTTAGCAGTGTTTGCATTCCTTTTTAATTAAGCATCATTAAGAGTCAGTTTGTCCTTTTTTATACCAATTCACTCAAATACACTTATCTTTTAATGAATGGTAATTGAAGGGAATTGGTTTCCTTTTCTTCTTTATAGCAAATTGAATTACTGCTCTCTGTTCAGACACTTTCTATTAACAATAAAAACTGCACTTATTGTTCCCCTATACAAGCCAGTCTTCCGAGTATTACTGAACACAAACCAGCCATATCTGTTTAAATAGCGCAAGGAAAGATAGTTTCCAAACAGCTCCAATGCATTGATATATTTGTAATAAATAGTTTTCACTCACCATTGCCACTCAGAACCTCCTTTGGAGACATCAAATCAGTCCTAAGGGAGAGAAATGAGTAACTTCATCTGATATCACACAAGGACTGTATAATGTGGTGAAAGGGTAGAATTATTTGGCTGATGCTTGTATCCAAACTAACACACATTTGTACCCATTTACACAACTGGGCATTTTACTGATGCAGGCCGAGTCCAGAGAAGTATCTACCACACCGAAGAACATTATTCAAACTGGAAAAAACTTGTATAAACAAAAAAAATGCTGTATACAATTGTATACAATTTCACAATCAGCTTGCATTTTTTATGCATCTGTTTAGCAGAGGCGTGATTCACTGATGAAAGAGAAGGTGTTTTACCCAGTGCTGTAGGGCAGACGAATGACCAGCAGAGAGGAAATGGAGTCATTGAGTCGAAGCTGGCTCAGTGTGTTAGGGTCCAGGTACAGAGGGCTGATGCCCAGTTTCTCCTGCAGCAAAGCGGGCACTGCACTTGAAGCATGCCAGTCCACTGCTGGCAGCACTAAGGAGGAAGGGGCAGACTCCAAGGCAGACTGGGCAAAAAGCAAACAGAGAAGGAGGATCATCTTAACCAGATAACCACACACAAACACAACTTATTTTATTTCTTATGGCTTCCCCCCCCCCCCAACAGAGATTTATTATATATACTTTATTAATTTTAAAAGCACCATGCAGACATTATAATTCCCCTTTATTTTCCATGGCAGAAAAAAAGTTGAATTCGGCTAAGATTACTAATTTGCTTGACAACATAGGAAAGGTTGATGACAGAGAAAGAGAATTTCATTTTTGAAACTATAATCCATAGATCACTGGTTCAAATCTATGTTGTGTCATTAGTTAGGCCTCTGTGAACATGCAGTTTTACCAGTGAATCATTTTGCTGCATATCTCGGCTATTTCCACCTTGGATTTACCGCGTGATAAAGAAGAATATGAGCATGTAAGCACGTACTCCCAGAAGTAAGCACCCAAACACTTACTTCCAGATTGGGAAAGGCATTGTCTTGTTTATTTCCAAAAACACCTCCATGCATGGTGAAGTCATCTACACTGAGCTGAAAAGCAAAAATTACAGTTATTTCCAATGAGCCTGTATAGTGCTGAAAGAACCCCTATCTTGGAAAACTCCAGTTTCATCCCCACTGATGGATATTTTCATCTCCAGGGCAATTTCAGCTCCACCTCCAAAACTGGATCACCTTTGCTAAACTAGGATGTACAATAACGTAATTGCAGATACAATTCCTGGGACCTTACTTCTGACAAGTGAATATTTAGCTATTTATGCATTGTATCATACACAGTTTGATAAACTGTAGTTGTTTAACGATACTTTTAAGTGTAAGCAAACACTCATTCATCCTACAAAGTGCTACTTATAATACTTTGTTTAATTAATAGATACTCAGTGCAACCATATACATGTACATAATAATAATTCTTTACACTATTATAGCACTTTTCTGGACATTCCACATAAAGCGCTTTACAGACAATCGTGACTCCCCTCCACCACCACCGAAGTGTAGAACTCATGTGGATGATACAATGGCAGCTAAAGTGCGCCAATACAGCCAGCACACATCAACTATCAGTGGGGAGGAGAACAGAGTAATAAAGTCAATTGATAAACTGGGATTATTAAGAGACCATGATTGGTAAAGGGCAGGTAAGTAATATGCCCAGTACACCTCTTTTCACTCTTTTCAGGATATGCGTTAGGATTTTCTTAATGACCAAAGAGAGTCAGGACTTCGGTTTTATGTCTCATCAAAAAGACAGTGCCGTTTTTAACAGCACTGTGTCCCCACCACTATGCTGGGGCATTGGGACCTACACAGACCACAGGGTGAGCACTCCCTCCTGATCCATTTTTTCCACTCTATCCCTTTAAGAAACTGGAACAGTTACTTAGCAAGGCAAGCCAGATAAATGCAACTGACACAGGAGGCTATTGACCCAGGACTTGAAATACAAGACAAAAGCAAGGTGTTGCAATTTTTTACTTTGTAATGTTTTTTACTCAGTATAATCAACACTAACGTAAACATGAACAAGCAAGAGTAATATGTTATGATTAGCAACAGAAAGAAACAGAGTTTTGGTAATAGACACTGATCTTTTTTTACAGAGGTTTTACCCAGCTGTAATTTGTTTGATCTGGTAGAAACTGGTTAGTACTACTAGCAGAGTTTGCAGAGAGCTGTAACTATACCTTTAAAACTAAAGAGAGAGGAAATGAAAGAGTGGCTATGAGATGTGTTTGGAGTGAGCCAGTTCCTCCTGGATGATCAGTCACACCATGGTGAAGAAATCAGCAAGGTCATGTGGACCATAGTCAAATTCCTGTTTTCAAAGTCTTTCAAAGCTCAGAAGACCTAGCTAAAGAACACTTTTTTCATGAAAACCATTTAATTTATATGTGCCAATTAATTTATTAATTAAGAAGCCCAACCCTACTAGTAGGATCATGCATATCTCCCCAAAATGTCAGATCCAATTAGAAACACACCACAAAATATTGCTTTAATAGACCACTGTGTGCAATCTATTACAGAAGGCTTCTCTAGTCTTTTGGTGAAAATTAATAAATGCCTCCCTATGCTATGGAGTTTAGTAGCAATGTACCACAAATTTAAAGATGGAAGCATATACATATGTCTGAATGTGGTTCTACGACTGTTCAATTGATGCTGCTTTTAGTTCAGCAGGTCACATCTTCTTCCAGAACAAACTTAACAACAAACCTAAATGTTCTTTGGCTGATTCTTACTGCCATATTGAAGGAAAGGGCACTTCTGTGGCATACATACATGTAACTGTTTCACTACCTCTACAGACTTTAACTTAACTGAGTGCTAATGCTATCACCACACTGATTCCTTTACCTCACCTTGTCTTGCAGAAACAGCAGCACATTATGGGGGCTACTGGTGAGAGCAGAGCTCAAGTAGGAGACAAGCTGAGAGCTGGACACAATGTGACCAGCTACTGGAGCAGTCTGGGACTGCAGCACCGACCTGCAAGCAAAGATCGGCATCATTTTCGAAATCAGCAATAAAGAAAGCACAGAACAACCCAGTAAGGTTTACATTAGCCAGCTAGTAAATGCTGTAAAACCCATAAAAAATATCATGTTAACCATGCATTGTGGGATGTCTCATATCAGACCAAATGCAAACTTTGTATACATTAGTGCTTGAAAAGTCATTTAACTGGAATTCACTCCTCTATTAGTTAAACTGTAAAGACATAAAAAGAGACAAATGTCACCTTATGTTAAAAGATTCTATATCTTTGCCTTGGTTGCATCACACAACTTTGTATGATCAATTTTCAAACATAACCTTAAATAACGTGGAGCTATTTCTACCTTCAAATATCTTAAAAGTGGAATAAAGGAATGCCTGTCTAATTAAGACAGTTTGAGTGATATTGCGTACAAACTACTGTCAAATTTCACTGCATTTCACGATACACAAATGGACAGCTGGTTACCGTCTGCGCTTCCGAAAATACACTTTCGCCAAATAATAAAATGAGTCCTTACCCTTGACTGGACCATATTACTACAGGAACCTGGTCGCTACAACTGCCCAAGCAGAAAACAGCGAATAAACCAAAAAATAACACCACCCCAGATCGCCTCTGCATCCTCATGTCGGCCATCTTGTGTTTTCGCAGCGGAGGCAATGACGTCTTCCTCACCGGCTGACAGTCATGTGAGACACACGACCCATGAGACCGCCCCCCGAGTCCTGTCATTGGTGGAAAAGCCTCTCGCACAAAAACACGGTTGGTGAGACTTAATGTCAGCGGCACAGCGCTGCAGGTTGTGCTTTTCGGATGAGTGGAAGCACTGCTGTTATGTGTATGCCAAACATGACTGTGTTTTTAAATGAAACAAGATTCATCTCCTCGTGTGTAGCTCTTTAGAATTATTTTTAAGTCAAAAGAATTAACAGCTCGCTGTGCACTTGTATTCAGACCTTAACTATTTTTTTAAATACTGTTCATTTCAGCTTACTGTGAAATATAGTCCTAAAATAAAAAGTTAACAGTACATTAAAGAAGAATTAAGCTTAGTATTTATGAGAAATAAAACACAGAGAGGGGTGGAAAGCAGTGTGAGTTGGCGATTAGGTAGGAGGCACTGGAGAAAAGGCCTAGTGTGGGGCTTGAAAGAGAAGTGTTGTGGGTTAGTAGTAGAACAGGAGAAATTTAAAGAGAAGCAGGAAGTTTGGGCTTCCAGCAGAGAAATCGATCAAAGATTCCTTCCAGATTTGGCCTGCATTAACAATGAAAAGGACCAGGAGGCAGGCAGGCAGTGTGGACTAGTTTGGGAATAGTGGGAGAAAGGGAGGGATGCAGGGGAGGCTAGTGGTTAGAGCTGAGGAACTGAGAAAGGGGCCGTCAGTTTGAGCCACAGTTTAGAGCCGAGAGCCAGGAAGAGAGCTGGCCAGTGTATGCAGCTCAGGAACATGGAGAAAGGAAGAAAGTGTGGGCTAGTGGTTACTGAGTTGAGGCTTGAAATATAAGAACTCGAATGTTCTATTACTGTGAGATTTTAATGTTCCACACCTACTGAGATAGGGAATACAGAAGCAGAAATTGATAACATTGAAATGGTTAAGTGCGATTGACTTGTGCCCTCTCCTGGTGTCCTGCCTTGCGCCTGTTACTTGCCAGACTAGGCTTCTTAACCCAGGTTGTTAAAGTACCCTTACTGTACGTACTTATAGAGCTCTCTGTAAGAGAGAACCAGTGGGAAATTGTAACCTGAATATGTTAGATTTTGTTGACTGCTGACAATTAAAAAACAGGGATAATTTTAGAAAAGCTGGCTATGAAGGAATGGGGCAGATATTACAGGTGCCATGTTGGGAAGAGAGGAATACAGGTTAGGAAAAGGAAGGTCACCCCAGAATACTGTTAAAGGCTCAAATTAATTCTTGAAACAATACATTCCAAGTCCAAGAGTTAAGAAAAAAAGAGAAGAAAGAGTGCTCTACTTACGCTGTATAAGGGCCAAGATTCAAAGATAGAAATACAGCATACTGAGGTTTGCCATGAAATGACATTACAATTGTATATTAGAAAAATATTTTTCTCCGTGCTACAACAGAGAACTGTCAAAGCATGTCAATAGTTTTTAAGAACATGATAAATGATAATAGTTCACAAGAAGTATATTTTTACACAACAAGAGACATCAATAACATGTCCCGTGTTATACAGTAGAACAAGCTCCATAAGAATTCAGTAACTCCAACATAAATGACACAGATGTAAAAGCCCATATTTTATTAACTTGAACTAGGAACAGAATGAAACAAACTTTCTGAACTGATTCCAATAAGGCAGTACAAGATCTTTTTCTTCTTTAGTTATATTATATCCATATAATCCAGTTCAATCAGTTCCAAGTTAAATTTAATCACTGTTATAAAAATACTTCATATACAAAATTAAAAGGAAAATACAATTAAAAATAACTGTGACATTGCAGCTACTAGTTAGCTTAACATTATCTTATACATGAGAAAACCTCAAATACAAGTACAAAAGATTAACATCAGCTGCCAAGCCTTTTGGGCTACAGTTTAGGACATAATTAAAACAGCTTTATAAAAGATAGGGGACAAAACATCAAAAGTCTTATCAAAATACAAAATGATTAAATCCGTAACGATGGACTACCTCAGTTCATGTTCATATCTCTAGTTTTGTCTCGTGGCACATCCTATTGTGTATTGAGTACTCTCAACTGTAAATTCCATTTTCATAAAACTTTTAAATTAGTTGATTAGGATCTAGTATTTATATTTAGGGCACCTCATCTGTTCCAGTTTCCTGTTCAAGTCTTTTAAATTTTTTGGTTATAAATTCATCTCTGCCTAGAATTACATCAGTCCTCTATTGCTCTGTGCAGTATGGAGTGCCATTTGTACCCAGAAACAACACTTTAACAACTAAACATACCTTAAACTGGATTCCCAAACTGGCAGCCATTAAGATGTTAAGTAACAAGTGCATCTCTCCCTGTCTCTGCCAGGATTCAATCCCGGTTACTTGCAGGCTCTGAGCATGCATGGCACCTCTCTCTAAACAGTGAATAACTCAGACAGGTCAGAAGACTGAGACTACACTGTCTAGATTTCAGAGGGTGATGACGTTACTTCTGCAACTAGCTCAGTGTGCTGAGCACTGTTACAATGAATTATTCAGGCAGTTGGTGCGGCTCAAATCTGTATATAATGTTAAGCATTCTGTTGTTTCTTCTGGCAAACATTCCAAGTATCTCAGATTTCTAAATAACAGAAACATTATTATAGGTGTTCCTATCTCTATAGTAATCTATCAATTTTTTAATCTCTTAATCCAATTAAGGTTCATGGAGGATCTGAAGCCTCAGGTAGGGTATGCCTTGGATGGGACATCAGTCCATCCCATGTCTCACACTCTCACACACTCTCACACACCAGGGACAATATTCCCAGAAGTCAATAAAACTAGATCTATATTTTTGGACAGTGGGAGGAAACTGGACTACCTGGAGGAAATCCATGCAAACACAGGGGGGGGACTTACAAACTCTGCAAAGGTAGGACCTGAGCTCCAGCACTGCAAGGCAGCAATGCTAACCATTGCACCATCATGCCACCCACCTCATCTATATTTAATATAACATGAACACGTATCGAACTGCCATGTATTTTATTGTAAATATTGTAATACCCTTCAGAAACTGTTTGCTTTGGGGGCCCAAAATTCCATTGTGGGTGTTGACTGAAAATCTTAGTATCAATAGGAAAAAAGAAACACAAAAGAACTACAAATTGGTCAACAACTGTTAACAAAAGTTTGGAAAGTTTAGTTAAGGCAAAACTACATCCAAACTGAAACCTCCCATCAGTGTAGCTGCAAGGTGATTGCTGATTATCGGTGCAGTAGAGGCCAGGCTGGGTGAAAGTATAAATATTTCATGGACAGTGCTGTGCATCCATTAAAGTCCTGCACAGGTTATTCTACCCATTGCAAATAAGTCCATTGCCCAAACCATGGTCATATTCACAAGCATTTACCATTGTGATATGTTAGAACTTCATAATGAGCAAATATGTACAACTAACAGTGAAATGCCACATTCAAGTATGGAACATGTCTTTTACAGCGGTTTCATTTATACCTTCTGGCATATCTTGTTAAACTCCTTCTGCAAAAGTCTCTATTGCTCTGTCTGCTAGACCAACATGTCACTCTGTTTGATGTGCTCTAGGGAAATCACCTTCCAAAAATTAATCAAGACGATGTCAGAAGCATCCAAACAGGATGCATTCCAACTGTATAATAAACGTATAGATATGCAGATATATATAGGTATAGTTAATTGTACTCTTATTCATAAACAAGTCCAGTATTTTATTTCTTGAATAAGTTATATTTTTTATAGATATGACCAAGCTGTGCATTGAAAGATGAAACAGCAGATACCAACAGTATCTTCTGGTCCTACAGGACACAAATACTGAACAAGCTGACACTGTAAAGCCTTCAGTGAAGATATCAGGTTTACGGTCAACAAAGAAAGGAGGTAGCCATGTCTTCCTTAAAATAATATTTTAACTTTTATTCTCAATGCCATTTAACTTGACATTGATATTTAAATTTAATGTCAATGCCAAGGCCTATTTTAAAATCAATCAGCAAAGATTACTTCAGAAATCAAATATCTTTTTTAGACAAAACACATCCCTAATAACCACACAGCTGGACAAGAGAAACCATTCAATACAGACCTATTCATGATTTTATTTTTTTAAATAAAAGGATAGATATTTTCACTTTCAGAATGTTCACTTGGCTCAGCAAACCACAGATCAATGGTCTCTAATCCCACTGCTAGATTCTCCCAGTCCAGCAGGATTAGAAAGGCCTTAAAAGGCTGAATACTTCATCCATCCTGATTTATCAAGCCAAAATGTGAGTGGCTGGATGTACAGTATGGTGTTAAAATTAAAAGACAGCGTAACTCACTAGGGCCAGTGTTTAAGTCTCATGCCACATGCAGACATGCAGACATGCATGTTTGTGTGCTATAACTCTGAAACACATCCAGCATTCCTTAAAAATCAAAGACAGCACACCAGTTCTCTACCCGAACAGTTTTGTCCAGTAGGCTTATGGGCCGATAAAATGCCCCTACAGGATTCCATTCTGCCCAATCTTAGCTGTGCTCAGGCAAATTCTGCATTACCCAGTGGTGCACATCAGCTATAGTACACAGGTCCCAGGTATCAATCCTGTGTGGTAATACATGAAAACCAAAACTCCCTACCTACCAAAACTAAGCAGTGCTGAAACAAATATGCAGAAATATGCACCACTTCATGGAAAATGCCAACAGACAGTATCTGCCCATACGGTCCATCCACATGCATCCCAAGGAACTGGCTATGTTTGAGTTACTTAGGACTTTCCTCACAAACCCATTTCATTATTCTAAAAATGGCAGGATCAGCCATTTTTCACCGTTTAATGTCTGCAATATCTAACTGGGGTATGATTCTACCTTTTCTGCTTAAAACATGAAACTTTCATGTCAATCCCATCTACCGAAGAAGTTACCAACAAGTGCAAGCACACGCAAACTGAGCTCCTCGTTTAACTTGTGAATATGGCCTTGCTTTGGCTTTCAGCATTTTGTCTTTCATCTCCTCTGCCGTGCACCTATGCAGTGATTTGCATAGGCCGCTCTTCAAGCCTGGCTATCGTCCAGTGGATTGCAGCCGCTGGTGAAGGGCTTCTGCCTGAGACTTCAGACTGCAGAACTCCTCCTGGATGAAGTCAGTCAAAGCTTTCCTCATTTCAACCTAAAGCAGAGTCAGAAAAGGAGAGAAGGTAACTCTGTGCACTCTGTGAGAGTGTGTATGTGTATACACCAAACGTGTGTATGTGAAGCACCAAAACAGATTCACCATTCCCCTCATAAGATCTAAAAAAACACACATCTTCATGACTTTAGGAAAGATATTCAAAAGCTTAAATAATATTATGAGTTTTGTTTTTATTAAAGGAAAATAAAAGTCTTGTTGCAGCATTAAAAACTGTTCAAACTAAGAGCTTTCTTTAATCCACAAACTAAATGATCATAAAATAACTATAAAATACAAATAAATAAATAATGGCTCATTCTAGAAGAACCACATTTTACTGGTACAACTTTATGGCATAGTTAACAATTTCAAACATTAACCACCCCGTGTAAAAGCCCAAAAAGAAAAATCACTTCCTCTTATCTGCCCAGAAATTGTACATTTTCCTGTGTGATCTAAATTTAAAAAAAAATCTAGTTTATCCTCTTGAAGAGGTTCAATGCCTTGCCGTAGATGACTTTTTGCCATTTTGAAAAAAGGCTACAAATATTATAGTAACATTCCTCTAAAAACAGAAGACAGAGCAAAATACTTATTAATTCATTTCAACTGAAGATACATATAGTATTAATAATATTAATATAAAAAGTAACGTTCCTAGACAAAGAGATGATCAAAGCATCAACAAACGCTGCTGCAGTCACTTGCACCCTGACCTCAGGTTTATATTGTAATGAATGGAGGAGCACAGTTTGCTCAGAGTAACAAACAATGAGTCAGTATCAAAACCAGACCTGAACTGGCAGCTTCTCAATTACAGGTCTTTTTCCTCTTTGTGGAGCACTTCACCTCCAGCTTTTCTCTAAAACTTCATTATCTAGGTTTATCTTTGCTGTCATGGAATCTCTCCACATTTAATGAAATACAACCTTATCCCTGACATTTACTACTGTGCAAAAGTTTGGGACATTTTGCATCGGCTTTCTTTTTTCACCCAATCTTCTTCCTCTTTACGCACAAACAATACTACGGTGACCTTCAACTGAAACTGTAAACCAGTTTATTCTCACATTAGCATCTCATGTACAGATTACCCTGAGTTATTTTGATCACAGGTTTTTAAAGATTCTGATCACTGTCAAAGATACCTAAATTACAAGCATGGTTTCTTCTCACCCAATCTTAGCTGTATTAGTATTATTAACATTTGTTATACTAGTAGAAAATACTAATATAAAATTAGCAAAATTTAAAACACATAGAACTCCTGATTGTCTCTCAGATATCTTTTGCAAATGAATGTAAGAGTTTCCATTTTTTAACCTGAAGTCTGAACAAACATTTTAGCCCATTTATTTTTTTACCAGACAGTACAACCAGGCCCTCAAGATTTTGTGTATTCAGTAATGAGTTCAGTAATAAGTATTTCAATGTCTTAGAGGTAATGTGAGATATTTCAGGTGGTGTTCACTCAACTATACCATGTCTTGTGTTTAATCAAGAGAGTTTTAATTTACCGGATTCTTGTTTTCGGATTTCAGGGATTCCAAAAGATGCTTCATAGTGAATGGTTTCCCAACCAGAATTGTTATTTTCTGTTAGGGCGAATATATACAAATTTCAGGTGTTGGAAAAAATGAAAATCAAATACTGATCAATGGTTAAAAACATAAAAACAAAGCTAATTTTTATTTCCTGTAGCATTTTTTTCTAGAGCAAAAAACAGGCAAAAGGCAGTTTGAAGGTGATTCTCCCTAGCCAGCAAGTATTTCTTACAGTCAAAACTAAATAAAAATATGAAAATAAATCTGTACAGCATCTGTGTACCAATACAGCCTGAATCAATCAGTAATTAATGAATGGGGGTGACTCAAGATTGGCACCATAATGGAATAGCCATACATCAAAAATCATTATTACTAGTTAAATACTTTTAGCAACTTACATCTGCAGCCATTTATACTGCAATTTATTTTACTAGAGTAATCTGAGTAAAAAATATTGCTCAACAGTACAGTAAAGACCAGTACAGTAAAAAGATTTAATCCCAAAGCCTTCTAGTGATTAATCCCGAGTCACCACCTACTAATCCACACTGCTGCTTCTAACTCACTGTCAGTGTGGGGCAGTTCAACGTACTTGACCAATACGGGGAATGTAAGGAGGTTTGTTCGGAAGGACATCATTCATCCCTAGGGAAATTTGAAACAAACAAAAAACAATGCTTACTAATAAAAAGATTACATTTCTTCAGTCTTCATTATTAAACTCTTAGGCACTGTATTAATCCCAGAAATTCAGCATGCAATGTGTTCTAATGAGACAATGTTTGACCTTGAAAATTGTTCTGCATTTTCACAGCTCCTTGAATACTGACAGGCTAGTAATTCCTGTCCTCTGCAATAAATATCAGTAATTACTGGTGATATTTACTAGCAACAGTGATCCTCATTTTTCCTGATATAAAAAAAGAGACATTCTGCAACCACATAAAATCATGCCAGTTGTGAACTCGTAAAACCACAGTTATCAGCTTGAGTATATTTAAATATAAAATATTTAATCTGTATTTATTTGGTTTAATATTAATTTATTTGTCAGACAAATGTTCCCAAAGCAACTTCTGTTTGTACACATCTTGTCAGCTGGGCAGTTATTTTTTCTGAAGTGGGATTCAAACCAGAGTCTTCAGGGGACAGTGTTAAACTAACACAGTGTTTCAGACCATTCAGATATTTTGTTGACCATGACTCAACTGGAATTTTTAGCTGCAAGTGGACTTCAATATTTCTATATTTTTAGCAGTACAAAACTGATTCATGCGCTATATTAGTATTTTAAAATACCAAAAGCATCCTTGCATCGGATTTGATGTGGTCCACGTACCTACATGCCACAGAGGCAGAATCACAGGGTTCAGTGTACACTCTGCTATCAAACGCCCAACACCTAGAAGAAAATTACCAGTGCTGTGAAAAAGCATTAAAACAACTATTAAAAACCTCGTCATATACTGTTTACACTAAACAAAGTATCAAGTATCAAGTACCAGCACAAAAAAGATTAAATCACCTTATTAGCTGAAAGATTGCATAATTATGCTGATCATTTTCATTATTTTTTTAAACTCCAAAGAATTAGGCATAATATATAACCTGTTCTTAGTACTAATATATACATGTACATATATACAGTATACAATATATACAGTATATTGTATAAGTGAAAGAAAATATGCTACTATTAAAATAATATTGATTCAGGTAAATTTCAGAAAAACTTATTTTTAAAGCCATGTGAAAAGAAACTTTTTTTGGTGCAGCATCATTCATAATGCAGAGGGAATAGAAAGTTCATACAAATGAACTCACCCCATTTTAGCCTAATAAATTCCTGTGTCATGTTAACCTTCCCTGTAAAGCAAAACATAAAATATAGTCTTGTTAAAGCAAACTCCTTATGATTTGAAACTCTGACACATCTTTAAGCAGATCACAAGATGTGACATTTCTAGCACATGATATGTTAACATTAGTGTTCAATACAATGCACTATCTGTGTACAACAAACTGATAGAGAATGCTCCAAAGAATTGAAGCCAACACAACTCTGTATTTCCGAGGTCATTCACCCATTTTCCGATACTTTACAAAGTCTTCCAGAAAATCAAGATTGAAGGCTGCTCTAGAAATCCTTGTTTATGCTCAGAAGGATTTTCTCTGCCTATACAGACCCTCAATAAAATGACCAGTGACATTCTGTATGTGATGCAAGCCTATCCTACAGCAGGTCTTGGCAATTTTCAGCATTTGGAAAATACTCATTAAGATTGTTATGATCATGTTATATTTAGTTATTAACATGCATATGAAACAAGTCTCATTCCAGCTGGACAGCACTGTATATGTATGCAGATCCCCATCAGAAAATACCTCTTTATAGACTTATTTCTTTAAAAAATGACAAAGGTCAACTGAATTACCCTCTGGGAAGATATGGACCCAATCGCCACTATTAAGTTTCTCCAGAATAAAATCCATTCCTTTTTGGTAGACTCCATCTCCTGGAAGAGACGAAACTGGGATATATTAATACAGAACAGGACTAGACCTTGTTTCTACTTGCTACTTATGTGTTCTGCAATTCTTGTCTGGAAATTCTATTTCCTTGCCACTGAAATATTGAAAAAGTGTATTACTGTATATGAAAAAAAAATATAGCCATTGAAAAAGCAGATTTGGGAAAAGGCTTAATGGTTTAAGAGCCCTGAAAAAAGATCTTGCTTTTTTGGGCAGTCCAACACTTTCTCATTATTTATCGATAGCCAAGGTCTATGTGGAGAAGGTGTTAGGAGAGCTCACCTCTGCACACTGGCACACACTTCCCCCGACTGAAAAAGCAAGAGTGCAGCTCTTTAGTAAAGCAGATGTCTGATGCTGCGGGAGTCCTAGGAAAAATCATTTTAACAGAGGACACATAAATCAACTGCAAAACGTCTGACAGAAAACTAAATGCATTGTGTCAACGATCTCTACAATGACAACCAGCAAAAATGTTACATTATGTTTATATTCTAGTTCTCCTTTGTTCTGAGAACCATGTTCATCCGACGTCTTTTACCAATTTGTATGTTTTTGTATAATGTCCCCAATCCAAACTGTTTTTGCCATGTAAACTATTTTATATCGTTATAATATTCATACCTTGATGAAATGTTTGGATCACAAAAATATCGGCAATCAGTTCTCATTTAGAACTTTTTATGTTTATTCCATTCCCTTACTGTGCAACTTATGCATTCTACTTTGTAGAAATTAGCAGAAAGCCTTTGCTTAAAATGGGAAAAATAGTTATCTTGTCAAAGTTTTATGTAATTTATTACACTAGGATATCACGTTTGGAAAACAGGTTTAACTAACACAACACAACAGAACAAGTAAAGCTTTATTCCATGCTGAAAAGAGAAGAAAAGAGAAAACGTTTCGACAGGTGTCAAGAAGAAGGCTGCACAGCCGAAACATTGTGTTTCTTTTCTTCTCTTTTCAGCATGGAATAAACCTTCACTTGTTCCTTTGCAGCTTACGCATGCTGACGCAGCTACCTACTTTAACTAACACAACTTCTAGCCACACAATTCATATGCATCTCTGAAATGCAAGATCCACGGTTAAACTGAAAAAAAACCTGCAGTTAAAGGAAAAGCACTTAGATACAGAACAGTAAATAAGGCACTCACCACCTCATTTTCTTAAGACTCCAGAGATGGCGCAACTTCAAGATACCTATAAAAAAAGCATTAAAATCTGCTCTTTAAAAGTAATGTATTACACAAAATAGGTTGGGACCTGTGTTCTAAAATTCTGAAATTACATCTGCCACTGATTTTAAGAAAGCATTAATTTTTGGAAGAACATTTTGGACTGCACTCTGGAGCACTTTCTCTGATAATTATGCTACATGTCCATCACTAAAAAAATATAAAGAGGTGCATATTTATATTCAGTCAAATGGAGTATGACTGCATAAACAGAAATACTGAATACACTCTTGAACAGGTGGGGGGTTCTTCAGTGAGATATCAGCTAGGGGACAAATATATGTGGCTTTATGAATGTTGATTATTGTAGGCAAGAAATAATTACAAAATAAGAGCACCGTATATATTCATTTCCTGGGACATTAACATTATACTTCTTTTGTACTAATTTATAAATCTTAAAAAATCTTGAAAGGGAAAAAAGAAACATTCAGTGCAGAATCTACACTTTAGTCTATGTAAACTTTAATGTTCTAATGTAAAACTGAAACAATGCATTGTAAGAATAATGTAATTTTTCCTAACAATTCCAGCTATTTTTTCTGGATTATATGACAGCACAACAAAAAGGAACAGATGGAAAAATAAATTAATAAACAAACTGCACATCAATAAGGTGCTTAATGCCAACTCTGTTTTTTTTTTTTAACTGCAGCTAAAGCGATGTACCCCAGAGGTGAGGATCATCCATACAGGACTGGTGGTTTGAGAGGGTGATCAGGGGCGTACTGCGAGGTCGGTTGTCAATTAGCTCAAACAGGACATCCTGATTGTGGACAGTCAGGTAGTTGAAGTACTCTGAAGAGAGAAGAAAATGCAGGATTTGAAAAAAGAATATGAATGTCACATACAATACACACCAAATACCCAGTCAAAAGCCCCTACACTGAGTTTTTAGAAGATTCTACAGTTTACTACTTTATATATTTTTTTAAAGATTGGGAAAAAAAACGGACAAAAATAGGGATAATGTCTGAGGGACATTTGATGTTCAGCTTCTACTTTCCATGAGAATGTCCTTACAGTTTTAGTCTTCCATATATACTGTAAGTGCCCTGAACCAACACTTACACTGGCTAAAATTATAAATATTATTCAACAGCATTCTTTTTTGATTAGCTCATCTACAGAGAACCATTTTATAAAGAAAACACACCATAATTCAGTTAAAAACAAATAAATGAGTATGAAAACAGAATGTAAATAGGACAAAATGAGTTTTGGACTGAAATAGTGATCAACAGTCTGGGACATTCTACAAATGTATTTAAAGTTGCCTCTCGTGTGATATACTGTATACTGTACGTAGAGATGTGGAGTCAATCAAGTCAATCACCATTTCAAAGGCAAATCTATGCTCCTCATCTCAGACAGCAGCAAAACCCTTTAATGCCAAAATGGCTGCCACTTGTCATGGGGATTATATCTGTCTGAAAATCCAAATAATCCCAATTCCAACAAAAGTTTTAATCCTTGTAAATACCTGTTCACTGTAAACCTTAAGTCAAAGTTCACTGTAAACCTTAAGTTTATTTTTTTCCAAGTCCCAAACTAATGAAAAACAAGTATAATAATCTATCTTGATCTTAAAAAAGAACAGTTTAAAAAGAATACCAGGGCCAACAATCATAAATGGAAGAATTCGGGACAGAAAAACGTTTTGACACATATATAAAGGCTCAGACAGCCTAATCACAAGGAGTTTTTTTAGCTACTTTTCTAGGATTCTTCAAATCGTATCTGGAATTCTTTGGATCAATAAAATCAGGAGAAAACTAAAAACACGTAGGAGTTGACCAAATGATATTCTCTGAAACTTTTTAATGTGTCTTTATAAGCAGAAACGATGACTAAGAGGGCCTATCGCAGGTTCCGTGTTGAGGGAAACAAGTGAGAAATTAAGAACTATTCCCCGGTTATTATCAATAGACCTGTGCCTCTCATCTGACTCACTGGTCCAGAGGTAGCTGTAAGAGCCCACTAGCCCCGTGATCAAGGTGCTGGAGATCTTCCAGGGCAGACGGGGGCGATGTGGGAACGGCCATTTCACCTCCAGGGGCATTGTGACCCCCCCCCACTCTCTTCCAGCCTGCAAAACAAGCTGCCATGTGACTCCAGTTTATTACCCTTTTCATTTAATAGTTTTACATTCTGTAGGTAACAACTTACATATACCGGGTTCTGATTTGAAATGTAATGTTTTTTCCTTATGCGGGCCCAGCATAAATGCCTGTTTAGGGCTTTAAAGGGGAACTGCATTCCCAACTTCTCAGACCGGTGATTCAATCCCAGTAACAAAATAAATCCATTGACGTTACAGAATAGAGTTATAACATTTTACTAATGTCAAATTAAGCACACAGTCGTGAACTTTGTGAAAGTACTGTAAGCCGCCATAAGATTTAGACGTGAAGCGGCCCTTCCTGCTCACTAGTCATCGCAGTGACTCATGTGCTGCGAGGTACGAGCGGAGAAGTAAAGATTGTGCCGAAGATATTTCACCGCTGAAGTGTTCCAACATAACCTGCGTGCAAAGTTAACAAGTAGGTAGTATTTGTCAGCAAAACTGTCTCGAAGACGAATGCAATATTTATATGCAATAAAAGAGATGTATTCACAAGCCGGCTTGTTTACAATATTATAGGGCCGCTTCACGTCACCAGAAGTCTTGTCGTCTCATTCTGAATCACAGAACATGGCGCGGTGCATACCTGGACATTTCATCTATTTTGTGATGTTAATTGGAGGTTTTACAAGTTACTGTGTACATTTTACATTTCACTCATCAATGCTGATTCTTTCTAACCCATACATATAAAAACAGCGTTGCAGTTCCCCTTTAACAAATGTTTCAGTTCAGTTTGTCACATTTTTTAGCATCCCGACAGAAACGCCCATCTCACAGTAGGTTAGTATTATAATTTCCTTCTCCGGTACAAACAGTCCTACAATACCCATTTCACATGTCATTTCAAGCGTCTTGAAATTTAAATTTATCTTTTAGCATCCCCTTCCCTACTGTGAAAGAACAAATGAGAAGCAAAAAATTACTCAACAGGAACAAACATGACTTCCTTTGCGCAACACTTAATGATCTAAAACTTTTACAGGAGTTTTTTTTTTATTTAACTTTTTGGATTAACTTTCAGACAGAGCTGGCAGTCATGTTTTCAACACAATAATTCCCTATTGTCGTGACACAAATTACATTCTGCTATCGTTTGTAAAGAATGGGAAAACTTTGTTTCCATCTACAATACTATGTGTTTTGCCAGCGATGTCCCCACAAAGATAGCAAAGTCTAACTAACACTTATTTTACCGCGAATGCAATCTGGTCTTTCATTTTCATATGCAGTAAATGAACAAATAAAGTCAGTCAAAACAATTTATCATCCTTTACTGCAAATGTTTATATATTAACATAGGACGGGAATTACACTGTGATGTCCAGAGGTTAAATTCCAACTCTGGGGTCAAAATAAGTAAACAAAATTGTGAGTTTTTGCAATACTCCACATATATTTAAGATAATGATATTGCTTACAGACGTTTAGACTCTACTTAAGTTTTACACTTAAAAAAAATACAGTAAGATTCTTGCTCGCACGCATGCGATACAAACTCATGCTGTAAACTTTTAGAAAATCAAATACACAGCACGTCGCGCAGGAACCTGGTCCGTACCAATAGAAAATGCATATTGGTTTCGATGCTTAATAAAATATTTTATATTATTCACATTGTTAGACTTGCCAGTTCAGCTTCTAAAAAGTGAACAGATAACTTTGAATTTCTAATTGGGGGAAAAAAAAACAGTAATATCACCTTCTCGATGACAGCTACTCGAACAGCAGCAGCACTCCAGCGAAGGAAGGAAATCACGTCCGAAAAACATAGCATCCTGGGAAATGTAGTAAGCGTGCTCCAAAATATTGCGATGGAATAGAATAAACATATTCATGAACCGAAAAATATTTTAGCTAGACAAGTTACTTAAGAAATAAATATTTTATCACATGTTTAAACCTCTCCTTATTTCCAAAATGAACATTTGGAAATTTATACCGTACTTTCAAAAACAGTCTGATAATCGAATGTTGAATTATGGGTGGTGTAGTTTGAAGAGACTTAATGTCAATAGTATCTTAACTCTCGTTAAAACCACCAGGTTCTAAAGCTCTCGTTTCAATCACGCATTTCAAAACATTTGCAAGTCGTTGTGGCTTCTAACGTAGGTGATTTGCATGATTAATAAAGTAATTCAGAGATCACTTGAAACAAAATTGCCAAAACCCTGTAACTCTCAACGATCACAGCTGGCCATTCCTGACATAATTTAATTGACATACTGTAATTTACCAAATTGATGGCTTGTGTTCCAGGTTTTTACAAACTGGAGTTATAAGGCTGGCCTATATGCTGCTGGATCGTGACCCTTCCAACACTGTATGGTTTGACCAACACTGATGTGTGTGAGAGTCGTCTTGCCATCTTATAGCCCAATTTCATCAGATCTCACAAGATAAGCAAGCAAGGTTGGGCCTGGTCATTACTGACTTGGGATACATCTAAGAAAAACCAGGCTGCCTCTGCGAGTGGTGTTGTTTGACCTGTAGGTGGTGCTCCTTCCTCCGGACCAACATTTCTTAACCAGTGCTCCAGAATGGTGGCCCGCTACACTGTTTTATAGGAAGAGAAATCTTTCCTATAAAATGTTAAACTACTGATCTGACTGCTCATCAAATATCCTAAGGTGCTGTATGTAAGAGTAGAGTGTCCTAGTTAAATTATACTCTGGGGCTGTACAGTCTGACATGCTTAGAAACTCCCTTAATTCAATTCAATTCTTACTTCTCCACCTGATCTGCTGTGTAGTGGGGTTGTTGGGGCATAATTGCTACACATAATTGCTTCAGCTGTACGTGAAATGTGTCCCCTCCCACTGTATGTGTAAAGTGCTGTGGAATTCTCAAGGATAAAAAATGTTGTATGTATCAAATAATTATATTCTATAGCCGATTCATGCGTTCTTGTAACCACTCATAACCATTTAAGGGTAATACCAGTGGTAAACACACTACACACAAATTAATAATATAATAAAAATAATAGATTTTTTTAGCCAAAGAATATAGCGTAAGCACTTTGTTACTGGCATGTCAGTGTTTTGAGATATGCATCTATAAAGTAACCTAATATAGACTATCGACTTGTATATATTCAGATGACTGGTGTGGTGTCAGTCAGAGTATAGTTATTATTTTCCATTCCTCCACTTGCATCATCCAATTCGGGGCCACAGGGGAGGCAGAGCGTATCCCAGCAGGCAATGAGCACAAGGCAGGACAAAACCTGGAGGGGACGCCAGTCTATCGCAGGACACACAGACACAAACACTGACACATGCACACTCACACCATGGCCAGTTTTTACAAAAAGTTATTTAACCTACCAGTATGTCTTTGGGCTGTGAGAGAAAACCAGGGCACCTGGAAAAACCCAAGTGAACATTTTTATCTCTGTTACAATGAGTGCGATTATCTGGAGACAATGTGGCCAGACGGAAAGACACCATGAACAGTACTGGATGTTCTTCCTTACAATGATTCCTAGATAAGTTATATTCTTATCAGTCACAAGGAATGTGTCTAAAGTTTAATGGCAGTCATGCCTATCTTCCTTATATCAATCCAGCTGTACAAGTGGGAACAGCATGTGATATTTGATTAGTCAGATTTAACTGATCATATTTAACTGGTACTCATTTGCACAGGTGACTGAATTTTGGATTAAATATTAAGGTAATTTCTTAAAACCTTTACTATTACCAATGAATAGCAACAATGCAACTTTCCAAAAGTCCAAATCCTCAACTTGCAAGTAGATTGATTCTCCAGCTCTAACATTTTCCTGGGTTAAGAAAGACACAGTAGACCGCCATCATACTCCACAATCTTGTCATTCATATCCATATAGCTGTCTGTCAAATTTAATATTTTTAAAATCTAACTCTGGGAGGCACGGTGATACAGTGGATAGCATCACTGCCTTGCAGCTCTGTATGGAGTTTGCATGTTTTCCTCATGTTCACTTGGGTTACTTTCTCACACAGATCAAGAACATACTGATTGGTTAATAGAGTTCTGTAAAATTGAGTGTGAGTGTTTGTGTCTATGTGTGCCCTGGAATGGATTAGCATCACGTCCAGGGTGTGTCCTGCTTTGTGTCTGTTGCTGCTAGGTTAGGCTCCAGCCCAGTACTGGATAATGTGGCTTAGAAAATGGATGGATAGACAGGAGTAATTTCTGTAGGCTGGTAAAGGTTAGCACAACCACTGCCAGTTGTGCCAAATGTTTTTCTCATTTATTAAAGGGTTATACTATCTTCATTTTATTTGAAGATTAGTATACTTAGACCACATTCCACAATTATTTATTCAGCATACAGGTCAATAATTCTAAGTCATCCACAAACTATACAGTTCATTAATTAAAAGAAACTATATTGTTTAAAAGAAAAAAAGGTTATAAATCTTTTACAGGTAACGATAACACAATAAAAAACCTTAATGTCAGCCTCACAATTCTTTTGACCAATTTGTTCAATCACTTTTCATTCCAGCTAAGTGTTCTATTAATTGATTGCATTTGAAAAGTAATAATTTGCCATTTGAAAATAAAATGCCCTGAAAAACATTTTAAATTTTTGCTGCGCGCTCTTGTAACAGATACACAAGTCTTGCATGCTAGAGTCTCGGTTATGACACATCTCCACAGTGATTCGAGATTTGAACTGAGACTTGACTGTTCTGACTTGAAACATAACTTGAATGTGACACAATTGACTTGAATAAAACTCTGATTAGGAGTCATTCTTTTAACAATACCAGCATACTTCAAGATGGGGATTTTGGATGTTTGAGTTAGAGTATGCCTAGAAGCACGCACAAAAAAGACTTGTTGTGATAAAGGAAACCAGGTCTAGACTTTATCTTACAATTTGTTAACATGAGTTTTGAAAGTTAAAACACTATCCAGTCAGATGCTTTGACATTTATAAATGTTGACCTCAGCCAAATTTGTTTTTGCTAAAAGTATATATTTTGAGCTCAATTTTAAGTTAAAAGCCTAAAATTTATATCAGTTTTGTAAAAGTGCAAAACAATTATCCATTATTATAGAAACAGCTGTCGATGAAGACACAATCCTGCCCTTCACATTTCTGGGGCCAACCAGTTCAGAAACTTCAGGGAGACTTCAAATCCCAGGAAGCATGCCTAGTGGAAAAAAGAGGAATACTTAAATAGTGCTAAACTATTATATTTCTTTTTATTTTTAATTTATTAATTAAACAACTGAACATTCAATTAAATTACTTGCGGATGATTTTAAAGATGGTTTTACAAAGTAAAACTATTAAGCATGAAGTGCCATACAGCACATAACAAAAATTCAGATTACTTTTACAGACTTAGTTGTCTTGTGACATTAACTGGAATAGGTTCATTAATATTAATGAATATTCATTAATAGACCAAAACATATACAGTTATTGGCACAAACCATCTGCCATCAATCCAAATTCCTATACTAACTCAACAGACTACAACTGCTAAATAAAATAAGACAAAAAGCATTAAAACAGTTGTGAGGAGCTTGCAAACCTGCGTCTGACATTATTTCAGTGTGAAACTATTTCTAATAGTGAAAACAATTAACCTTTATCGATATAGTGGAGTAAAGCAGTTCAGTATAGTAAATAAGCATGATGATGTTATGCTTTCCTTTGCCTTTAAGAATAATTTACCACGTACATTAGTTCACATTCATTTTCTATAGGTTTAGCAACCTGCTACTGTACTTGTACAATTACTCTGTTCCAAGATATACCACAGTCTGCCTTTGTGTACTATTCACTTTACACATTTAATCAGATATTTCACAACAGTAGTAATATATACAGCAATAAAGTATAGCCACGGCATGATAGAATAATTATATCATGACAAATAATAACGACACAGCCATATAATTAATCATATATTTATATCACAGTAAAAACTGAGTGTCTGTGGCGAATCTCATAGCACAGCAGTTACCGCATTGGCTGGGAACGCTCGGAGCATTACAGCACTGAAGCCCTTGTACAGCGATCTCAGACCTTCCTCCCTCAATAACTCCCGGAGCACATCCACGAATCCTGAGTATCGTCCTTCCGGAGCTGTGGAATACAATGTTGCATTCGACAGGATTTTATGGTGAACACCTGCTAAGATTTGGCACAGCTGTTTGCTTCATGGAGCATTACAATTAACTGCTCAGTTTATCGCTATTAATTGCTTAATGTTTTTTGGATCAGAAGAAGGTTAATCAAATTAAATGTGGCAGTTACTTTTGAGAGCCATGGGGACTTCTGCTAATATTTCTGGGAATTTTTCCTTTGCAATTTATGTTTCCCATTGCGGTTTCCCATGTTTCGCAAACAGGGGTATGGCTTTCTAAATTCATCCTGTTGCTCTTTTTCAGTTTCAGATCTATTTTGAATTCGAATTGCTCATCACTTTGACTTTCTATAAAAATACTGCTGCTCAGCCCTGTCTGCCCACACATCTATTGTACCCTTATCGCTTATTTTCACAATGCAATTGTGAATCAGATTATGCATTTCAGTCAGACAAGGAACACTGCAACACCCTGACAGCAATCAGGGACAGAGGTCTTAAGCAACCATCGGATTCCTTAGTCTTCCTGATGCAGTTTGTGCAGATCAGCCTAAACTCCAATGAGATGAGTCACTGATGAGCCTATTACAGTTAATGTTTTAAAGAAAAATCTTTCAGAAATTTCCTACCTGTCTGAAAAATTGACTTGAGCACATCCACAGGTATTGCCACTGCCCAGTTCAAGATGCCTGCCATGCCCCCAGCAAAGAGGATTCTAGGAGTGCTCAAATCATTGACACTAAATGAAGAGACATGAAAAGTGAATGGGAGAGGAGCCATTTAAACCTTTAAACACACGTTCACACTTTTTGTACAATACCATAGGTTGTTAAGACTTCTTGTGAAAGTCTGCAGGATTAGGGTAGGGCACAATACAACACAGAGTTAAGATACACAGTGGTAGGAGAAACTCACCTCTGACCTTCTGGAGTCAGGACGTTCTTGAGCCATTCATAACTCATGAAGTACACGCCAGAGGAGGGCACATCTGAAGCCATAAACGTATATTTTCATTGGTTAGAATAATAGATGTATCCACGATGTAGATGATGATAATTGTTGTTGTTGTTGTTGTTATATCATGGAAATCACATGTTTCAATGCAGACAAAAATGTTTGCTGGTTTACCAGTACTATCTGGAACCTGAGAAGTATTTGGTTATGCCTCAGATCCCTGTCTCAGCATATACAGTAACTTAAGGGCCGGCTCATGAGAACCTGGGCTAGCATTGCTGTTCATCATTTTTTCATCCGCAAGCAATCTATGTCCTGAACAATGTATTAGGTTTTGGCTAGAATATACCGTTGTAGATACCAAATGGCCATATGTCATTAATTAAAAGTTATGAGTTTCTCTCACAGTCTGACATGAAAACCATCAGCTCTAGCTTGTTAAGTTTCTTATAAAAACCTCCCTGCACTATTGTCTTTCTAATACATTACCTGTAATACACCTGTGACTTCACTAGTGTTCAAATCTAATGTCGATGCCAAAATACTGTCTGGCTTTACTCAGTTTATACTCTGGGAGATCCACTCTCCTCTGGCGTTAGAGATCTCCCTAATTCTGCCTGAGAATGTGGAGAATGATCTTTTATTTGCTGGAGAGATAACACACTGTTCAGGGTGCTCTTTTCCACCTTTCACCCCTCCAGTGTCTTTTGCATCATCACACTTGGTACATTACCAGCTGTGTAAGGAAGGCAGCTTGCTGGGAGTATTCAAACAGTACCTCTCATCAGCGTGAGCACAGTGCCTTTGTAAATGCTGCGGATCCCCTGCTCTTTGTAGAGCTGCACAGCACAGTCCACAGGGCCGGAGTACTTCAGCACACCTGAGCTAGATTGCACCTAAAACGCATTAGAACAGGAAAACCTTTCAAGCAAGATAAAGACCATGCTCGCTGTAAGTTAATAAGTCTCAGAAATCATCTTACTGTAACCTGCAGAGTGTCATAAAGTCCATTCAGTCAATATAGCTCAGTACCTCTCTCCACCCTCCCACAATAGTTTGCATAATCAGTAACAAACACACCAACGCAAGATCCTCACTTCAAAATTCAGTTTTTAGTGCTTTTGGTAGAAGCACTGTCAGTATTCCTGAACAGTAAAAAAATCTACAATGTCAGTTTAGCCAAGATGTAACAGTTTCTTTGTGCATTTGTTAATTTCTGTTAAGGGGTGAATCACATGGCTGGGACAATGGTGTTACTGTATGGTTAATATTTGAAGGCTGCTTGCATCTGGATACTGTTTTTCTGACCTGCAGCAGACATTTGATTCTTTCCCCTGGTGCCACTATGCCAGTGGTGCAAAGAGCTGCCAACATTCCTGCTGCGTAGATCTGTGGGTATCTGGGTGGGCACAGAGAGAAGCCAGCATTACTACCCAAGCTGACCTAAGAACATTGTTCAACATCATAAAACAGCACAATTACATACAGAAACACCATGATAATACAGGTCTCCTTTGTGGGCTCCAGGGGATATGGTTGATACATCCTTTACAGTGCTGTTACAGCCAAATATACTGTACTATGAACACAATGCTGCTGTAATGTTCAGTTTTTTGTAACATTATGTATATTAGTATTGTGCATAAAACATTGTCTGGTAATGTATTTAACAAACACATAAATAATACAAATGTCTTTACATTTTTTTTAATATGGCTACAATGTTATTCCACTCTTCCAGCAACATTGTAAAACCTTTGCTAAAATGTTTTCTCTATGATAACCAAACCACAACCTTCCTGCTACATCTGGAAATAATGCAAATGTTTTATGTCAGCTGGAGCATCACTACACCCCATTTGTACCAGTGACAATGTCCACTGCCAACCCAAGACATGGGCACTGCTTCCCACTGAACAGTGTTTCACCAGAGGCCCGGGGGCTCACGTGAGAGGGGTGTTGGGATCTTGCTGCTGCAGTCGCTTCCCCAAACCAAACCCGAAAAAGCCGATCGCCATCATTGGAGTCACCCCTGCCAGGGGAGCTGCCATGCCTTTGTAGAGACCAAGCATTCCCTGTCAAAAAAGGACCGACAGCATTTGCAGAAACATTTCTGTGAGAACGCAGTCCATCAGCATTACCCTGCAGGGACATAGACTGGAGATCACAATGTCTCAGGGCTGCCACCTGCAACATTAAATATGATCAAGTTGGTTCTGTCAACACATGACATGTGATATAATTCAGAAGTGGAATCCAACCCATGTGAGAGCTCGCTATCAGCAGATATGGACTGTATGATCTCACCTCTCTGGCCACTGTCCTTTTGAAGCAGTCAAAGGTCCCAGTGTAGATGACATGTTGGCCACAAGCAACTTTGGGCTGAGTCTGTAGCCGAACCTGTTAGCCAAAACATGCAGACCAGTGACTCACACACGTGCCCATACATGTCCATAAACATGCACATGAATAACTGACACAGGCTCATTAAGTACATAAACACACAAATATAATGCAATGTAAGTGTAACAAAGAGTCACAAATTCACACACACTTAAGAACGAAAACACCCAGACAGAAAGGCAGAGTATTAGAAAGACAAACATCACAAACACTCAGATTCAGGAATGAATATGCAAATCCAAACAGACAGATACAATGAAATACCCAGAGCAAATATACAGACATACGGTACACATATTGTACATAGACACACAATGAGCTGAACACATGCACAGAGACAAGAGAGATGTACTGTACTGCTTGTACAGATAAGCAGATGCATGAAGAATGTAAGGTACACTTTGTACATTGCTTAAATTCATTCATGAAAACATTGTGGTTATATCCTTCTTCATAACTCAGCTACAGTGAGCATATCTGTAAAGAACTGGTTCAGCTAGTCTGAAATTGGTGACGGCTTTATACTTTTTTTTTTGTTAAGTTGGATCTTCATGTTCCATTTTACATTTGGTTGTTTGATTTTGGAGGAAGGAATAAATCAATAACACTTAAAAAAAAAGAAATAAAATGGGAAAAAAATTATAACTAACCACAATCAAACCCCACAAGCACAGAGAAATTATCTGACAGAACGATGACAGTAAACTGTTCTAGATAAGGAGAGAGCAGAGTTTGACTGATAGGCAGGGGAAGTTTGTCACCCAGTGGACGAAAATGGCTGCCTCCCCTGATAAAGCTGGCTCCTGCAGCTTCTAACGACAATCTTTTCTGAAAAGGGGTCTTAAAGTATTTTTAACTACTAGAATACTTCAAGGAACTTGAATCAGTAAGCTGCTAGTAACCAAAATGAGAAGGAAGAAACACATGTATTCCACACAACTACAACCCTTTTAAATTTAGCTTAAAATTTAGTAATCTTGCTACTTTAGTGCTATTTTTGTAAAGAAACCTACACCTGCTGGTACAATACATACAGTACTTTACTGGCACATCATAATTTTCTACTTAATCACGTAAATACAGGTTACTACTTTTTGCCAAGTAAACTGTGCCATGGGGGTCTTTCTCTATCTCAAATTATTGTCATTGTCTTCTTGTCATAATTTCTTGTCTGTTTTTGATCCAGCCCTGTTTTCTAATAAACTTTCTCGGTTGTCATTCTTTAGATTGGAACAAACTGGCTGTTATGAATGAATAGTATCTGACGGTCTCCCAAGGACAACTAAAGACTCAAGTCCTGGGAATTTAATTACCACATCAGAGTGACAACGTGCTCTGAAGGCTGCTGACAAATACTGACACAGTAGAGACTGCCCATCATTTTTAGATTTTCTCAACTTTAACATTATTGTGAAAATTCTAAATTATTTATGAAGAAATCTCTTTTGAAATTATTATTATGGAAGACTAAAACCACAAACATGTCGGTACTGGACCGTCAAAAGTAACTTATAAGGCCTTCCAAACCAAACGACTGTCGCTAACACCCTAAATCGCATAATCCAGGTGGGTCCTGCACATCGGTTGTGGGGGGAGAGTCCCCATTACCTGTAAAGCGCCTTGAGTGGAGTGTCCAGAAAAATGTAAGGATTATTATTAACTGAAAGAGGACCGATTTCAAGTGGAAACTAGAGTCTTCAAGTCGTGACTGTTACTACGGTATCTGCATTTATACTGTATGATTGCACTGAATATCTGTTAATTAAACAAAGAATTATAAGAAGCACTTTGTAGGATGAATGAATGTTTGCTTACACATAAACGTATCAACAACAGCAATAATAATTATTTACTTACAGTACGACTATTAAGGATAATTTTGAACAGACCAGTGGTTAGCAACGTCAAACTGAAATACAAGTTTGACGATTAATGGCAAGCACTGGACTAGATGCAACTTTTACCACAATGCTAGCTTTGCAAATTATTTCCTTACATTTTTTTATTTCTTTTCGCGATCGCTCGTGTTTTCGCTCGCGTTTAATTCAAACCAGACAGCAGTTGCTTGGCATTGCACTCACATCTGACTCAAGCGAGCTAAAAATCTCGAAGAGCAAACAACACAAAATAATAGAGCCGCATAAAGAAGCGCTTGTTCTTCTACTTGTAGTTGGTTCCACAGGAAGTAAAGCAAGAGGAATACAATTTAGGAAAGCTTTGAAGTGTGCAGAAATGAAAGATTAAGTCATGCCTTCATTATCCCCGTATAGGTTACAGAATCCGAGCCCCATGCTATCATACAATTATGTTTTAAGGGTGTTTATAATCCATTTTTCTCAAGAAAAGTGACAGGAGCCTAATTGTACTGCATTGCGTCAACCTGTGAGCCCTACAAAAGCTGCCAGTAATTCTGGGTTCCGCCAAGTTGAAGAAAAACCGGTTTTGTGCGCTAATTCAGAACATTTTTTCCAGTGCTGGTCTGCATTCATTTAGTTTCCATTGAGTTTTAAATGACATTTTATGGAGACATTGTGTTTTTTTATTTCAACCTAATGTCGATAGTTACTTTGTGAAAACGTACCTGTAACGTCCAATCCACGCACTGAAACGTAAAATACTGGTTCAAGAGATATTAGTTTATTAGTTAGAATATTAGTTCATTTCTTTAACACTATACTGTAACATAGAAGGAAGAATCATATTAATTCATATGGCCCCGTGCTTTATTTAAAAACATGCCATATGTAATTTACAGATATGAAGTCTTCACCCCAAAAGAGAGGCATTGTCAACCCATTACAAACCCATTGATAGTTCTACTACTTATAGCATATTTTACATTATTTTAATTATAGCAAGACCTGGTGCTGAAACGACATCAAACCAGCTCCCGAAATGTATCGACAAGCGTTTCATTGATTGTTATGGTGGTTTTATCACTAAACGTTTGCCCCTGCCTGAGAACTAATTGAATAGAGTTTACAGTGGCAAGAAGTTGCAAGCACTTCCAAGTACACCATGGTACACTATTACCTTAATAGTGTCCAGGGGATGTCCCGCTAACAGGAGGCATGCTCCTCCGACTCCCCCAGCAAAGAAGTTCTTCACAGGAGAAACTTGTTGTATTTCTCCCATTAGATCTCCAACGGCTTCCAAACACTAGCCGTTAAAATCCCACAGTAACCCGGAGGATATATCCCCATAACCCACTCCCACCGCCTGTTCCCACCCCCGTTTCGTTCGCGTCTCCTTTTCCCGTGTCATGAAGTGAACTTTAGACATCCTCGAGTCCTCCCCACCAAGGGGTTACGTACAGCCCTGGTAGCGAGTCAGTCTCAAGGAGGCGCCACCCACTAGATTATCAGGTGAACGGGCTTTCGGTTTGCGCTTCACTATAGTATACTGTACAGGAGATGTACAGTAGTATGTTTGAAAACACCTCACACGTTCTAAAAGACTTAATCAGTATGCGCCAAGTGAATAAAAAAGACCAATACTACTTCGAGACGGGATTTGTTTTGCAACTGCTTCACTGCGAAACCCGCTGATAATGTTTTGTGCACAGTTTTTCTCTCCAAGCATTTTTTTTTTAACACGGGCCGATCTGCCACCTGTCACATCTAGAGTTATTATTAATGGTTTGCTGCCGGAAAATCATAGAGGTGCCTAGGAAAGTGCAAACTTCGTGACAGGTTTTCGAAATCAATAAAATAAACAAGCATCAAATGTGCAAGAACCAATATTAATATGAGCTTATTTATATCTTCGGAATGTATGAATATTAAGAGTAAATTAGGCCAACGTCTTCAACACGTGAGTCATAAACCATACACATTAGGTATGAAGCAAAACAGGAACCTGAATATCAGGTGTGACGAGGTTAAAAATATATTTTATAATATAGGCCTACGTCCTTTTGGAATCACGCATTTTGAAAAATATATTGTGAAGCTACAGTACCAATATCAAAATGAGTTTGAGGTTAAAACACATTTAACCTTGTAAATACGATCCTTAGTTAAAGATTGTCAACGCCAGTTACTGGTTTCTGGCAGTAGTGTAAAAAAGACTTTCAAGGGGATAAACAACCACCATGATGGAATTTACAGATAATAAATTATTTTCCTATCAAAAAAAGGAAATCCAAAAAAATCGGTATAAAGAGTAGGGGTGTAACCCCGGTATCCTGGCTAAATTTCCCATTAGCCCTTACCAATCATGGCCTCCTAATAATCCCCATCTATGAATTGGCTTCATGAGTCTCTGCTCCCCACTGACAGCTGATGTGTGGTGAGTCTTCTGGTGCACTATGGCTGCTGTCGCTTCTGTCGCATCATCCAGGTTGGGCTGCACATTGGTGGAGGTTGGGGGGAGTCCCCATTACTTGTAAAGCGCTTTGAGTGGAGTGTCCAGAAAAGTGTTGTATAAGTGTAAGCAATTATTATTATTATAAGCAAAATAATAAATTCAATGGTGTTGTAGTAGAATGTCGTTGTCTCCCTCTAGTGACACTTTTAATTACTAACGTTTAATACAATCTGAAAATCATAAGGCTTTTGCACAACTGGGTAAAGTGAGCCAATTGCATTAACTGTAAAGTGGCAAATTTGCTCACAGTTGGAAACAAATGTTTTTCCTTACTTTTCAGTTCGATAAAAAGCTCAGTTTTAATGTATTTTCCATACTGAATGTTTGACAAAAGTATGCTGTTTTTGTCTCATACCTGATTGCAGTAACTCCCTGCATTCCTGCGTCTCTACAACGATAGGATTTTGATTTCTTTGTTTTTGCGTGTTACAGTAGATCCCACTGCCTTGTTACAGCCCCAGAACAGCTGTGCTTGTTGGTAGAGCTTGACAATTGCTTAGGATGTTGTGTGCTTGGAAAGTTTCGTGGAAATATCAATACATTTAATTTAATTTGATTTCTAATTAACCGCTTCCCTTGATCATGGTTTGCCCTGTGATATTTTTATGAATTTTAAATGTAATAATTGTTTTTGTAGTATTACTGCTCTATTAAATTTAAAATTATTTTGCAGCCATTATTTTGCAGTGAATGTTCGGACTGATTCAATGAAAGTTCCATAGAATAGTCATTGTTCACACATTAAAAGAGTGGAGTTTTCTCAGGAAGAACAATCACTGTTGTCTCTTCTTACATACTGTACATGTATGGGACCTGTGTTTTCCTCAAAGGGGTGTAATCAACAATAGTGCCTAGATATTTGTAACTGCTGACAATTTCAATTTCTTGCTTCTTTTTCAGTTACGAGTTCACAACCCTAATCACTTCTTTTCAGTCCTGCTTTTTTAAGGCATACAAATTAGATGGTATTTTAAAAGACATCCTCTACACTGTTCACAGTGCTTAACCTCAATTCAATGTGACCCCCAAATTAAATAATATTCAATTAAATGTCTTAATGTCCAGGATGACAATGGCCACAAAGTTTACATGAATTGTTAATGCAAAAAAGGATAATTACATGCAGATACAATAAAATAGAAACATATTGTAACACTTACGGCCACCAGTGATTGTGTAAGGTGACATCACCGCCCTTCCCTGTGATAGCAGGGGCTACAGCCTCCGGCCTGAGGGGAGATCTCTCTTTAGCTCAACAGGCTGCATCCCTGTTGAGTGATGCTGGAGGCCCGGGTTCGAGTTCCCAACGGTGGGGGGGCTGACCTGATGGGGCAGCGGCAAGGGTGCCCACCTGAACCCTGAAGGGTTATAATATTAATAAAATGACAGAAAGGCTAGCATATGATAAACCTGGAAGTGCAAAACAACTGATGTGCATAATAAAAAAAATACTATTTTGCTTTTTATTGATTTGCCCGACATCCCAACACTCTTTTCACCCAGGTCATTGACTACAGTAGTACTTCAGATACTGCTGGACAAAGTTAAAAGACAAAATACGGTAGGTGACCTGAAATTCTGTTTATTTCAGATTTTATAACCACCCCTTGAGGCAGCAGTGTGAAGTGACAGGGCTCTGGAAGCATTAGGGGAAGGTTATGGGTTCAAATTCGAGGTGATGTGCTGTTGTTGTACCCTTTACCAAGGAATTTCAGTAAAATGTCTGGCCGTATAAGTCACATTGAATAAAAAACCCCGGCCAAATCATTACTAATTGTTATTAATGCTTATACATTCAAAGATGTATACTCTACCAATATGCAGGCATCTACCATATATACTGTACGTCTACATACAATTAGCTTATCTACTGCAAACAACAGCCCTGCCACCCTATGGGCTTGAACTCATGCACTTTAGACACCTCAGCTCACTTCATTCTGGAACAGAAGACCATAAGAGGTTGTGATTTAATATTAAAAAAGACCAGGCGACGGTATAGCCACACTCCTACTTTAAGCTTAACTAGAAAAACAGCAACGGCAACTGCAAGTGGATACAAGGTATAAATGGAAGACATTTTTATTTAAGGCATGGGTGTTATGTTTTTTTTGAGAAACACAGTACTTGCATATTATAGGATCTGATGTACTGGCATTCCTCAGGAAACACCTTGATCATTGCTGCTATTAACCAAACCAACAGGTGGGGTTCTCCTCATTTGCAAACTTTGTGTTAAGGGATGTAACTTAGTATATTAATTATCTTTAGGATAAAATAATTGTAGGTCAATTTGCTATGAACCAATATTTTGTCTGAGAATCTATTTGTGCCACAGCACGAATGTTTTGCATTAATCATTCGTTAAAAACACATTTTTTATTGTTTTCTCATAATTATTTCACAAAGAGATCACCTCACGCAGTCCAGTCTACTACACGGACACACAAGCGCAGTGTTTAATGTGGCAGAAAGGGATTGCTTCTATTTTGCATGGAGATGTTTCTTGAGTGACACTCAGGGACTCTTCCCTGCGGCCATTTTTTCCCTTTTTTTCTTCCTGCAAGAGGAACGCCTTATAAACTCCACATACACACTGACTCGTTCTCATCAGCATCCTTTAGCACAGCTGTAGTATCGATTTCTGCATCGTCCAATGGTGCAGCCGGCGGAGTGATAGCACAGCCTCCGCACGAAGGTCACAGACTGAACATCTTTCCCAGGAACGAAAAAAGGGCTGGGCCTTTCTGCATACAGAATAAAATAGAGCAAATCAGGATATAATAAAACTCAACCCATAACCTATAAAGACATTTTTTAAATTGTGTGTTAAAAAGCTTTTGTTAAAGGAGAGTCTAGATGATAAAGATTTAACAGTAGAAGGGTTGGCCAGCACTTTAGTGGTATCTAAAGAAAAGGAGGGGGGAAGAACTATTTGACGTCGCGGAGTTGGCGGCGCAGGCAGTACAAGTGGTTCGAGAGACAGGGCCATCTTTGGTCTATTTCGCCGGACACAGTTCAAGCTCTAGCGATTTAAACCGAATCACGATTATTATTTACCCCCCCACGAGCGAGTTTTTTTTTTCTTTACGCAATTACGTGAGAAAAATTAAAGAAGCGACAAAAAGCCATGGATGAAGAATATGATGTTATTGTTTTGGGCACCGGCTTAACAGTAAGTGCGAGACTTTACCCGATGAATGGCTTTTAAATGCACTTGAAGGGGTCCTAGTACCTAGTAAGAGTTATCATTATATACCCTGGTGTGATGCATGTATTTCGATTTAAAAGTCCTTTGTCTGGGAAAGATTACTGAACGTTAAGTTACGCAGTGTTTGCGTCAGTTTTGCTTTGGAAGAGCTTACAGCATCAGTTGTACGATTAGATAAAAAATACCTAACACTGTACATCTTTCAGCAGTCTTTTAACTTCCAACAGATATTGTCAGATAAGAAACGGGGCCTTCGTGTGCTGTTTCGTATTCCTAGCTATATCTTCGCAGGAAGGGCGCATTTCTTCATTGAAGACGTTCAATTTAAACGATGTGCATCGTGGCAACTGGGCGTCGTTTTGCGTATTTAACCGTTTCATATAACACGGCGTATATCTAAAATCTTATCTATCTTAATGGAGTGAGTGGGGCCTTGAGATAATTGTATTGCAGGTAGTAGGCCCTACAATAAAAGACAGGGAAGAAAACCCCTTTTTAATTATTGATACCGAAACCACCATCGGGATTGTGTTCTGGTGAACCGAGTCAGGTAACACGCCCAGCAGGGCTGGCTTGTTCTGTGCAAACAGTGACAGGTCGCTCGCTAACCTACAGTACGGAGAGCCGTTGTGCCCGGAGTCATTTTTTTTTCCGTGTAAAATCTGATCATTTCTACAAACAAAACGCAACGTTTTTCAGCGCATTTTGACACCGTCTTTAACAGCTGAGGGAGAAAAAAAACGTGAATAGTGCTGACATCACTGCATCAGGCGATGTAGTACAGTATGAAAAACGCACGTAGCCTCAGTCATTCTCTTACGTACATAAGCGCATTCAGTGATGATAATACTCATTCTAGTAAATTTCACATAAACACGGGTACCGGAAGAGCCGGTGCGCAATAATTTATCTGCTTTACTTAGCCCTAACCTCTTTTGCGATCTTACTGTACATAGACACTTATATTTATATATACATAAGAATCTCAATGGTCTGACTTGCAGAACATGTTTGAACTAGCAGGCAATGGAAAAATTAAAATAGGAATATGGTTTTCACGTTAATACCTGTGAAATTAAATCTGCATTGTACGGTTGCCATGCTGTGACGTTATGTAAGCCTCCTTCAAGCTCAGTAATTGAGCTGTGTAATCAATTTGTACATTAATGTTATAAAATCATTTCGTAAAATGTTAACGATCAAATGATTCTGAAGCGCTGAATTATTTTCTTAAAAGATAAAAGCTTAACACCGTTCATTTTAGTCGCGGTTTATCTTTGTGCGTTGTAAACGATATGCACCTTGGTGTAATAATCTACTGTATGTGTGCAGTAGTTCACATGCGCTACAGTAGTACAAACCGTAGCCCGTCTCTGTATAGAAAGAGCTTGGGTGGGGTTTGGAGGACCGGAGACATCCCAGCTTGCACCGTACTGCTGAACAGTTGGGCGGTTTTGCCTCTTTGCCGAAGAACAGTAGCAGTCATTGAAGAAAGTGAAGCCTGGGTTTGTGCATTGCACTGTACCCAGAAATGGTCACAGCGTGAGGTTATCTTTAGGGATACTGTTAATTTCTGGTTGGGTTTTTCTTCGTACGCTGTCACCTATATGAACTGTCATTTCAGAATATCCTGTAGTTGTTTTGTGTGCTACAAATTGTTTTACAGTATACAAGCATAATTCAATATAAAATCTTAACTACTACCATTATCCAGCACCTAGTGTTTGCGATATTAATACAAGTCATGCTTCTCTTAACAGTGGTTTTGGTGCCTCTGCCCCCTTTCATTTCGTAAATGCTTGAATAAACCATTTTGAGACCTTTTTCACCAAACTGTTGATTATATTCTGAGTCTCCACTGGCAAGAGGTAAATTGTGGTATGGAGCAATAATGGTTAAGAATATACATAGGCGGTATTGAGAAAAGTTACTTCTAAATAGTATGCCATTACAGTTTAATGTGTAAGAAATTGCTTTCTAAAATCAAGAAGTTAAGAATGAAAATGAAGGTTTGGGGGATTTAATGTTGCATAATCTTTGTTGTTTCTATAGTTGAAATATATAATAATACATTACTTCTTAAAAGCAATTTCTTGCAATATCTTTACACAAGTAACTTGTCACTGTAATAGATTACTTATAACATGTTACTCTCTCCAGCATTGCACCCAGGTATGTTTGATTTTTGTTACCACCCCCCCCACTATATGTGCTGAAAGCACTGTAATGAAACAGAAGAAAATGTGAAGTTCAATATGGGTTGTGACCAGAATGTTCTTTACAAACAGCCCCCAGGGTTTGAATTGGGTGTCTGCTTATGGCTAAAATGTAGGTTCCCTCTTTGGTGTAGGGAAGTGAAGAGGATTGTTGCAATATTGCCACTGTAAAAAAAACAAACAACCTTTGTCTTCTTTGTTTGGTAGGAGTGTATTCTGTCGGGGATCATGTCTGTGAATGGGAAGAAGGTGCTGCACATGGATAGGAACCCATACTACGGTGGAGAGAGCTCATCCATCACCCCTCTGGAAGAGGTAAAGGCCAGTTACTTGGTGTACCATGGACCTTATTCATAGACGTGGTGTACTAGGTTTTCACCTGTTCTTTACACTTAAAAAAACACGAAGGTTAAGAAGGAAAATGTCATGGAAAAACAGGAAGATGCTAATGCAGTTGAATAATTCCTTTAATTTTTGTTTTTTGTACAAAAGGATAAAACTCCAGTGCCCTCTCGCACTGCTGTAGTCATGGATAGGCAGCCCTGTAATTGATTTGTCTCTTTAAAGGCAGCATAGCAAGGCACAGAAGAGTCACCCATGCAGCAGAACTGTTTTCAGTTTCTTTTTTTTTAATTGGCAGAAAAAAAAGTCTTGTAAGGATTGCCTTTTATGTTTTCCCCCCATTTTGTTCCATATGAAACTATAACATCACTTAGAAAATGGACAGATAAACTACTCACTGTTTAGAAACTCTGCTGGCCTGTTTTTTTTATAAGTCCTTTGTTTTGTCTTCCTGTCTGTAGCTGTACAAACGGTTTGATCTCCCAGACAGCCCCCCTGAGTCAATGGGAAGGGGACGCGACTGGAATGTGGATCTCATCCCCAAATTCCTCATGGCCAATGGTCAGTGGGTCTGACATTCTGTTTTGGTTTTGATTTTAGCTCTGCTCCCCGAGTGTTTTTGGTCCCGGTCTTGGAGTCCTGGCACGTCTTTTGGTTGTCTTTCCAGTTTTGCTTTTATTTACCGCCTGTCTGTCCCGCTCCTGGCCGTCCACGATGGGCATCGCACCCAGCTTCCCTTCTTTCGTCATGCGGGTGGGTGAGCTCAATGGGAGGAGACCCTGGAGCAGACTCAGGACACTTTGGAGGGATTATCATCTCTCAGCTGACCTGGGAGCACTCGGGAATCTCCCACGAAGAATTTGGAGACTTTTGCTGGTGAAGGGGAAGTCTGGCCTGCCTCAGCCTGTTACCGCTTCACCAGGATTAAGTGGCTACAAAATGGATGGATGGTTTACTTAATATCACTGATATCACTGAATCTTGAACTGTTTTTTGAAATTATTTTTAATGCCTGTTAGCACTTGGTTTTGCATTCGAGTTTTATTAGAGAAATTGTTGAGTCTGTCCTCAGGTTACCGTTCACCTTCCCATTAGGAGTGTAAGATAGTGCCAAGATAGAGACACTCTGTTTGAAATGGGGCCCAGTTAATTACATTCTAGGCACCTGGTCATTGGGGAAAAAAATACACATGGGGGGAGTTAAGAATGTCATCTTTCAAAATGGCATGATTTAACCTTTAAAGGCTGAAACTGTTAAAGAAGGACAACTCAAATTAGATCAGTGAAATGGTTCTGCAAGCTTTAACGGAGAATAGTTACTTATCTGAAAAGAAAACCAGAAGAGACTTGGGACTCCAATACCAGGTTTATTGTATCTAATTAACACTTGTCTGTCATTTTAATTTTTATAGTATTGCTTTTGACTACTATATATAAGGATGTGCATATAATATTTCTAAAATGAATGCCCTTCAGTTCTTTTTATTAGAAATCTATCAATGCTTTTAAATGAATCCTGTGACATTATAAATTAAAAAGGGCTTTTCATATTAACTTTACTCCCTCAAAAAGGTAAGCAGGCTTCTTGTTGTCTCGCATAAAAAGACGAAAATTGTCTCATTTAAAATCAGTGTCCATGACTGCTGATACAGACAATGGTATCACCTGTTGATATCATCTTTCTTTACTCTGTCCCACAGGGCAGCTAGTGAAGATGCTGCTGTATACAGAGGTGACCAGGTATCTGGATTTCAAAGTGGTGGAGGGAAGTTTTGTTTACAAGGGAGGGAAGATTTACAAAGTGCCGTCAACAGAGACTGAGGCTCTTGCCTCGAGTAAGTGTGCTGCTGTCAGATTGCTCCTTGTGTTTCTTGCACCAGCTTTTATTTTCTCTGCCATAATCCATGAGCCACATCTTCACACAGTAGTTCAACTGTTTTTAAATGTTTTGTTGAATATCAGTTGGTGTATAATATAGTATGAACTTGTTGTGGGTAGGGTGGTTTGTGAAATAAGTTATGAAAGTTACACCTCAATTTTGGAATTCCTGAGTTTGTAAAATTCTTTCCACCTTTTAAACAATTTGGTAATTTTTTTATGTATTAAAACAGTCCAAACAACTATTTGTGCAGATTGGTTAAAGGTATGAAACACTTTGTTTCATACGAGGTTTAGATATAAGGTTGTTAGTGCAGCAGTTATCTTGCCTTTTCACTTTCATCTACATTGAAGCCTCTAGATCCATTGAAACAAGTAGGAGTTGGCTCAGATGATGATTAAAGGAAGACAGCATCTTAAAATATAAGGGTGCTGCCTGTTAAGTGTTAAATAGCTGCACTAATTTCTACACTAATTGTATGTTTTCTAATGACTTTTGAGTAGTGCTCTTGTATCACATTATAAAACAGTTGCCACACAGACAGATTCTGAAGGTGGATAGGCAGTGATTGAGCCATATTGCTCCTTATGTTAGAGTTGTTGATAGTTTTACTTGCCAGGAAGAAGAGCATTTTACCTTGTGATAAAACAGTCTTTTACATCAGCTGTATTGATGAAATACTGAGTTTGTAGGAGAATCTTTGCAAGTCAAAAGCACAATAAGCACATATTAATATTGGTTTCCTGAAGTTATAGAGAGGGCAATGGTTGTGTGAATCATATTACTTTCTGCTAATGATAGTTTTTTCAAACTGAATTTACAGTTGAGTTCCCTTCTTCTGTATTCACCCTGACAATCATCTTCATCTTTTCCTGAAACATCTTTCTGGAATTACTAGATCATAAACATTGGTGTTCATTAGTGTGGATAAATACTTTAGCTGGAATTCTAGTTAACCCTTTTATGCCAAGACGGTTCAAATTAGTATATGTATTCACTTAAACTAACTTCAAGTAAACCACATACATACAGATGTCTGCAACTATGACTATATATAATGCACAAAGTACTTTTTATGGATTTTGGTTCAATTGGCATTGTTTCACATAGATCTGATGGGCATGTTTGAGAAAAGGAGATTCCGGAAGTTTCTGGTGTTTGTCGCCAATTTCGACGAGAATGACCCCAAGACCTTCGAGGGGGTAGACCCCAAACTGACTAACATGAGGGATGTCTACAAGAAGTTTGACCTGGGCCAGGATGTGATTGACTTCACTGGTCATGCTTTAGCCCTGTACAGGACAGACGAGTAAGTAAGACTACAGGCCAACCCATTCCTGTGTAACATACCTACTTTAGAAGAGGGATTGTCTAGTAACGGTTAAGTGTTGCACTTAATGCTATGGTTGGCACAGGTACAATTTCTGCTGCCTTATTAACTTATGCATTTGGAGGTTCTCTTCTGTATTTCATTCCACCTGATACCGGCAGCTCTCTAGGACTAAGTCAGTATATTGCTGCAGAAACTGTGAATCAGAATAACTTCATTGACAGGTTTGAAGTATATTTTTCAATTCACCTAGATACAGAAATCACAGTTGTGTTTGACAGTCTTTTTAAAGTTATTAATTTTTAAAGCAAATTCCTTGGAGGGAATGTGAAGTAAAGGAAATTTACACTATCCTCGTCCTTGTTAAGGGGTACATAGTTATATTCTTTGATAGCAATGACTCTGCAAAGTTTATTGATGAATGAAATTCATCAGCTATTTATATGATGATATTGGGAGTTGTTTAAAAAAAGTGGTGATTTATGAAGTGCAAGGTTGAACTGTGTTATCCATCTGCGGCATGTGCACTTTCATTTGTCAAGACTGTGAAAGTCAGTAGTTGGAGCCAAACAAACCAGGTTGGAGTCAGATCTGCTGTAAAAGCAGCTCTGTTCAGTCCCTGTCCATGGTGCTGAACTCCCAAGTGTTGTAATCCGTCTTGATGCAAAAGAAAAATAAGTCTCCAACTTGAGTCCTTGATGTCCTCTGTAAAGGGCATTTTTCCTCTTTCTTTTACACATTATTAGAATAGAACTTGAAACAATTTCAACTTCAGTAAGAGCACAAATTACAACATGAAGAGGCCATTTAGCCCATCTGGCTCATTTGATAGGTAATAGATCCATTGATCCAAGGATCTCAACCAGCCAGTTCTTGAAGGTTACTACAGTATCGGTTTCAATCATATGGCTAAGGAGCTTGTTCCATACTTCACAACCCTGTTGGAGGTTACACTGGTTCAGCTGAGCTAATGACTGCAAATAAAATCTGGGGTGGAATCAGGAATGGAGTACCAAGAACATGAGGGAAAGAGCTACAGACAGACAGAACCCTGATTTTTGGTCCCGTTTTTTTGGGGAAACCTATTCAGTAGACATTACGAAACCAGGGGAAAAAATGACTGATGTGTTTCTTACTCCTAGGTGTTGTATACAAGTATTTAACTGATTGTTTAATGCTTTTCTGTTTCCCACCACAGTTATCTGGACCAGCCTTGCCTAGAGACAATTAACCGCATAAAACTGTACAGCGAGTCTCTGGCTCGGTATGGCAAAAGCCCATACCTGTATCCTCTCTATGGGCTGGGAGAGCTACCTCAGGGATTTGCAAGGTGTGTACATTTCAGTGTATAAAAAATACTCAAATTATTTTCTAACTGTAAATGTTGGCAGTTTTTCTCTTAATTTACTACTGTGAAGAGGGTTAAAGGAACGTTGAGATGTGATCCTCATCGCTCACTTTGATCTAAGAAACATCATAGGCTTAGTTTTTGTGTATTTATTAGCCCTGTAAGTGCATTTGTGAAAGGTGTTCTGTATCCAGTTAGAACTCTGAAAGCTTGTGAACAGAATAATAGTGTTTACTGAGCATTTTAAAAAAGTTTAATAGTCATTGTGGCAAACGTTACCATTTGGCACACGGTATGTGTGGAACTTCATCTTGTACCATTGGACGAATGATAAAATGATAGATTCTTTATGTGAAGAGAAACTTGGAATTGACTTATAAGAAAAGCTGCTCTCAGATCAAACAGCTTTAGGACCACTAAAAATTCCCCCAAATTAATGTGAGAATAAAGTGTGGTTGTGTCTGGCAGTTGCTTTATTCCTTTAGTCTTTTACTCGTTTAAGTCACAAATGGATCAAACTTGCCATGTCTATTAAATAGAGCACTTCTGTGTGTTGGTAGGTTAAGTGCGATTTATGGAGGTACATACATGTTGAACAAACCAGTGGATGAAATCGTGATGGAGAACGACCGTGTCGTCGGAGTTAAATCGGAGGGAGAGGTAAACTATAAGCTGTGACCACCAATTGTTCTTTTCTTCTCTCGGGAAGGAGTGTTTTAGCAACAAGGCTTTGGGTTCTGCCAGGCTCCATTGTGGACATCTTAAAAACTGGTGGCAGTGTTTTAACAAGAGGAGCCATAGCAAAATATGAAACATTGTAATAAACTTGAACCTTGACATATCCTGATTGCTTTCAGCAAATGTAGCTCAAATTTGAAATCAGCTATCTTCAGATTAGTGCCCAGCCTGCATTCTGAATGTCAATGTCAGTGATAACTACTAACCCTTCAAACCCTACACTTGAAATGTATGTACTAATATTAAACAAGCCTTGAAAGGCCACCATGGAGCAGACATTAAAATGAGAGACTTTGTAGTCCTCTATTATCTGTTATCATACATCAAGACCAGATGTTTGGATTTCTGGGCCAAAAGGTGTCGCTTGTCCTTTATACTTCCAAGAGCATGATGCCTGACGTATTAACTTGTCAAGAACTGATAAAGGACGGATTTGCCTTCCTTCTGAAATCTGACAAGTAGTAGCCATTATAGCTTCTGAACGGCATGACAAATCTGAGTGATAACGTGTATTGTTGCAGGTGGCGCGCTGCAAACAGCTCATCTGCGACCCAAGCTACATACAGGACCGTGTCAGGAAGGCAGGCCAGGTGATCCGGGTCATCTGCATCCTGAGCCACCCTATCAAAAACACCAATGATGCCAACTCCTGCCAGATCATCATCCCACAGAACCAGGTTAACCGCAAGTCAGGTAGGACCCAATAAACACACAGAGCCTCTACTTGCAGGGATATTTGTATTATTTCCTGTAATGTAGTTTCCTCAAAGCTGAAGGGGATAGCTTTGTGAAGTGGTTATATCAGTAATGAAATATATGCATGAAGTGAGGTAATCATCTTTTATAGTTAAGAAATAGAAAATTAAAACTGTGGAGCAATGCATAGGAAATATTTCTCTATTTACAAAGCACACTTTCAATTGATGTCCTAGAACAATCAGGTTCAATGCTAGTCAATCCTCATGCATCCAAATCTACAATGTGTCCCTTAGATATCGGTCGTTAATGTGAATTTGTTAATATGAGGTTGGCATTTTGAAAACATCAGTAATGCCTTTATAGTTTATATTACCAAAAAGTCAGATTTATTGTAACAGAAGCTTGGGGGAGCCCTGATTGTAGATGTGTTTCAGGGTTTCACAATTCTACACTCTGTATTAAAAGTTCAAGCAAACAAAACACTTTCAGAAAATATAGGATGTCAGGTGTTCAGATAGCACAACAAGCAAAGGAATACAGCTCAGCCTCAAGATGCTCTTGTCCATGTCTGATTGAAAATCTACAAACAATGGTGCAAAATTGATCTGTTTCAGAAGAGTTTGGTGTGATTGAGTCAACTAGTATAGCCACAGTGTGCACCTCTATAGTAGTCCCTTTGCCTTGCTTTGCCTACAAGTATGAACTATTCCCAGCTGTCTGCCCTACAGAGAACTCTGTGGAATTTAGTGTGAAAAATTTCAATTGTCTGCAGATTGTGCTTGCTTGAGGAACGTGTGCATGGACTATTCTGTCCCATGTTTGTATGAACATTCCAACATGAACAGGTGAATGTTTCTGGGTGGGGAGGGAGTGTATGATTTTCTTTTTAAAGAAAAACTAGTTTTTTTTAATGATTAACATGTATGTAAAAGTTGCTATCCTGCCTTCCCTCCACAGATATCTATGTGTGTATGATCTCCTATGCCCACAATGTGGCAGCCCAGGGGAAGTACATCGCCATCGCCAGTACCACTGTAGAAACCAGCGACCCAGAGGCAGAGATTGAACCTGCGCTGGAACTCCTTGAGCCTATAGACCAAAAGTCAGTCTACTTTCTACTGTACTACTTTGCAATAGCTGACTGTCTGACGTGGCCAATGGCAATCTATGACAATGTTTTCTCTGATTTGTGAGCATCTTTTTAGATATTCTATCCTCCCTGAAAGAGTAATCTGAGGTTGTTGCTGTAAATGGCCTTAATGCACCAGCAGGTGACACTGTTTACTCTGGACTGGATTTTCCAAACCATTGCCCTAATAAAGTGAAAGGTGATGCTGAGCTGCAAAAGATGTTGACAAACTGAAGTCCTGATTAGTCACACCTGTGTCCTGACAGAGTTTCTGTTATTTTCCAAGTCTTCCTAAAATTCCACCTTATTTTAATGGGTATAGTAATTTCTCACTTCTGCACCTGATCTGCTGTGTCGTGAAGCTGCTGAATGTTACTGAAGTGGGCACTGTGGAGGGATGAAGCAGGTGACCTCTTTATTGTGAATCTCCTGGCTCCTTTGGCGTGAAAGTCATAGTAGAAGTGCAGTTAATTACAGTACTTCTAAAGAAAGATTACCCATAACTGGTGAGCATTTGAAAATTTCCCAGCAATTGTAGGACTGCCCTGCAACTGTTTGAATTTCTTTAAAGTTTACAATTAAAAATGCCTGTTGTAAGGTGGCTGATGGTATGGTATGTCAGCATAATCGAGTCACAGTTCTACTCTAATTTTCACATTCAACATCAGATGTGATATGTGATGAGTGTCATACAAAAACGTTAGTCAAGCTTACATGAAAAAACCTGTAATACACACAGGAGTCATCTGTTCTTGTACTTCTGCTTTTCCAGGTTCGTGGCCATCAGTGACCTTTATGAACCTACAGATGATGGCACCGAGAGCCAGGTAACACTTCAACGAACTTAAGAACAAAGTAGCACAAGTGTGATTTTAAATACATTATTTTTATGCAATACCTGTTAATGGTCATGTTAAAGTTAAGTAGTACACCAATATCCAACCCTGTTTTCTTCACAGTCTTAATTTCTGACCATCTTAAAGAGTTGAGTAAGGCTGCACTCATTGGTTCTTAGTATTCCATAACACAGGTGAAGCTCTGCAAATCTCAGTGTTTTGATGAGCTAAATATTAGGACAAATCACTGTGCACATTGTTTCACCGTCATTCTTCCCAAATAGAAGTTTTCTTCTGAATAGAAATTCTGGAAACCCAAGTGCTGCAGAGCATGTCATCTTTGGTTGAGATACCATTGTGAAGTTCTAAATGTAGATCATATGGGATTGTTCAGAAAAGTGCTCACTACAGGGTTTCGCTGTTTGGCCTACTTGAATTTCCCTTTTGGTTCAATTTTTTTTTTTTTCACTTTTTCTGGTGTGCAGTACTGTGCCTGTACAAAATTTTTGCTTTGCCCAGAAAGTGCTCTACATCAGTAGGCGATTGAAGCGAACCCCCTCGTGCCTCTAAAGCAATTTGGATTCTCAGGACTGAAATGCATGGCATTTTAGCTTCAAAGAATAAAAATGTGCTGTCAAACCTTGATTCACAATCCTATAAAATATTGCTATATCTTCCTATGGCTACTCTAAAACCCCACCAAATGCATTCTTAAAATGAGAAGGTGGAATAAAACAAATAATTTCACAGAAATGTTTCAATAGAAATATAAAATAAAGAGTGCTGGGTCCATTAAAACCTTTTTTGTTTGGTTTGCAGATATTTGCCTCCCGCTCCTATGATGCTACCACTCACTTCGAGACCACCTGTAATGACATCAAAGACATCTACAAGCGCATGACGGGCAGCGATTTCGACTTCGAGAATATGAAGCGCAAACAAAACGATGTGTTTGGAGAGGACGAGCAGTGAGAAGGGTCTGAGAGGCAGGCAGGGAGAAGATGGGGAAAGGCTAGAAGGAGCCAGAGGGGTGTGGAGGAAGGGGTTAGGTTGGTTTGGGTGTGGCAAAAATCTCAAACATCTCCCTACTCCATCCTCCCTCCCCTCGAGAGAGAGACACGCACACACACTCTTCTTTCTCTGAGACTTGAGCTCCCAAAAGGCAGGGTTCCAAACACGTCTTCATTCTGCTATTTTTCCTTTTTTTCCTCCTCAAGTCCTTTTGCAGATACTGTACCTATCCGGTTGCCTTTGATGATTACAGAAAGCTTATTTGTTTTTAAAAAACAATGCATTTTATGATGAAAAAAGCCATTTAGCCTACCAGAGCACACATTTTTCTTATGTAAATCTAACACTTATGAGATGGAAGGAAGGAGATTTTGGTAAATTATTTGATATTGATACCATATGAGCACGAAAAGCACCATGGTGCTTTATAATCTGATTGTGAGTTTGGGTCAAAAACAAATTATTGTGCTTTACTCCTTACTACCTGATATATTTTGACATGCACATTTATATGGGTCTAGTCTTACATTCAACAAGCAAATCAGCTGTACAGTTAAACCAAGATGTACCAGTGCTTTACATCACACGGGGCAATGCTGAAATTAGGAAGGGTAATTGTTCGTCATTCTTGCAATGGAAAAAAAAATCCCTTTGTGTTGGACTGTCTTTTATTGTCACTATTGTCTCCTCTGCACAGTGCACTGACAGTGTGTCAGTGACTCCCAACAGCACTGATGGCAGCCCTGCTTCCTCTCTCTCTTCTCCCTGTACCTTGTGTGTATGAATGACTGCATTCAGCTCATTTACAGAAATCTGGGCCAGACGTCAAGATTTTAAAATGAACAACGTCTGTAGTACACTACATACCAGAGCACACCTAGCACATAGCTGCTTCAGTATCCTGATACTAGTTGCTAATTCTTACTGTTCTACACAACTCTTTCTGATGTGGTTTTTTTCTGATGATTGTCATCATTTAGAGTATTTTGGTTATTTTTAATCTTAGTTTGATGCTGTTACCTGAAGGGTGATGGACTTGAATAACGGAAGAGTATTTTTTTTTATCATTGGAGTTAAAATGTATTTATTATGTGATGGTGTAAAGAAGTTGTAGGTGGAATTTGAAAGGACTGGAGAGAAGGGATAGAACAGGCTGGGGGCTAAGAATGAGGCAGGTAGATGGAGGTTAGCAGGACACTTGTGGAATTGGAGAATCAAGCAGTGTGGTTTGATGGTCAGAGATGAGGGGTAAGTGAGGCCCTAGAGCTTAGTTAGGACGTTGGGCTGTGGGGCTCTGAGGGATGCATTGCGTGACATTGACATTGACATTGAAAAATGGGAACCGAGAGAGTGGTGAAGGTTTCAGAGGGCCAGTGCCTTCAGCAGGGGTACAGGGTGGAAGAAAAGCTGTGCAAGTCACCAATTCAGACTGAAGAACCTGGGAGAAACCAGGTAAAGGAACCTAAAGAACTGTGAGAGAGATGTAAAGTTCTACTCAAGATGATTTTGCTCGACGAAGAATGTGTACGATTTTTGTTTACGTTGAATATAGAAACACTAAAAGACATATCAGAACATTTTGTTAAAGTCTGTTGTGGACATGTAACCTTTAAAGTAGCTGTGCTTTTAAAACGTTTGATGATTCTAAGGATCAGTAGTTTGTGACAGAGAGGTGAATGCAGTGTGACATGCATTTTATGGAGTACCTTTTCATCACCATAGCTTTAAAACGATCAGTTGGCAGACAAAAGGTTTAAGGTGAATTCTAGGTGGCTATACTTGGTAAGCTTATTATTTGTAGTAATGCAAAGTTTTTGAGCACCTGGGCTAGATTTAGGACTAATTCTCATCCCCTGCCCCCCCCCCCAATATACCTGCAAAACTGAACAATAATTGTAGAGACGGCATCTTTTAGAGGCTTCAGGGGTAAACAGATATTGGTTTACTTAGGGGAAAAACGTGGTGTTGGCTGTGCTGGCAAATGGAAAGTTTTGACAGAAGCTATTACTATTGTCTAGTTTGTATAATATCTGTAGGAGCAGCAAGGTTTATTTATTGAGAAACAATCTCTTCTGTAGAGAGCAGTACTGACTGAGATTCAGCCAGAGGCTGATATCAACACTTCCTTAGTTCAGATCATAGTTTTAGGAAATCAGAAGGCACTTTTTCCTAAACCTCTGCTTTTCATGAAGGCCTGCTGGCTTGATGAGTATAAAGAAAAGTATGTGAATTCCACAGAGTTTGCTGGATTTAAGCATAATTTTGATTTAAAGAATATACCTGTGCTGTATCGCCAATTAATAGAGCAGGTGAGCATTCAGCTTGTCATCAATTTCAAGAGCTGCTTTGTGCTGAAGTAAGGTGGTTTTAGAACTAACACTAAAACAAGGTTCCCTTTACCTGTTGGAGAGGATTTGTAGCAGTTCCGGTTCATATCTGCTTAATCTCAAAATCCTAATGTTTTTTTAGCCAACTGTTTGCTTTGATTAACCATTTTCCTCTTGGCATTAATGAGAATTAGAGCTGAATTATCTCTGGTTGCTTATTTTCAGTTTTGGAAATGTAACTATCTCACACTGATGGCAGCATAAGTAAAATGAAACCCTGTTATGTGCAGACAAATGGCATTTTGTACACATTTGTCTGAACTGGAGGTTTCGGTGTTGAAGCTGCTTTGAATATCTGTTATGACATCCTCTCTTTTGTGGGTTACCCGTGGCCAGTAACACTTGTCAGTGCATTCCAGTTCAAGACTAGTAATTGTAAACAGTTTTTTTTCTACCCTGTTAAAGACTAAGGAGCTTCAATATCCAATTGCTGCACTTTCTCTTATAAAGGCATTTTCAAGCTTCAGAGGCCTTCTTCAGCCGATTTGTGTCTCTCGATCACCCAAACACAGCCCACAGTAACACCCACCCTCCTCCTCGCTCCCTTGGCACTCTTTCAGGATACTTTCCTATTGTATTGTCTAAAAGTGTACTTTTTTTTGGTCTGCTGCTTTTAAGTAATTGTTCACGAAGGAATGGAAAGAAAAAAAAACTGAATAGGCTACGCTTTATTGAACCAGCATTGACTGTTTTTGCTGCAAAATGTGGGGGAGAAAAACATCACTTTTTGTTCATTGATTTAAGGCCATGACCATGTGTGCACATGGATTATTAAACATAACTGTGATATGTTTTTTGTGACTTTTAGGAAGTTAGAAGTCTATGGAACAATTGTGCTGCGAGGATAAGCTGAATATGCTTTGAACACTAAAATTGTCATGTTATTGTCTCAGCCCATAATACAAAATTGGTGTAAAGGACTTTTTTCTGTAAGAGCCTCTCAATTTGTGTGATTGCAAGATGGGTTACAAAACTAGAGGAGACCATTTGGACCAGCTAGCTTGTTTGGTTTCGGGACAAACTGTCCTGCACACTTTACATTCCATAAGACATAATGATATGACTGCTTCTTAGTCCACAAGTATGTGTAGGTCAGTGGAGTAACCCCTAATGCAAAGTGGCAGAACTGTACTGTAAATTTTAATGTTTTTAGTGATTTACTATATATGCGCAACTGAACTTTAATCATGTTCTTGAAATAAGCGTAGCTTTTTTTGGCTTATTTTTCTTCTGGCTTTGTTTCCCTTGCTTTATTTATTTAAAGGTTATTTTGTATTTTATTTAATTTTATTTGGTTCTCATTTGAAGGATAATGAAGAAAAGATCTCTTTGAACTGTCTTAACTTATTTGGACTTACAAGTAGCTTGCTTGTGGTCATTATTTGAACACTAGTATGTGAAAAGTACCTAATGTCTTGTGGAACAATAAAATAAAAATAAAGACACGACAAATTGTGGAATCGATAATGGAAAGAATTGTGTATGTTGCTTGTGGGGGGAAAAAAATACTTTTAAGTTATCTTTCCAGTTCTTACCCAGTGATAAGCTGCCAGACGAGGTTTCATTGATACAATTAACCCAGATACTCTGGCAGGTAAGTAATTTTGGACGTTATGGATACCATAAATGACTCCTGTTCACCCAGGCTGTTGGGCTTTCATCCAGTTATGTGCAACTAGAAGTAACTTCAGCGTACAGTCCGCAGAAAATACAACTGTGGGTTGAAGACTGTATATATGCATGCTAAAATCATTATGCTATTTTATTTTTCTACTCTTACTCTTTTTTTTTTCTAGGGAAGGAGGAGGTAAATTTAGCAACTTCCATATTGTTATTTGGTGTTTCCAAATTTATAGTCAGACATTGGGGGGGGGGAATAAATTCTCCCCTAGTAAGAGATCAAAAAGAAACTTGCATATATACAAATAAACCGTGAATTGTACATTTTACAAGTTTTCTTGTACACCTCTCTTAACTATACCTTGAAATGATATCGGAAAGAATGCAAAGGCTTGAGTGTCATTTCAAACAAAGAAAAAAGTTTTTAAAATGTTGCTTAAAAAATAGTAGTTTATCCAGCTGACACTTCTGTGTGTTCTTCTAAAGCAGGCTGTTTGTTCCCTTTTGTACAACTCTGTATTGTATTGTAGCTATCTGAGTGAAGCACCTTGCTCAAGGGTGAACTGAACTTTAAGCACTATAATCATATTCCCTGGATATGAGCTCCAAGGCATGACCACTAGATTACACTCCTGCCTCCCATTGTGAACTAAACTCATGAGGAATAGCCGTTTGCAATTTAAAGCCAGCCTGCTAAGGGAACACAACATACTAAAAGTCAGGTCTCGCTTAAATTCAGTTACAGCAAAGGCATGCTACAAATAGTGTCTGTATTCTATTAACATTTAATTCCATCTGATTTAATCTGACTAAATGAGCCCTTGGGATCTAAAGAAATATTGTTTCCTGCACCAAACTAAATGGACGCTACCCCCTGCATGGTTGACTTCCTGTAGACCCACCTCTCGGTGAGCTTCTCACTTGTGAGAATGCTTGTCTCTATTGGGTAAGCGCTGGGGTTTTTAATCTGGGTAAAAATGCAGCGCAGATGCCTGAGCAGACTGAGCATAGCCTGCTCTCTGGTTTTCCTTAAAAAATAGTTGCGTATTGGCAGAGAGAAGAAACTTGAAAATAGGTGGTGGGGGTATGCCTTGGCCACCACCTGTGCCAAAGCTGGAACTTCACCCTGCAAGGGTGAAGAGAGGGTACACCCTGGTCAGGATGCCAGTCACACGGAAACAAAAACATACTCTCACCACGGCCAATTAATTTACTAGTATGTCTTTGGGAGGAAACTACAGCACCCCAAGGGAAACCATCTGAACACGGAGAACATAACTCCACAAAGACAGCACCCCAGATCCAGAATTGAACCCAGGACCCCAGCACTGCAAGGCACCAATGCTAGACAATGTGCCATCCCCCTTGACTCATTTTTATCTTATTAATGAATATGAAAATACTGGTCTAATCCAGGCAATGTTAGTTAAGGTTACCACCATATTGTCTCAAGATTGTAGGGAAGATTGTCAGTATGGGATATTTCAGTTTTTGTTAGTCTTTTGATCGATAAGTTAATTGTGGTCTTAACACACTGATGTCCAATTTGCTTTAGAAAAATGTAATGTGTCACAAGGTTGCCTTCTTGTAAGTATAACATTACTTCTATTTTTCTATTTTTTTTATACAGATAATGTATGCACTTATGCATACTGTATACTGTAAAGTGTGAAAGAACTTGGTCTGTTCAAACAAAATGTGGGTATCTTTTGATTTGTTTCAGAGCAAACCACACAGTAGTTTATTAAGCTTGATTTTTAAAAAAAGTAACAAAGGTATGGTATGGTTACATTTTACAGTTTAAGTGCTGACAATATTCATTTCACTATACAAAGTATATATTTGTGTAAAAAACTAAAGTGTTTCTGTTTTTTACAGTGCTGCTGTAACCTCTCTTTGTTAAAAAAACTGCATTGTCACCTGGCCTAAATTCCACCTCAAATTCGTGATACACCTTACCTCTCATACACCATTACAGATCCTTTCACAATGTTATTAATGCCTGCACAACCAGCAAAGCCTGGCTCCTGTTGATGCTCATGTCAAAGAGTACAAAAGATCTTTGAAATGCAGCTCAGTGTGTCTACAAATCCGCCTTGCTATTTAGATTATGTGATAGCAATTTGTCCTTCAGTTTTTGTATCCTGACAACCTTTTCACTTTTAACAGTTGAAAGGTCATCATTCATTTCCTATATTGTGACATTTTCTAAAGAAATACTCTACATGACCCCTATAGTTGCTATAGTCTTGTTTGGCATCAGACAGACATCCTTAAGTAAAAACTAGAATGAGCTGCATGCATAAGGATATCTTGAAAATGAGCTCAGCTGATATGGACATGAAACTAAGTCAAAAACATCCCATTCTGTGTTCAGTTTCAGGTTTCCATCAGTGGGCGCTAGATGTGCAGGCAGGAATAGCAGTATTTTGCTCTCTTATTTCTCTGGATTTGACCCAAGCTCCCTAAGTTAAAAAAAAAACTTCAAGTTCTTCATAATTTACAGGTCAAGAGTCCACCTCTTTTCCTCACAGTACTTTAGACCTGCACTTGCTAGTGTTTTTCTCATGTTCAATATGAACGTGCTGCTTGTCGGGAAGAAAAAATAGACAAATTTCAATATTGGATATACATCATACTCATCACGTGGTAATGAAGCATTGAACTCTCCTATTTGAATTCTCTTTACTACACTATAGTCTTATGTTAAGCAGATATGACAGAGATGGTTTCAAAGGGGTATAAGTCTTTTTCTCTCCTAGTTCAAACATTTTGTCATAAAAACGTCTTTGATAGTCATTTGAATTCCAGGCATACAATGGTGGGTAGCAGTAAGTGATTGTGATATTTCTTTCTTGCAAAAGTTTTCATATACAGAGTTTTGTGGTATATATATATAAGTAAGGTATACATGGAGGGTGAGAATCTACAGGTGGTCTACCACGAAACTCTGATATGTTCCACCTATCAACTTCTCCACATCAGGTTTTGCAATTACCCAGCACCGTCCAGCGTGTTTTTTCTTCACTGAATCTTTCAGTTTCTTGTCCACGAGAACAATGGGAATTCTCTCCCCATTGCGTCTCAGCTCTCCCATGGCCTGCTTGCCCTCGGTGTTGACCTCGGCATGTCTTGCAGTATCTGTGGTTCGTAGTATCTCAATATCTGCGTGCTGGAACTGGCCTGTAGAGACATCCCAGAGATAGATAGACCTCTCCATTTTTCATTAGAATACTTTTTTTTTTGCTCAAATGACTTCACTGACACTGTACAGCAGCAACTGTTAAATAAAGGCTGTTATCTTCTGGATGCTACTGCTTCTTGACTGGTTGATGACACTCTACTGTGCCTTCCTCCTGACAATACAGTAAAGGTGTTGATATGTCTGATGGCAGCATGTAAACAAGTGAGAACATTGAATATAATTTCTTAAATTTTGACATACCTAGTAAACCATGTGTACTTGGAGATAGGCCTTGTCCATTGGCAATGTAGAGACCAAGATGGCTGAGCTGTAGATAGGTAGGGTGTTTGTAGTGGTGGAAGAGAACCATGAATCCAATGTCTTGTCCAACTGTCACCCAGGCGGTCTGGTTGCTATCTATAGTGATCTTCAAGTCCCGCACCTTGACAGTGCCTGTTCTGTCGGTAAACATTGTAACCTGCTCCTCCCCCTCCAAGACAATGGAGCCCAGGGACACTGTGATGTTCCAGGGCTCTGCGCTTCCCATCTTCACAGAGAAGCTCAGCTGACTGAAGTAAGTCCTGGTTTTATCTTCAAAGCCTACTTTTGAAGGGGCCCACATTAAATGGCCGTCCACAGTTAAGCCTGCAGGAAGCGAGAGTGAAATTGTTGAGCATGCAGTGAGTGAACTTCTCGTTATAGTATTCCTAGCTATAGTAGGCCATATACAGCATATTAGATGAGAACTTCATGTTGCACTTCCTAAGTACTAGGAATACCCCTACAGAAAATCTGATGGTCATAGTAGGGTCAACAAGAAAGGACAGGAGCTGATTTGAGACCAAAACACTAGAAATTCAGGCATGTTCAACGGTGATGTGTCTCTCCATGGTATGTACTTAAATTTTAGGAAGTTTTTCATAAGCTGTGAAAAGGATATACCCCGGGTATATAGTAGGAAAAATAAATGGATATTTCAAATTGAAACATACTGTATGAAACTAACTTAAACATCTTGCTCCATATATCCTACCAGTCTGTAACAGGCAAGCAGAGAAAATGATCACACCCTGAGGGTGGGATCAAGGTCATGCTTTGTCTCTCCAGTGATGTGCAGTAAATCATATGTGAGTTGCTTGTACGCTCCAGCAATACTGAAAGAGACTACTTCTCAGTGTCTGAACTTTCTTACAATGGTTGAGATATGTATATACGAGGTACTGACCTCAGCTAATTAGAGGCCTACAGTATAGATGCCTATGTACCGTATATAGTTGCTAAATAATCCAAGTAAAACTGGTGTAATCCCATTTTTTTCTATTTTATACTTATGGTAAACAGTAAAGAATTAATCATCCTAGTTTCTCTGTGACTCAATCTGAGTTCAGTACTTTCCTGTTGAACCCGGGGTTTGCGATGTTCCTGGATCCAAGAGCCTTAGGTAATGGTAAGTTAAAAGGTACAACAAACTACCTGGTGGTGGATTTTGAAAAAAAACTGGAAAAGTTTTTAAAGGCTTTTGATTTACCAATGATGACAACATGAGAATTAAGGAGTCACCTGCCAGGATAGCCATATCCTTGACACTGCACATTTTTATTCCAAATAATGTCCTAAATTTTCACCCTAATAATTTTAAGAGGATGTTACTTCAAACAAGATACTGGGAATGTGAATTCCCATTCAAATGAGGTACCTTATCGACCTCTTAAAAGAACAGACATTCACGCACAAGAAATAGCCAGAAGTTAATATACAGTGGCTCTACTGAAATACCTTTCTCTGGGTCATCTACCAGTCGCAGTACATCATTGGGCAGCCCATCAATGGTGAAGCAAATGTTTTCTGAAAGTTTGGGCAGATGAACCACAAAGTGGGGGTCTCCATCAGCTGAAAGAGAGTGCAACACAATCTGGAGTTTGTCATCGCCCACAAACTAGGAAAATCCACATTCAACAGCTGTATTCCAGCTAATGTCTCTTGGTAGCCAACACTGGTGGACTGGTGCTTAAAAACTCAAGAATCTTTTTAATGTTGAACCTCAGCATGCAGTAGTAGCACATTTCCACTTCAAGGAATCTAGTCAGCTCTCTGTATGACTAAAATTAATATCTAAATTAATCTCCTGCCGGTTACTTTTATATGGTATAGAAAGCAGACAAGTTGAACTGTTGCAAATGCATCTGAGACATAAACAGCCTTCTTTAAATAATTGAGTACACCATCTAATATTTTTCTTCTTGCACACCGAATGTGCAAATGCCATACCCTTGGAGCCAGATGAGCATTGCTACCTCTTCTATTTATTACTGACACCACTACTGGTCTGTTTGGGGAGTGAGCGTTTTTGGATTATGAGACTAATTTATATTTTGTTATTGGAATATGACTATTCCGAAAAGCCCTAACCTACTCCTGCTCCATAATGACTCACAAGTTACCGTCATTCTGTAGCTACAATGCATTTAACTGGCAGGTCTAACCACAGCCAAAACCAAAATAGTTTGCAGGCTGAGAAAAGACTTTATATATCTCTGACTTGTTTGGTTGTGTCCATTTATAGAAATTGGGCTCGTAGATGTGTGGCTAAATGTACTATGCTAGTGCAAAATCTGTATCAATCTCTACAGACTCATTTCGTTATTTATAACATTTGTTAGGCTAGTTCACTTTCCCTCCCCTTTTCATATTAGCATACAACTGTGTTTTTGTTTTATTCTGTTAATTTGTAAAAGAACCCGATAAACATTTCCGAGATAAAAGTAAAAACATTTGATTTTTGTCATCACAATCAATCACTCAGTCTTACCTGAACCTGCGAAAATAAGCCTGGAACTTGCAGACCCAACTATAAACACAAGTACATGAATTATTCCAAGACACTGTGTATTTTGTATCAATCAATTTTATTTTGATTGACGTTTTGTAAATCACAAAAAACAATGTTGATTTCACTTTTGACTTCTTAATGGTGAGCATTACTTTGGAAAATGTTTTTAAGTATGCAGCAAGAGTCTCATAAACCATAAGCACAATTTACAGTACTCACAAAACATTGAAGTTGGTTTCCACCACACAATAATATATCTTTCAACAGTCTCTTCTCCATATGACTTGCACAGTATCACAGCTATTATTTACATGATCCAATATACTGTATACACATGGTTTTACACAATTGTGCACTTTGAACACAAAATGTGAACTGAAAAGCCCATGCAGTAAACAAATAAATGCCAATGAGCTAATGCAGTTTGACATAAAGTGCTAATAGCCTTATTATAATAATCATCATTTGAAGCCTTTCAATACAAATGGTGATATAAGAATGCAGTGAGGCTTATAATTGTAACATTTTAGTTTTCAGAATCCCAAATGATCAAGATAATACTACTTTAAAATATTAAGCATAATCATGTTTTTATTTTATTTTTTAAATGTTGTTGTTGGAGGAATGACAATACTTACCATTAGAAGGAGTAGAATCCACTAGAATGAACAAGCATAAATAACACCTGGTTAGTTCAGTGCCAACAAAACGTTTTTAATGAGCTGCTGTTCTTTCCAAAAAAAAAGCAGCTCAAGATATTCAAAATTGCCATTTTCAAGCAATTGCTTTTTTAGTACAGACACTGTAATTTGAATATACTGTATAGTATATGCACTCATAAAGGACTGCTAGTTATACTCCCATTGAATAACATTTTGGGTCACTTTTATGGTTTATTAACCTTTTTAAATTGCATTGTTTTGTTAATTAAATTATTGGTCTAGCAAGCTACTAAGGTATTTCTCTATTTAAAGTTATAACCTTTAATTGACTAGCCACATTTTTCTATACAAAATGGTTTTAATCCTAAAACTATCATGGTCTCAGTAGTTATATAACTAGCATGTAGCATTTTTTATGTTAGCATGTTACATTAGTACAAAAGGTTCATTGCTTAATATCCTAGCAAATTGTTGTCATGTAAGTTGTGCATTGTGTATACATTTAGCCTTAAATATATATTTTCTGGACACATACAATGCTTTGCAAAAGATTCCTCAGTGGCAATACAGCATTAAAGTACAATTTGCATAAAGACTCCAATAGTGTCTCCAATTGTTCAATCTTTAATTCAAACAGGTCAGAATCTTCAAAAATGTGATCACAAACTAAGGCAAACTCTCCATGAGTGGGCAATATGAAGTGTTGTAATAACTAGTGACTCCCAAGAAAGAGCACTGATTTGACTCTGATGTCCAAGTTCCACAAAGAAATAGTATTTACAGTCTTCTATTTTTTTACTTTCCCAGCAAAAAACTGTTTTATGAAAGAGACAAAACCGCCTTCAAATGTTTGGTGCAACTGGAAGATGTTGAGGTTTTCAGAAAAATCCTCCACTGGCTGTTTTGCATATTAGTCTGCCATTTTATTACATCCTTAAATATACATAAAGTCACACATTGTTTTCAAAGTAGACATATTTCACAATATTATTGATTGACTCCTTTATTTGATAGGAAAGTTAATACAAACTTCAGATTGCTGGATAATTGATGCACAGAGATAGGTATTAACAAGTATTACATGAACTTATATTGTATTAGTAATCAACTAGGTACTTAAATGCTCTGTTTATCTGATTCAGATTATCCACATTTGAAATACTGTACTTCCAAATAGAAACATTTACATGAAATATTAGTGTGCATGTACACTTACAGTCATAATAATAATTATCGGGGTAGACGATGTCATTGTATTCACCATAGTAATAAAAATCTGAAAAGAGACAATAAATAAATCAACATTTATGCTTTATAAAAGGAGCCAGTCATACCGATCATTTACTCTATATCATTTATTCTATACTGTATATTGAGATGTCACAATTAATGCAGCTCTATCAATAAACCATGTCCTTGTTGGTGCAAATGTACCTCAAATACTTTGCATTGGAACTCACGTTTTCAACATTTATCTCTAAGATGCATTCCATCCATCCATCTTCTAACTGCTTTATCCAGCATGGGGTTGCAGAGAAGCTGAAGCCTATCTTGGCAAGCAATAGACACAAGGCAGGATATAACCTGGACGGGACGCCAGTCCATCACATTGCATGAGTCATTCCAAGAGGGGAAATTGCACCACTTATGAGAAATTTAACTGTTAACTTTATGTGTTTCATTTGATCTTTGCAAGGTCAAAGTGTTCAAGATATTAGATAGACAATATCAGATGCAAATGCACATTTCCTGTGCTAGATGATATTACTATGTTACTGTCATTGTTATTTAAGTCATTTTCCCCCTATTGAATATTGTTCTTGTCCCAAAATTAAATACATTTACCATTACCTTGTGCTTAATGTACATCTTAATTCCTTAGTTTAGTGCTTGTCTTGTTCTCTAAATATTTTTACATGCCTAAATGTACATCTAAATTCTTTAGTTTAGATCATCTTGACCTCTAAGATTTTTAGCTGGACTGTTATAGCTGGATCAGGAGCTTGTAAGTGTCCTACCTACCACTTCTTTAATAATGTGCCTCTAACATTGCCACCTTCTGATTCACCTTAGAGTAAGACAGCAGCAGCAACTCCTGCAGAGACCAGACACCTCATTCAGCAGTTCAGCGAAAGCCTAATTCATGTGAAGTAGAATCAAATTAGTTTCATTGGCTGAACTCTCCCAGGTGAGAAATTACAAACAGAAGCCTGTCTGTAAGGACAAAGCCAACAGGAGGGAGGAACACAAGAGAAGATGCTCGAGTTGAGCTCTGGAGGCAAGATACATATGCTCAGGAGAGCAGAAGTGGAAGAGATTAGGGTTGAAATTCTCCCAAATTTTGCTCTGTTACATAGGATGTAGTGACTCCTCAACACTTGTGATTCAAAGTGCAGAGACATGAAACTATTGTAAAGCTATGTAAGTGGTAATTATGAATTCCCATAGGAACTGGGAGGAGTGCTTAGGTAATGTACTTGCATTCAGTGCAAATGCTCTTCAACCAGTGTGAGGTGCTCTGCCACGTAGAGCAATGAACCTGTTAAAGAAGATGTCGGCAGAACCATGTTTCTTTTAGGATATTTAAAGTGTGGATTGAGATAAGGGTCATTTAAATACCTGAAGTCAATTTCACATGACACGACATGACCTTAACAGGATGGCAGTCGTTATTGGAATGAATGTCAAAACACTGCAAAATGCATTGCACTAATTATGCATATGAACATTTGAGAGCCATAGCGTGTGTTAATGGAAACTGAAAAAAAGTATACTTTATAAGAGGGCTGACTTTCTAAATTTTAGCAACACATTTATACAATTTCAGCAAGTATTAAGAATATTATTGAATGTATTTTGAGTCTGTATCAATTCTTCTTTTTAAAACATCCACATAAAAATCTGGAAATAATGCTGAGGTTTATACAAAAAAGGTGTGACTTAGTTCAGTGTCTGATATGCTGCTCATGGTCCTAGTATCAGAACATGAATGACACACCATCATTTTCAGGCAGCCAGCTAAACTGCAAATATCCAAAGAATTATTGTGTATTAGCAGTATTAACAGCAGTATTTTGCAATGACAGATAAGGCTCTACACATAACTTATTACAAGAGCACAACTACAAAGATGGTTCAAAAGATTCTGAACTTAACAAAGAGGAAAGCTCCAGACTTTATAGCAGATGCATATTCTTATAGGGTTCATTATGACTATACTGAAACAGCTGTAAAATTCTACAAAGTTTTTTTTTCCTTATTTGTGCTCTCTTGTAGTTGACCATAATGGGTACTGATTCACTTTTGTGACCTGCAGTAGTGTGTTCTCCAACACCATAAAACACAAAGACAGTTGATTTTCTGACTAATGTCCCATCCATAATGTATAAAAGTAGAGGTTCCCAGATATGGGTCTTGGAAAGCCAATGTTTTAAAATTTGTTTAGGTCTTTTTAAGGTGCCAACACCTGAAAAGCTGGTACAGGTTGCTCAAATGTTCCAATCAATGATTAGTGACTTATGATGAACTAACTGAAATCATTAAAGATGAACTGTAATTAAAACTTGCAGACACACCAGACCTCCAGGACCAGAATTGGAGATCCCTGAAATAATGTCTACCTTAAAAAGACACATTATTACTAATTAATATAACAAGGTGGAATACGATGATTTATATGTTGTAGTATATTTACTCTGGGTTAGTATTAGCTCTGTTAGATATACAATAAATTGATTATAGTGATTAGATTCAACTCACCTTCATGTTGGTCAGTATCTAAAAAAGAATAATGGAAACAAAACTTTAAGTCTAGTTTATACATCTCATTCATATAACAACAGTCTCCAACAACAACCATGTGGTTCATTAAGAGCATAGACATTTTTTGAAAACCTGTCCTATCTCTATAAACTAAAGTATCTGATCACAAGATCAAGCCAAATGTTGCCAGAATTCAGCAAAACATCCCACATACTGTTACATGGCAAAAGTGTGAAGATACTGTCAGACAAGTTCTATTTGATGAATCTGTCCAGAAATTACCATAGCTGTAACTACTATAACTATGCATTCTGCTTGATTAATTTTAAAATTCCCACTGGAGTCAAATTTAGTTATTCCCTTAACTGTATATAAAAATATATTAAAGCCAAAGAAAGAAACATTTACATTATGAAAAGCAATTACTTTCCCACAAGGCTCAAGTTGCTACAGCACTGCTGTCAAAACCACAGATTCATATACAGTATCTGAACAAATTAAATACTTTAAATCTCAAATAAACCCAGTGTAAAAGATTACCCTTTATCTGAACTTGAACGACAGAGGAAACATCTGAAAAACAAGAAAGATATACCCAAGTTCATCTCATACTATGCTGTTGTTTGCAAATTGTTTCACTTTTGCTCTCCTCTGGTGCTTGCAAGACCATGAAGGAGAAAAGTGGCTAAATGACTGGGTTTAGAAACTTAGAAATTTAGAAACGCCTGCTTGTTATTAGAAACTACAAAGCACAAAGCCTTTGAACCATGCACTGCCCGGTCATCCAGGTCTTTCACAAACCCACAGTGCAAAAAGAGAAGTGAAAATGGATGAGTGGAAAGACACAGCTCCCAGCAATAACAAGGGGTCTCAGTGGCTAAAGAAGCCTGAGAAACCTTTCCTAGATTTAAATATACCGAAAATTAGCGGCACTAGTCAGTTGTGCCCCGCAATTGCTGACCATTCATGATAATAGATAGTTCAGGTGGGTAGCTGCATCAGCATGCGTAGGCTACAAAGGAACACCTGAAGAAGGCTCCACGGCCGAAACGTTGTGTTTTCTTTCTTCTGTTTTTCAGCATGGAATAAACCTATTACCTGTTCCACGGTAATAGATAGCTGAAGACATAACACGGTATCAAACTAGTAACCATTTAATGATAGCAGTTGATTCAGTTCTTTTGAGTTGTAACAAAATTGCACAGCAAATATTCATCCATCCATTTTCAAACCACTTCTTCCATTTCAGGGTCCTGAGGGAGCTGGAGCCTATTCTGGTAAGCAATGGGTGCAAGACAGGGTACACTCCGGATGGGACACCAGTCCATCGCAGGCCAGACATACAGACATGCACACCAGGGCCAACTTCCCTAAAAGACAATTGACCTACCAGTATGTTTTTGGACTGTGGGAAAGAAACAGGAGCACCCAGAGGAAACCCACACAAACGTGACACAAATAGCACCCCAGGTCTGAAATTAAACCCAGGGCCCCAGCACTATGAGGCAGCAGATATCCAAAGCATCATCTAGCCAACACAAGTTTTTCTTTTTATACAGTATATCAACATGCTGTTCCCACAAACTACATTCAGAGCAGAGAAGATGGGAGGCTGTACATCTACCATTTGCGCAATAGTGTTAGAAAAATTGTGTAATGTCTCCATCAGGAAGGCAAGTGGTGAAACTCATTTTGTACTTGTTGGCAAAAGGTTTTATTTTTAAAGCCAAATACTAAACTCAATGCAGGCAGTGAAACTGTGCCAAAGGCTACACAGCACAGGGAATCAGTAAAGCTGTTACTCAAAGAAAAGGCATAAATGTATATTTAGAAATTATATTTAATTATTAGAAATAATTAGAGTGCCTATATTAAGTGGCATAAAAGAATCAATATGTTATTATTTATATGTCCAGGAAGCTGGTGTCTTTAACGTACAAACAATATTGGAGCCTCTGTACACAATAGTATGGAAAACCATATAGCCCCAAAATGATGTACGAATATAAATTTTGCTTGTACAGTGTAACTTTTACTGTGCATGTAAAGAGCACATAACAGAGCTCCAACTACGTACATATAATATAATCAATCCTATTAATCATTCCAAAATATTTGAGCTGCTATTTTCATATTTCCTAATGGCAAATATTTGTCAAATATTAACAAGCTAAACGAGTTACACTTCAGCAACTGACAGACATAGCTTGTTCTCTTAGGAGAAAATGCACTCGTGAAAGTTGTAGTTAATCATACACTGTATATTGTATTTTGGTTTCATGCTCAACTTTGCCTTGAGTGAGATATTTGTGGGGGGAATGGGGGGGTTAGAAGCAATTTGGTTAGGAAAAAACATAAATACACGTTTGCTTGCCTTCTGGAGTTCTGTTTGCACGGATCTCCCTGCAAGTGGTATTTTCAAAGCCTCTCCCAACTTTCAAAAGTTGCCCCATGTATGCCATGCAACAGGGTACGGGATGTGTCACTTTGCAGTGGCATAGGGAAGTGGCACTTTCACAGGGGAGACTCTCTGGACTTACCCTGAATTGCCTCCCCAGCATATAGCTTCTCCTCTGTGAACCCTACCATGGGCATGAATGTGGCACTGATGAATCTCGCTATCTCTATATCGGTGCCCATCTCAGTGATGTGGGGCATGGCAGTGGTGCCTGGGGGTGGAGCTGGGGCCGTCACCCAAAAAGCATCTGTCCGGTTAGTGGACAGACCTCCAGGGGCAGCACTGGCAGTGGTGGGGCGATGCTCGGAGGTAGCAGTTCTACTTTGGGATTCAGGGGAGGCGACTGTTTTGGCAGGGAAGGAGGTGGAGGTGGGTAGGACTCGACCTGTAGTTTGGAGACCACTGGGGTGGCCAGGGAACTTGGTACTAGGAACACTTTCAGGCCTGGGCTTGCTTGTCTTAGAGCTGGAAGTAGTTGTGGTATCTGATTTTCTGGTGGAGTGGAGAGCCAATTTGGAAAAAAGAAATGGAGTATGTGTTACCGTACTTGTGGTATGAGTGGGCATTGTGGTTGTTGTTGTTGTAGCTGTTGTTGCTGTAGTTGTTGTTGTAGTTGTAGTTGTTGTAGCTGTGGTGGTAGAAGTGGCATTCAAGCTTGCTTCTTCAGTATCAGGCTTGACCACAACCAGGGATGTGACGGGAGAGACAAAGTTGTACTTCAGTGACAGGTTTGTAGCTTTTTCAGTCAGGATACGTTGTGTTGCCGGATCTGTGTTGTTCAGCTTGGCTTGGAGGAGGTCCTTGATGGTGAAGTACGCCCACAACCTGCGAACAAAACCTGAGATGCCTTGTAGATCCCCTGGGCACCCAAAGGTAGCATTGCCTGAACTAGGGACAGTCACATCATTCTCCACAGTCAGCTGCTTCTCAGAATCCATAGCATTCACCTTGACTTTGAGGTCCTTGACTCCAGGCTTGATCCGGCCGGCAACCACCAGCTCAGATCCTTGGAAGAAGTTTGGGAAGAGAGCCCGTGTGACATCGTAGACATGGTTATCCAAGTAGTTTAACTGGATGTCAAAGAGCAGCGGGCTAGCTACCTCATCATAAAAGCCCTTCAGCTGCAAGGTGGCATCCGCATCTTCATAGATCATCCGTGCCACCCCTCGATTCTCCATGGATAAACGGCGCATCAGTGGGTAATCTGCATCATTTCCAAATGCCAATCCGAAGAGCGAGGCTGTCCCCAGTGCCTCTTTGGCATTATTGACAATCCTTTCCCCAGAAGTCACACCTGTGGTAGGCTCCCCATCTGTGAGGAAGATAATCAGAGGCACATGGTTGCCTGAGCCTTTCCTGGGGTTCTTGGTGTTGACCAGCTTGGCTGCATTGAGCAAAGCTGAGTTGATGTCTGTTGCTGGTGAGAAAAACAAAATAAAGTAGCTTTATTATATTTTCCCAAAAATTGTCACAAAAAGTATATGTGAAAAGGATAGCCTAAGTACTGTTCTTTTGGCAAACGGTAAAGTGAAATTAATTTAAATCTTGGGCCACATTTCATCATGTGTGACACTGACAGTCTTATCAGACGATCTAGCTTATTTTTTATTCCATGCTGTGCAGATAAGACTGCCAAAGTTGTTACCCACTACACAGTCTGGATGTTAAAAGTGCATAAAATAATATTTATAAAGTTCTATCTACCTTGTGAAATATTTTTCAAGAGATGTCTAGAAAAGCACCTGTGAATGTTTCAAAACTACACTACGCAAAAACAAAATATGCTAGAAAAGTCTGTGTGACAGAATAAAGCTGTACTTCTTTTATTGTGAAGTGCAATAGTTGCATTCTAGCTGCTTTAAGCTAAAGAAAACAGGACATTTAAGTGTACACCTACATCCTGATGCAGAAATTTTCTTCACAAATGCTTGGGCCTCCTTCACATTCTTTGGTGTGGCTTTGATGGTGGTTTCTGTTTTCCAGGTGTTCACTGAATGGGAGAAGGTAATGATGTTGAAGTAGTCATTTTCTCGTAGGTCACTGAGTATGATTTTCATTGCTTCCTTAGTCTGTGGATAACATCAGAGGTCAGGACCTTATGTCACACAGGGAAATTGCATCCATCTGACTGTAGTGTTCATATTTAATTGAGTACTTATCAAAACTAGTAGGTTTTCTCCATTGTATTAATAATTAATAATGCCTTACACTTATATAGCGCTTTTCTGGACACTCCACTCAAAGCGCTTTACAGGTAATGGGGACTCTCCTCCACCACCACCAATGTGTACTGTAGACCCACATGGTTGATGAGATGGCAGCCAGAGTGCCCCAGAATGCTCACCGGCTATAAGCAGGGAGGAGACAGAGTGATGAAGCCAGTTCATTGGGGATTATTAGGAGGCCATGAATGGTAAAGGCCAAAGGAAATATTGGCCAGGACAACAGGGTAGCACTTCTACTCTACTCGAGAAATGCCCTGGGGTTTTAATGACAACGGAGTGTCAGGACTTTGGGTTTTTGTCTCATCCAAAGGACGGCACCCTTTTTACTGTTAGTGGGACTACTGGTCCCACTAACACCTCTTCCAGTAGCAACCTTAGCTTTTCCAGGAGGTCTCCCATCCAGGTACTGGCCAGGCTCACACCTGCTGAGCTTCAGTTGGTTGCCAGTTATGCGTTGCAGGGTGATAATAGCTACTCTATTGCCACCCCTACAGCAAATAAGAGCTGTCCCCACTGACTGTTGGCATCACCGTCTGTCCAAGGCCAAGCTAACACATACAGATACAGATGAGCGTGGGCATCTGCTCTTCTCTCTGATTTGTGACCTTATGCAGAAGGTTTTCAAACATTTCAATAAATATGACAACATGACATTTTGAAATGTATTGAATCACACTTTTTGTAAACTTAATTTGTGCTTGTATGCAATCCCATCATTTGCTGGAATAGATGCTGGTACCCTATATCGGATAAATTGTTTAGAAAATTAATCTGTGAATGGATTTGTACAGCTGCCCTGCAATGCACTGGCATCCCATCCAGGGTCTGTCCTGCTTTGTGCCCATTGCTTGTCAGGTTAGGCTCCAGCAATCCCCATGACTCTGTACTAGATAAAGAAAATGTATGGCAAATCCATTGGAAAAAAGATGGATGGATTTTTGCAGGTACCTACGTACAGTACCTAGAATTATATTTTCTTGCATTCACTAAGATGTTGCTCTCCAATATGTTTAGTATACTTTCTTATCCATATTTAAATTTAGGTTTTTGTCTTTATTTTGAATTTTATCTTTTACTGCTTCATCTGTATTTTTGGTTTTATTAAGTTGATTATCTGTAAAATTATTATATTTTCCCCTACCTCTATAGTTTTATGTGTGAGGAGGAATGTGGGGAGCGGTGATCAAGGGTGAGTAATTTAAAGGATTTATAACTTGGAAACTTTGTTCAGTTGTTTATCTTAATGTGTACCTATAGTTTTCCTCGTAAAATGTCAACTAAAAATGAGTGCATTTTTCTACTTGAAAAGTCAAAACATCTTAACTAATCACTGATGTTCATGAAAGGCATTTACGTAATGTTGGTGAAGAACCTTTAAAAGAATTAAAAGAAACTTTTTAAAAATACCACCCTTCTGCCTTTAAAAGGATGCTATTTTTCACATGTACGTTCTGTACCTGTTTAATTTTAGTACCAAGCATGGAGCCACTAGTGTCAATCACAAAGATAACATCCTTGGGTACAACTGGAAGTCCTCTGGGAGCAAAATAGTGTACAAAATAACCATCGTAGATCTGCAGAGAGATTCAGAACAAAATAGAACTGAAGAAAATCTGTACGTGTAAAATAGAGCATATGGTAGAATAGAGAGAGAAAAAAACGAACACTTTATTTTTGTGTGTCATAAATGAGATATTCCATGAAAGTGATAAAACATGCATTTTATGCAATGTCAACTGATATATAAAAAGCGTAAAATGGAACAGACATTAATCTTGTAAATCAAAAAACTCTTATCAGAAACTATTGGACACACAATTTTAAAGGGGAACTGCAATACTATTTTTATATTTTGGGGTTCGAAAGAATCAGCATTGATGAGTACATTTCAAACCACAATGAAAGTACAACGTACACTGTAACTTGGAAATCCCCCAATTTACACCACAAAAGAGACCAAATGTCCAGCTAAGCACAGCACCGTATTCTGCAATTCAGAACAGGGCAACAAAACTTCTGATGATGTGAAGTGGCCCTATTACATTGTAAAGAAGCAGGATTCTGAATATATCTCTTTTAATCCAATAGAAATATTGCTCTTGATTTTAAGATGATTTTGTCGACAAATACTACTTGTTAACTTTTCATGCAGACCACATTTGATCATTTCTGGGGTGAAATGTCTGCTCTACAACCTGTACTTCTTCACTTGGACATCACATTACACTACTGATTACAGTGACTAGTGAGCAGGAAGGGCCACATCACATCACAATTTGCATGACTTCTCTCTCCTGTGGTGAGACCAGGAGTTTGCGACGACATGGCAACTTACAGTACTTTCTCACAAAGTTCACGATTTTGTGCTTTATTTGAAATGTGTAAAATATTTCTTCACTGTCGATTAATTTATTTTGCTACTGCGTTTTAATGACTGGTCTGTGAAATTGGTACTGTAGTTCACTTGATAGTGGCTTTCTGTTTGTCTGAGACTTGCTCTGTCTGCCTATCGGCAAACAAACAACTAGCTTTTTAGATTGGATTTTGTCATGGGTAGATGTATTGAAAGTATTGATTTATTCCTAGCCACGATGGTAAGGTGGGTTTACACATAACAGCTGTTTCTAGCAGTAACCACTGGCCTGACAATTGTCAAATACAATACAGACAACAGGTCTACTTTCAAAACTATAAAGACCCTTTGAGAGATTGTTCATAATATTTTGTACATATTTTCATCATTACTGAATGTCTTTAGCCTTGTTTGCTTGATAAATAGTTGAAGGCGAGTGCAAAAGTCAAGGAACTTAATTTTGCTTTGACCATTTTAACAAAAAGGCATCTAAGTCTTATTTTGCAGATTCTCATATTGAAATTAAATCTCTGAAAAGTTGAGAAATTCAAATCCTGTTCAAATTTAATTTAATTCAAATTAAACAGAAATTAACTATAACATGTAGTGTTAATAAGCACTATGTCTTAAAACAATCTCAATTCCATAGCTAATTAATTGAAAGCTGTCACGTTGAACAGATAAGAACCACAGTTGACAGTTGTCTGATTTGATTTTAGCAAAGTCATCAACTTTAAATGGAACCTCTAAAAACAGGACAAAGAAAGGAGTGAGTCTAATTATAAATAATAGCTTTAATCCTCTTCACAAAAAATGTTAAGCAAACTCTGGCCCTGATATAGTCCTTTGTTTTCCTAGTTAAATTCATTGTATAAGATTGACTACTGGTGTTTTAAGTGTCAAACTCTCATGACACAACATGGGCTCATGCTGCCTCATAAATTAAATTAACTGACACAGACATTGAGCTTTGGGTCTTGAATGAGGTCATTCTAATTAATTACCATTACCATGAAATATAGTCAGTGATGCAAACAGACCACATGTTTCCAAAACACTGTGAAATTAATCAAAACATCACTGACCCAAACAGGATTAAATTATTTAGTTGTGCTAATTTTCTGTAGACTAAAGGTTCCCTTTCAATGATAAGTCAGTGTGAACCATATAACTTGTACTGTTTATCTCTTCAAAGGAGCGTGACTCACCTAAATTAAAGTAAGGACTAATAGAGAAAATAAATATTAAACAATGAAAGCACATTTTGTAAAAGATGTTTAATTGCTGTTTTGTAATGCTAGGTCATATTAGGTAAGCAACAAGTTTGGTTTAATCAAGTTTTGTTTTGTATTAGCCCACTGATTTCAGTTTAGGACCTTCTCTAAAATTTACAGACATGACTTTATTTAAAGCCACCTGGTAAACACTGTTCCCCTCTCAAGAGGTCCCACATGAACCATGAGGTAGCTCTCAACTTAATGACGGCTCTTTTTGTCTTGCCTGAACATCTCCAATAAGGTCCTTGAGCTCCACGTCATATTGCACCACAAAGTCGGCCGAGATGCCCTTAGTGGACATGACAGTTTGCTCCTTGATTGTTGGGGTGAAGCTGATTCGGGCACAGCTGGGGGAGCGCAGGACTTCAGTGGACGGAGGCATTTCTGCATCAGCTGGATGGGAAAGTGAGAGAAAACAGAACACGAAACTGCTCAGCCCCAGGCATTGCTGACTGCCATACCATTCCAGTCCCATCAGCACTCAGTCAGTGGTATAGCACCCATCTAGGAACCACAATCACAGCTGGTTAATAATATAGCCCATATTCTCAACAGCAAAGTGCTATGGGCCACAGGTATTTCTCCAAGTGGAATCCTTTACCTTTTGGGCTAATAAGGAACCCATTTCTCATTAGAGAACTAACAGGGCAAGGTAACACATTTGTTTTAAATTTGTTCATTAGCAATCTTAAAGACTATAAAATAGTCTGAGGCTTAATTGTTGTAGTAGCAAGGAGCATGTCAGTCCCCTCTCACCCTGCACCGTGTTGGACAGCAGCTTGGTTTTTCGCAGGGGCAGCACCCGCACGAAGCTGATGCCGGTCCTCTCAGAGATGGTGACCCCCACGGTCAGGTTACTGACCGGCTGCTCGGGCCGCACGCTGAGAGCCAGCTCGTACCGGCCCAGGCGACGCTGAAGTAGCTCCTCGTAGGTCAGGGTGAAGGTCATCTGGGAGCCGGCGGGCACGCTTACCGCCACACGGAATTTCTCCGTCTCCCTCTCTCTGCGGACAAGAGGGAGAACCAGGCGGAGACGTAGGGATAGGAAGGCAGAAAGGATTTAACTGTGAAATTGTGAATCTCAGAAACAGATTGCTGTGATGCTTTGGACTTAAAGGTGGAAAGTTTAGTGCAGTCATAGCCACTACTGTGCATGTTTGTGAGACAGTGAAGAAACAATCAGGAATTGCAATATATATATTTTAGGAATGTCAACCATTTACTAGTGATTTCCATTCATTCATTTTTTTAACCGCTTTATCCAATATATGGTCACACGGGAGCTATCCCAGCAAGCAACAGTGGCAGGACACCCTGGACGGGACATCAGTCTATCATAGGGCAGAAACACACACACACGCCAAGGTCATTTTTTTCCCAGAAGCCTATTAACCTACCAGTACGTCTGGACTGTGGGAGGAAACTGGAGCACCAGGAGAAAACCCATGCAGATCGTACTCCAGGAATTGAACTCGGAGGTCCAGCAATGCAGCAATGCTAATCCGTACACCATAGTTTTCTTTTATTGTAATAACTTTGACTGTTATTAATACAACTTATTTTGAGTGAGAAGCAAACTGAGCTTGTCCTTTAGAACTTCTTAGTTACCAATGATCAAAATTCTTAAAAACATGCAACCATAACATTTTGTTGGTATGGAAGAAACACAGAAAGTGATGTATTTAAAATATGTTAACCTTAAATAATAAAAGAGAAGTAGATATTGTTATATTGTGTCTTAGAGTAACAAAAGACTCCTTACCAGTTCCATTATCCATTATCAAGTATTTGGGTTTATGATGAAACTAAGGATGAGGAATTTCTGTGAACAGTTGTTTACTAGTTTATGGACCCAGAACTCACTTGGTGGCTACTAGCCCAGCAGTTTTTCCTCTCTTCTTTGCTTCATCATAAATCTTCTTGGCTTGGCTTCTCTCCTTTACCTCGGCCACATACACCTTGCCATTAGAAGTGCTGTTGGTAGAGAGATAGCATGAGAGAGGTCGGCTATTACAGAAGAACATTGAGGCTCACTGATTGTAAAGTCAGCTTACTAGGTGGCCTTGTTCACAGAAGCATAAATAATGTAAAAGTTGTCATTTTTATAACATCCCCAATGGCTTTTCCAAATTTGTAATAAACTCTACTCACTGCTTTTATAGTCCTCATACTTGCATCTGTATCCAGATGTAGAAACATGTGCCCTTCTTCTGAACTAGACACTGTGAGACCATTAGATTCTTTTTGCACCTCAGACCCACAGTGTAAACAGCAGTAACACAGATCAGAGGGCATACATCACTCTCACTGGCTCTACTGAAAGCTTAGAGGTGTAGGACCACCCACAGGGGCTGCTGTGGTGCAGCAAGCAGGAAGCATCCCAGCAGAACACACCCAAATGTAAAGCACCCCTTTGGGTACACAGGTCCAAATTTGGCTGATGACAGAATCCGCTCAGAATCAAACAAGCAACCTTTACTGTAAAGGGCCCAAACTGTCTTCTAACAGAGCCCTTCAGTAATGGAGACACTCCTTAGAATCCCATACACTTCAGGAAATATTGCACCACAAATACACCCACAGATCTTATTAAGGACATTCGCAGGGTAAAATTAAAATAAAAAAATCATTTCTAAGGCATGTTTGCAGATGATTTGTTTAAAAGATAAACAACTTAATTCGTTTACAGAAATAATGCCAACTGAAATTTGTGATTTGTTCCAGTCATGACAAATAGAACCCAGAAGAAAAACACAGGCAGTATCTCTTTGAATGCTCCTAGTACAAATGTCCTTCTGGTAGGAACATTTTTGCCTTTTTTAGATAAGGAATCCACAGAGTAAATAGATTGTAATAATACATACAGTATACCAACTTTGATTAGAAAAAGGAATGTCAATTCTATTAATGTTTGCAAAGTAAAATGTTTTTATTTGCAGATCTCCTTTGGAAATATTGTTCAACATTTCACGAGCTTTGGAGAGTGATGTCCATATTTGTTTAATATCACATTTGGCGATTTTCACACCTATTATAACTTCTCTTCCAAAAAAGCTTACTGAAACACTGTGAACTACATACACTTTGTTTTCCCGTTCCATGAAACTGTAAAGCCACGTGAAAAGCAAAGTATAACTATTTAAACAGGAAATAAAAGTTAAGAAATTACTTTAAAATAAACTACAGCACTACATGATGCCACAGTTGCAATTTTGCAAAGCAAATAGTCAGCTTCTGTCTGAGGAACAGTGGTCTTGTGTATGCTGGCATGCATAGGCCATAAAAAGGCCTCAGTGATTTCAAGTGAAACTAACTGGACTAATCACACCAAATTGCCTCAGGTATTTTTTTTTGGGGGGAAGCTAAAAAGAGTGCTGGCTTCTGAAACAGGGCAGGCTTTGAAAAGGCAGGAGCTCTCCATGTGTGCTTTGGGCTTTGGCCTTGGCAAATGAAAGTGGAAGAAGGGAGGGCTCATGTTTTCTCAATGAACCTTCTGACTCCCACAAACAATGCTACCTATTCATGCTTGGCCGTCCCCTGCTCCCAGCTCTGTGACCAACTGGAACTCTTTAATCAAGGCCCAGGCCTACTCCAGGGCCTGTGTTGTGTATTGGGCCTTTTGTTTATTTTGAATTTTTCTTGGTTTCTGTAGGTGTAAAGAAGGCTAGGGTGCAATAGTTTAGAGCTTTGTCAATAACCTCCTGGCCTTTGACAGTTTTAAATCTCCTACAGTGGACCACCTTCAAATGAATACTTAACTGTCAGGGTTATTTTTCTGTTCATTTTTTTATGATTATTTTAAGTAAAGGTTACATTGTGGCTTCTCTTCTCTATGTTTGTAAAGGTTATACAGTTTTTCATACAGTATAATCCTGTGGGGGAACAACATGCTTATGTATGTTTTGACCCTCAGTGATGGTGGCCGTAAAATAAAAAGTATGATATGACTGATCAGGCAAGTAATTACTTTAAATAAGTAACACAAATCCAGATGTGGTAAAAGCATGATAGCCAGTGGCTTTCAAAGACTGGGATTGGACTTTGCTGATACAGCTTTTACAAGCCCATAAAGGCTTTAGGTGTATAAGCACATAATAAACACACATGATGAGAAAGTACTTAAATTACAAAATATCATAATGCTTGTCCTAAAAACAATATGCCCACAATATGACACAAGTATAATATTGAATATAATATTGAATATTGAATATTATCTATGAATAAACCAAATCAATACAACAAATTAAATACAAATTTAGCAGGATGTTTTGTTTTTAAATCTAATTTGTTAACCCTAAAACATAACCAACAGTTGGAATGTGTCTACAAGAGGCTTTTTGTCAAAAGTGACTCTTACCATCCAGCGGTATATACAGTACACACAACACACTATTACCCATGTCATGAGGAGGCAGCAATGATTGCTGTTATGTGCATGTCATAACCAGTCATTTAAATCCTGTTCTGAGCTGTCTATGGGAAAACAGTTGCAGGATAGTCAGACTCATAGGCTCTGCATGTTCTCTGAGTGTTAGTGTTTGTGTTGGATTTGACTGGGTACACCACTTAAACTCTACCTCCCAAAGACATACAGGCCAGGTTTGGTTGGTGACTCTGTACACTTTTCAAGGAGGGTTCAGGGAAGTTTCATACTAAGGGTGTTTTTTACAAGTTCAATAAGTATTGGGACTTGAGCTACAGAGAGAAAACAAACAAATTAGCCAGTTGGGTTGAATGACCTTGTCTCATTTTTGGTTTACCAGATGTTCTGATGACCAGAAAAATATCAGCTACAGGTGATACACAATTCCTCAGAAAATACACAGTATCTTGGATTTATATACAGTATATACAGTAACTGATATGGGGTGATCTGACTCAGCTAATTAAGTGAGTATACAAAACACCACTGCAGAAAGAAAAACCTACCTTGTGACCAGTTTTGCACAGATGGCAGGCAACATGGAGTTAAGTTCAAAGTGTTCAAAACGTCTCATGGCCTCTTTTATTTTAATTTTTTGTGCATAACTAATCAAACCAGTGGACCCATCCAGCAGGGACTTATAATTTTACTGGTCACCTTCATAAGCCACACACACAATTGGGAAGATAAAGGGAATACATCAACAGAAATGGTACATCACATGTAATACTTTTCAGGTTTGGAGTTGCATATTGTCTTTACAGAAATGGACAGAATCCTTAGGTACTTCAGCATGTTAGTTCACCATTCTCATCCATCTTTAAAGAAGCTGATGGGGGCAGAATTCAAATTCCAGAGGAGATAAGGACTTCATGAATTATCAACCTTTAAATGTTTACGGTGCTATAATCACCAAACTACTTCAAACCAATAATGATATGAGAAGGACATCTACAATGACAATGGCTGTGTCTTCAGCCGACCTTTACTTACATGGAGAAGTTGGAAATGAAAGCTGTGCTGGGAAGATCCACCTCAAAGGCAGCTTCTTTGTTAACTGCCAGCTGGTTCCATACTGAACTCTCCACTGTGGTCTGGGCATAGCGAGACACCACCATGGAGCGAATGTGGAAATCTGTCACCTTCAGCTGTGGGCCAAAACAAAAATCAAGATGAAACGAGTTTGGATGCTTCAATGGCAGTATTTTTTAATCCTCCCTCTGGCATGTGGTGTGCCTTCTTGACTCAGTAGCATCACTAAGACCTTAGAGTAACTGTTCACAAGATAACTGGAATTTTTAGAGGTCTCAGCTCATAAAGAGCTGGTATTTTCAACATTCCATTTCAATTGTTATAAAATCATAACAGTGCTTTTAAGTCTCAAACCGTTTTAGAAAAAATAAAGTTACTCAGCAAATTTCTAGTGTAATTCAGGTTTTGATTTATTAATTGGAGCCCCTGAAAATGCAGTACATAACAGTACCTACAAGTAACAACCCCACACGTGATTGTTTTGTGTCTCCAGAGAAAATGTATAAAGATAACTAACAATTCAAGGTGATGATGAATTATGATAAAGATTATTCATGTTATAAAAAACCTGACACAGTATGTCCAGTGGGAGAGAATATAGTTCTTTACCAGGCGTCACACAAATATACTTCCCCACTTTGCATCCTAGCTTTCTGTTTCACAGACATACAGTGCCGATTTGTTTTTTTCTTCTTGGTATTTTCAGGAACTGTTTTGCTTACTGTAATAACTACTAAAAGTAATCTCAGCTCTGGAGACGTAAGATAACAATAAAATACACCTGGAATAAAGAAGTCCATTAAAATGTCTTGACCTTCAGCCAACACATATAAAACTTCAAAATCATTAAATGGCACAGACTGTCCATTTCTGTAGTTTTGACAAGGAAATGGCCACAGAAAGAGGATGAGCAAGCACCAGGGTGTTTTACCTAGATATAGACTAGGCTGGGTACTGCTGTCTTCAGCTCTAGAACAACTAGACCAGCTAGTAAAAACACTGTCAGACTGCCATAAATCTTGTTGCAGTGCCTTTTTAATAGAGTTGGCTTATGAAAGTAATCAAACATTATTAAATGTTCAGGTGGGTAGCTGCGTCAGCATGCGTAGGCTGCAAAGGAACAAGTAATAGGTTTATTCCATGCTGAAAAAAAGAAGAAAGAGAACACAACGTTTCGGCCGTGGAGCCTTCTTCAGGTGTCTTCAGACACCTGAAGAAGGCTCCACGGCCGAAACGTTGTGTTCTCTTTCTTCTTTTTTTCAGCATGGAATAAACCTATTACTTGTTCCTTTGCATTATTAAATGTTAACACCTTATTATTATTTGTTGGTTGCGGAGAAAGATATAAAAACCTATAACATGGAAAGGACCCAACACAACAGAGCTAAATAATATATCACCTACTGTATATCCTGTCAAAACGGGTACATGAAAAAAAAACTAAAAGCATGATTGGAACTGCATAGTATTGAATTATTTAGTAAGTAAATGTCTGTAAGAAAGTTGCTATGTGATATAAATTGATTGTCAATCTAAAATCATATACTTTTCTTGTTTTTTTTAGTCAGGAAGTGAAGAACTGCAACACCAAAGATTTCCAAGGCACAGCCTTCAGTATCTATACACGTTCGACACAATGAGGCGCTTTAACCCCCATAGAGGCAGATCTAATCAGGTCTCAGAAGCTAAGTAAGGCCAGGCCTCCAGGAAACCCAGTTTGCTTCTGCATGTTGGGGCACCAGTGTTTCTCCTTCTAGACCAAGATCCAGTGTTTCTCCTTCTAGACCAAGATTTCCAAAGCAATGACCCAGCATGGCGATAGAGATCACAGTTGGAAGAAGGCGCCATTTTTTACTAAGATCATGACCATTCGATCATATAGGATACCATGATATTGCTCATAAGAGTGGTAGTGTTAAACCTGGAGTCCTGGCTAATTTCTGATTTGAGTTTGCCTAATCTGGTATCTCTACATTTCACCCTTTATTAAATTGTTGAATTAATTTCTCGCTTCTACATCTGAAATGTAGTGTACTGGGACTGCTGGTGCCATAATGGCTGTCTTGTGTCACCAAGATAGGTGCTACAGATCAGTGGTTAATGAAGTGGGTCCCTTCCTATATTAAAAGCACTGTATAAATGCACAGAATATTAATAGCATTAATAATACAATCAAAGAACTATAAATATTAGCACTAACAATTTACTCAAAGCCTCCACTACAGTTTTCTGCAATTGTAAATAATGTTTAGTGTGAATGTGAGGAAACCAAGATTCTCAGTGGGAAATCTTTAATTCTCATTAATCATAATCTTCAAAAACTTGTTCATGACAGCTCAAGGTAAACCTAAAAGGAGCAGCCAATATAAATCAAATTAATTCATTGTTAGGTGTCCCTTATGATCAGCATTTTGCTTAAAAACGAAAAGACTAGAATTTTGGCCACCAGTGTATCGATTCTGTCATCCTAGCTGATTTTGTTTTTTAAGGAATCACAGGGCTTTTTTCACTGTAGGAATGCCTGTCTATTGCCAAGCCACAGCAGTCTGGTAACATTCTTTTATGGCAAGTCACAAGCACTCAGTTTCCTAGCTGGAAGTTATTCCAGTCTGCGATTTCCTTGACCCAATTGCGCTCTTAATGATTTTAACTTATAGACTGTTTGCATGATTAGAGAAAGAAAGAGATTATTTTAAAAAACTGCTGTCAGATAGTGATAATAATGATGACTATGTACTGTATATGAATAATAATAACTCTTCCCACTTTTATTTTATGCACTGAAATGTAGTGAGGCCCAGATTAAACATACACCGGCAATAAACCTGGGAAAATCCTTAGCAAGGAACTGCCCAGTCTCAAGTGTCAGTAAGAGGGCCAACGTGTTGTTTCACTTGGAATCTCTCAATTAACAAGTTACAGTCTCCTACCCTGCACTCCTGAATATTAGCCCTGTTTACTTAAACAGTAAACCATCACAAACATAATAATGCATGTGATGTATAATTATGTAAAAATAATTCATTTAAGGAAAAAAGTAGTCAGACTTACTTCTGCCTTCTGTGGTTTTGTTTGACGTTTAATTCTCTGCAAAAGAACATAAACATAAATTATTTGATTAGGTTATTCCTCATGTTCTCTAATGCACTGAGGTGGAGAGATGTAAGTATTAAGAATTCACAATTCACAAAGTGACAATTAAAAGGTTTCCCACAGGAAAGAATTATCTTTAGTAATGAGTAAGAAAGTAGGCAAAATATTCTGTAAGAAAACAGCGTATTTCCATTTTTGGAAAAGTACAGTAGCTGATTAATTCATTAGCACTTGATCAGATCTGTAGTATTATCAATAATAATATACCTGCAGGTGGAGCAGCGCAACACAACAATCAAGTCAATATGTCAAACTTGAACAGCTGAGTTTATCAAGTTTAACAAACAAGTGGATGCAGTAAAGAGTATTTAAAGCTGAATGCACAAACTTAGATACATTTTTCATCTCTCAGGGTTTGTTGCACTGAAAACACCAGTACAAACATTTTTTGCATTCTCTTAACAAGGATATCTAGCAAAATACATATATATTTTTTAAACTGTAAAAAACTCAAGCGCTAATAATGTAGAAACAATTAATCCTAAATTCTTAAATATCAAGTATATTAAAGTTTCTCTTACTTTCACCAGCTTTATTGAACCTGAAAGATTTGACAAATGTTATTTGTGTAGCTAAACCAAACAGATACCTATCACACAGAGAGGAAGATTGCTCTCTGCTACTGAACACAAAACAGAATATTAATATACAGTACACAACATATACTGTATGTATTAATTTATACTGTATACTGTATATATTAATTTTTACTGTATAAATTAATTTAAATTTTCAGGGTCTAACCTTTGTAATACACTGCTTGAGTAGGAAAGTCTTTAAAGCTTTTTATGTGCATATAAAACACACTATATACAGTACATATAATCTATAAGATAAGCACAGGAATACGTAAGGAAATTAACATGTTAATACAGTCTCATGCTGAGTGGTGAGACTTGAATTCCCATTAGGAAATGTGGAGAACTGAATGAAAGCATGTACTGTATGACCTAGCAGTTAGCAGCTGTGCAGTGTTTGAAATGTTGATGCTGCACATGAAGTGCATGTAGCGAACAGTTCTTTCTGGACCCTATGCGGACGACACAATCCGAAAAAGTGAGGAAACACTGGGGAAAAAAGTCATGCAGGAATACGGGGATGAAAACAGGGGGGCATGTCCAAAGTGCGCTGGTGCACAGGGGAGGTGTGGCCGAGGCAAACAATCCAAGGGTAATCCAGACGGGGAATCCAAAAACACAAGCATAAATCCATGGCCAGGCGATCCATCCAGGAGATTAAAACCAGGAACCGGGTCGGAACCGGCAGGGAGAACAGGAACAGAGACAGAGACTTAAAAACATAACAGAGCCAGGTGCAACCAGGTCCCAGGCTCGCCCGATATGGGAATCAGATGCAGAGCCCGGAACTGACTGAGTGTCTGGCTTTTAAGGGGAACGGGAAGGAGGCTGGAAAAAGGGGCAGGTGCACAGAATTAAGTCCAAAGTGAAAAGAGCCGGAGCACCCTTAAGGAGGAGGGACTACAATCGTGACAGTGCATAGGTCATACGGTACATAGTGGGGATTTATTCTGGTCACCAAAAGTAGAATTATGCTTAATCATTAGCATACAGAAGAACTGGAGAACTTCACATGAGAGCGACTCTGGTTGATTAATTATATTTGGCTCCAATGAATTTAATGCCACATTCATTGAGGTCATAAATTAATGGAGTGGTACAGTTAGGCATATATAACAACATGATTCTAGTGGCTGAAGAAAAATAGGTCAGCATAATGAAATTTACTTGATAGCTATTATTTATTGATTTGAAAGTAACAACAAACTGAATCATCAAACATACAATAAGATGAACAGTTTGGCTTTGTTAATTAATCCAGGCAGTACTTATATTTGTGTTAACAGGAATACCTTCTTTGTTTGTTCTGAGTGGGGAAAGGAATCCCCTCAGGACCAGATATTAATTTCTAGCCACAATGCCAAAGAGATCCAGAGTTTCAACTAGATCTGGCCCCTGGATTAGGCCCTTGAATTTTCTGGGTCAACCTTGAATGGACAGAAGTCTGTGATTTCCTGTATAGAAGCATGAGGGAGCTATTGTCCTATCCCCCCTGGTTGTCCCCGTACTGAGCTGCTTCATCCATTTGGAGATCAGGTTGGTGTTCTCATAAGTACTGTAGATACCAAGCAATTGCTTAGCATAGCCAAAACAACCCAGTCGACTTAGATGAACCAGACATATTGAGTGAGGCTCTATGGTTGTCATTTCTTCTTCTGCACCAACCACATCAAAATGCACTGACTTCTAAACTTCTGGGGGTGTGAAGGACAAATGGCCCATTGAACAGAGGACCTATAGACTTGTGACTATAAACCCTTGACTTTTTTTGATAAGTCTCATTTTATTAGTTTAGACTATATTCGAAGTGACATACAGCTTGTACTGGAGTGATAAGAACACAAATGAGAGGAAACAGTTTGGCCCATCTAGCCCATTTTGTAGTTTTTTTGTAGAAGTAAAAGTGATCCAAGTATTTCATCCCGCCGTTTCTTGAAAAAAATCAAGGAACTGAGTACAAACAAGTCTGGGCAGTTCGGTCCATATTCCCACAACCCTCTGGGTAAATAACTATCTCCTGTCAACCTGAGAGAAGTAAATTGAAAATGGAAATGACCTCCCTACTCATACATGGGTGTCAATAACAGTTATTACATGTTACGCATCAAGCATGTAAGGAACAGTAAGATACTCAAATGCAGACTCTAATCGACGAGGGGACCAATGCTAGGTTAGGGAAAAAAGGAAAATATTTTTGGTCAACGCACAGTGTGAAATTCTGGGAAATCTTACTGGCCTGGAGATTGGTACTAAAAATAAGATGGTTCATAATGGAAGAATTCATACAAATGCCTACATCTCTTTAATGTACAAATGATCAGCATGAAACCCGACAAACAGCCTAAAATGTGACAATATTATATTTTTTTCTCTTACAATATCTTTATGTATTGTAACATAATGTAACATTATGTATTGTTACAAATGAGAGGAAACCATGTGGCCTGACTAGGTCATTTGGTTGTTAGTAGCTGATTAAAATGCTGTTTCTTCAATGAAGCTAGGATTTAGGCTTTCACAATATGGCCAGGTACTGTTGCTAACCCTAGACTTGCACAACCCTTTGTGTAAAGAAGTACCTTCTATTCTCAGTTCACTTCTAAATAGTTTCCACTTACAGTATCTCATCTGGTTTTTGTTTCACTGTTGATCCATTGGCAATGCCTTAGTGGATTATCAATACTTCAGTCAGGTCCACTTGTATTCTTTTCAAGATGAAAAAGATTCTGTTCTTTCAGTCTATCAGACTAGGGTATTTTTTAAGCCTAGGAATGTATGTGTCTGATTTTCTCTGGGCTTATTCTAGTGCAACAATATATTGTTGTAACATGCTGAACATTATAAAAAATGAGGTTTCACTTGCATTGTATCATTTCCACATTATGTGACTTCATTTTATTTCTTAATGCATTGTCTATAGTGTATAAGCTAACATTGTTTACCTTTTTATTGCTTCCTCAGATGGCCCAGCTGATATTTGCCCTTTTCTGATGATGAGACCATGTACTGTACATGAGGGAGGGGAGTCGTAAGTTATCAGGGTGTGCTAACAACCACCTGGAGATTAATACATGTAAAACAGTGGAAATGGTGGTTGATTTCTTGAAACATTCTACAAAACCTCTTTCCCTGGTAATCAAAGATGTTGCAGTGAATGTGGTGAAGTCCTTTACATTTTGGGGATTATTATTTCTAATACCCTTAAATGGGACATGGGAATATCACCAGTATCACCAAAAAAGACAGCAACAAATGTACTTCTGCCACCAGCTGAAAGACTTCGGTAACTCCCAACCAATTCTGATATAGTTTTACAGAGCCATTATTGAGAGCATTCTGACTGTATATATGCTTTGGCAACACGTTTGACTGCTGCAAAGGCATAACCGCGTGAGATGTTCGCTCTGCGGAGTGGGTCATTGGCTTCCATTGATGACATACATTTCCACAGAAAAGAAGCACGCATGAAAGATTGCTGACGAACGTCCCTGTTTAGTTTAGGTTACTTCCTGTTTCATAAACGACCATCAGAAAGACGCTACCAGTCTATTAAAACCTAAACCACTCGGCATCTGATGAGTATGGAAACCCTTTTCCGCCAGGGAGTAAAACAAAACGCGCTATGGTATCTCGCAGTTTCGACTTTCGATCTCAGAATTATGACTTTATTTCTGTCAATTGCGACAGTGTATCCCAACATTACGAGTTTATATCTCGCAATTGCGACTTAAACTCGTAGACTTATGATGTTATAGTATAGCTGAGTTGTGCAACGCCGGAGAGTCGGGTTCGAGCCCATTCGGTGAGGGACGAACTAGGGTGGTAGCGGCGAGGGCACAGTTCCTACGACCCGAATCCGTTACAATAACAAATGGGCAGACAATGAAATGGTTGAGAGACAATGTGGCACGTGCGAGATATAAAATCGAAATGACTAGATTGTAAATCACAATTGCGATAATTGGAGACAGATTTTTTTAGATCTAAAGTCGAAACGGCGAGATACGACAGCGCGTTTTCTTTACTCCGTGGCGGAAACGGGCTTCCATAGGAAGATCTTTTTTTCTTAGAGCAGACTACTTGTATGTGCACTGTCTTAATGATTTCTAATAGTCTTGTTTGTGTGTGATATTGGTCGGTTGTCCGTCGTGTCCGACAATGACTGAGACTTGTGCGGGAGCTTATTTTAAGTGGGAAAGCCGTTACACTAGAGTAGTCCTACTCTCTCGACCTTAGAAGCTTGGGTCCAGTGGTACGAGTCACAACTGGAGACTTCCTTGGTTGCAAGAACCTTGCGCCCGCCGTGGGACACGAACCCACTCCCCTGGGCTGTGTGTCACGTGACACACGCAGCGTATCCAGTGCACCGGAGTAAATTCCTTTTGTATATGAACTTTATTTGGCCAATAAAAGCTATCTTGATTCTGATTTTGATTTCAGTCTACAACTATTATCATTTACCTTTCAGTGCCACTATCCATTCCGTGACAGAAACAAACAAAAAGGGTTTAAAAATATAAAAGATTTACAACTGCTTAGATGAACTTCCGAAATGTGCAGGAGTAAGCGTTAAACTTTTTTTATTTTCTGGAGTGGGCTCTCGTAACAAGCGATTTATTTATGTTGGATCAAAATATTTTTCGGTAAAGGGTTGGAACCATTGAGTGCAAACATTTGCTCCCTAGGGCATGATAACCCCTCATCCCCCTGTAATACCTGCTCACACAATACACACCAATCAATACAGAAACATCTCTGTTTCTATGGACTCGTGGTCTCCTCTCATTTGTACTATTCTTTAAAGTCATTATCATTACAATTGTCATAATCAACAACAACAATATGGTTACGTTTAACGCTATGCAGTACATACCTCCTCACTCATTTTAAACGTAATAGCTGTAGATTGCTTCTTAATGCGCATGTAAACGAAGTATTGACAAATTTATCTGCGTGGATGAAACAAGGTGTGTTTATATATTAGTATACATATCGACCTTAAAGTCAGAACTTTGCGCCTTTTTTGCATTGTCTTTAAATACTTTATTCTGTACTTTACGCTTTAAATAAACAATAGATATTTCTCTTGGCAACCAGGTAGCATTTTTCTTCTTGCCAGTTCAAGAGCTTCTGTAGCTTATTACAATGATCTTGTTAACAGCTCTGTGGTACGAATACTTTCAAGCCCGAAGTCTAATATTGCTCCACAATAACGTTGTAAAACCAATTTTAAAAAGACCATACCTCCAGGTATACATTGGCGTCTGCTTTATTGGGTGAATCTTGGAAACGAGCCCGGTACTTCTCAGATGATCCTCTTTGGACAGATGTCATGAAGCAAAATAAGACAAAATATAGCAATGTGATAATCCAGATGCCTCTCATTTTTAGTCACTAATATTCTTAAATTCGTGGTTGATTTCCTGTGCTCTATGGCTTCAAATGAGCTGCGAGAAAACTAGTGCGCAGTTTATTTACAGATACAGATCGCAGCGTTTAAAAGCGCTCTCCTGGGAGGTGTGACTCTAGGATGTGTGATGTGGGTGCAAACGAAGCTTCATGAAACGTTGCTGTTTTTGGATGTGAGTGAAATGTTCAAGAGACAAAGGATTAAATATATACATTAATCCTTGAAGGCGCCGTCTTTCTTTGCCAGTTATACCTGAACGTAAACGCGTCATTTCAAAGGTTTAACGGGCTGGGACGTGCCTCTAAAGAACTTTCTTTCAAAGTCTGAAATATTGAACATTTTGACTTAGATATAGACGACCGTTTTAAAAAAAAGGCTAAAGGAAACACGTACATTATGCAAATGTACTTGCATAACAAGTACAGTAGGTCTGTATTATTTATATGGTAACGTTTAACGCCCTTTAGAGTGATCAGGTTTCTGTGTGGAAATCTGAAAAATACAGTTGAAAATGAGCCTTTTTACCATATTTAATATGATACGAGACATCTTTGCATTGCACATGTTAATTCCAATATGTGGGTTGTACATTTTAAAATGTGTACAAGAATCTTCAGAAACAAATACACAAATTAGCTTACAAGTCATACGTTACTACATATCTGTTAATGGCGATTTGCTTTAAAATGGTTGAACTACAAGGTACGGGAAACAGAATGTGAAGCCAAGCTCATACGTACACGAGAAAACAACGCAACACAACAGAGGAAAAGCTTTGCAAAATAAACTTCTCAGAATTTCCTGCAGAAGAAGGACGTGATTGACTGGAGCAGATTCCCATGGAAGAGGTTTCTGGATATTAACCCGTTCCACACTTTTCTGGTGGGCAGATAACATTTTAAACAGGGCTATACATTTTACCTTGCCTTCGTGCTGTATTTTAATGGACTGTTAGTCAAGAAGGGGGGAAAACTTTTATATAAACTCTGACCTTTCCTATTACATCTGTGAAACGTCCGATCCATCTTGTCTAGGTCCAGACAAAATTATGTTTTTGAAATTCCAGAGAACTATCAATTCTGTGGGGTCAGGGTATTTTTTATTTAATGGGGTGTGCTGGTCCTGCAGGATGGGGAAAATGCACTGCTTGTGGTGGGTGCCTGCCAGTGGGTTTCCCTGGTCAAAGCTTGGTTCCCTGGGCATTATACTGTAGCGTTTTTGAGTTCACGTAAAACAAAGTACAAATGGAAACGTGATAGAAACACCAACCAACCACTCTTAACCACCTTTCAACACCAAACCAAGCACAGCATTTACACACACACACACAAGGGGACCGACGTAACACGTTCAGTTCACAGGTTTAGGGTGGTAACTCGTTAACAGAAGACTATACACTTACAAAGCTACACAGGACACTTTAACTAATATAACACTATTTACATAAGCAGGGTCAGCTGCTGGTCATCGTGCTGACCCTCAGACTCCTCCCGGCTACCACCCCCATCCTGCTTCGCGGTACCCTGAGTGCCTAGGTGTGCTTCCTCCTCACCAAAGGACGAGGGTGCTACAATACTCTTTACCAGCCTTTAAGAGTCTACAGGACTCTTAATAGTAATTATTATTTACACTTATATAGCACTTTTCTGGACACTCCACTCAAAGTGCTTTACAGGTAATGGGGACTCCTCTCCACCACCACCAATGTGCAGCACCCATAACACTCACCACACATCAGCTATCAGTGGGGAGGAGAGCAGAGTAATGAATCCAGTTCATAGATGGGGATTGTTAGGAGGACCATGACTGGTAAGGGCCAATGGGAACTTTGGCCAGGACGCCGGGGTTACACCCCTACTCCTTTCGAGAAACACCCTGGGATTTTTAATGACCACAGAGAGTCAGGTCCTCGGTTTTACGCCTCATCTGAAGGATGGCACCTGTTTACAGTATAGTGTCCCCATCACTATACTGGGGCATTAGGACCCACATGGACCACAGGGTGAGCGCCCCCTGCTGGCCCCACTAACACCTCTTCCAGCAGCAACCTTAGTTTTTCCCAGGAGGTCTCCTATCCAGGTACTGACCAGGCTCACACCTGCTTAGCTTCAGTGAGCTGCCAGTTGTTGGCTGCTGGCACATCTTCCTATGACCCATTCCAGGAATGAAGCAGGCGTGAGCGATTCATGGGCATAGACATTCTGGGACTTCTCCTCAGAAGAGAACATCACGTCAGGTGTGTCTTTCCTCTAAGGTGTCCTAAGAAAGAGCTTCCATGATCACTGAACTGCTTCCAGAGGTCATGATCAGGCTGTTAGATGATGTCCAAATATAATTCCTATTGGAACACAGTGCTGAAATTCACTGTTCTAAAATCAGCTTCAGAGCTCTTTGGACTGGAATGGTGGACCTTTGTAGACCTCCTCTTCAGCCAACCCCTGGAGGATAATGTATTGTGCAGGACAGTAATGTTTCAGTTACCTCCAGTGTCTTTACTGTGCCCACACATTTGCCTTACACCACCTGTCCAGAGTGTGGCCATATCACAGATGAAGCATTAGGGTACCCACACTGTGGTGGACATGTGGCAATCGCAACGTCATACTGTACATTGTGGAGTTCCGAGCCTCGGAGGAAGATGGAACTTTTCCCCTGAGCTTGTGATCACGTTGTTTTTATTGCAGCAGTCTGATTCTAGTAAAGGGAATCCTTTGCACGGATCAGAAACTACCGATAGTATGGTTGGTGGAAGGGCTGAAATGGGGAGATCGTTATTGTTTTATTTGCTTTTGAAAAATGTAACACAATGTGGCTGAAAATTAAATATTACTTTTTCGATTATTAGATTTCATTATTGCCAACCATGATTACATGTAACAGTAGGTAGCTACAGTACAGTAATAATCACTGTTATTTTCACTATCGTACGATGTAGACTCTTGCAGTTGTATCTTTCAAGTCCGCTACGTGATGCGTCAAACATTCTCTAGTGCAAAGCGAACGCAGCTACTTTTCACACGTGAGAATCCAACTAATCCTCTGATGTCACTTTAACGCGATCGTGTCGTAATTAAACCGCGCCGCTTGGGTAGGAAGGCGCAAGATAGCTATGCTCAAATATTAAAGAAGTGGCTAAACTTTACATTTCTAAAATTGTAGATAAAGGTAAGTTATTTTTTTTTGTTTTTGCTCCATGTAGCGTTAGCAAAACAATATACAGGTTTCTTAATGTATGAGTATAGTTTACATGATTTGTAGTGTGAATCATAGTAACATGTTGCGACTGCTACTGTTAAATTGGAAGTTTTTTTAAAAATATTCCTTGCTCCTGAACGTAATATAAAAAGCTCGTATTAGTGTATGTTGAAACGTCATAGCTAATGGTCTAGATATAAATAGAAGCTCATATTTGACTCCGTCATTTTTGTGTACAGTGCTTTTTGTTTTCTTATTTTCAGATTTCATGATGTCACAATTCAGGAAAAGGGTTTCAGCAAGACAGAGTTCACAGGGCACAGCCTCTAGGGTAAGTGGATTTCTTGCAGGAAAAAAATCTTCTTGAGTATGGCTGAATTAGAATAGTCTTTGATTAGAAGCTCAACTCGTTAGCCCAACTCATTGTAAAAGTTTGTAATGTAGGTACTAGCCTTTAAAGTAGAGATGTCAGTAAATTTACTTTAAGTAAAGTTACTTAAAATGTTTTGTGTAGCCTATGAATATAAATATTTCCCTTTTACTGTTTTGTTTAAACAATAATACTTTCTTTGGTGTAGTATTGGTGTTTTTTGTCAATTGGGAGAATATTGAGGTAAGTCAGGTCAGTTTAAATGCACCCTACAATCTAAGGATGGTAAAGAAGGTTAACAGCATTGTGGAATGCACCCCCTCTTCTGTGAATTTACACTGCCTTCAAGACGCAATGGTAATAAACTTAGAAATTTGTTTAGCACCTCTGCCATTTGATTTTTGGGGAAAAAAGTAAAATAATTATAATATACTCCTCTGAATACTTGATTTGCAGTGGTAGTTATGTTGTATCATTTTGTTGTCCTCAAAACTAAAATTATAAAATAAAACAATATAAAATTTAACTTGAATTTCATTGAATTGTTTTCCTTCCTTATCCAGAAACGAAGTCTATCTTCAACTGAAATTTGAGTCTCTGCTAATCTTGCTAGATATGTATTTTGTAGCATGACAAAAGTAGCCTTTTAGATTTCAGGATGTATAGACAAGAGCAAGGGATGTTCATCACAAGGAATCAGTGCGATGTGATTTGTAGATGTGGATTGGCAACTACAGCACTTTATACTGGCTGTTCACTTGTAGTTTACCCTGAGTTGTTGTGATTGTGAATCAAAGATAAAAAATGAGCTAGTTTTATTCTCTTCTAGACTAAGTTGTATTCTGTATAAGTTGTTTTAATAGAAACATCAGTGGAGGCTTTAAGTAATAATTCAAGTAAACTGATAATGCTAGTAACATTTAGTTATATAAATATAGTCATGTCTAACACTGGTCTCTACTCTGTTTTTACCCCAGTCTCAGCACACCGAGAGTAAAGATGAAGATGATGACGTGTCCTTCACCCAGCCCACATCCTCACAGGTCCAGAGGGGTCTGGAGCACCTGACTCCCACTCAAGTTGACCAAAAGGTAGAGTGGTCAGGGCCTTTGGATGTCATGTACAGGAACATTTTGATTTTCGTTTGTAGAAAGGAAGTAGTGCTTCTCTGTGATTAATATTTTGTTTAACAATAGTAGTTGTACCAAAATTTCATTTATTTGTACTTGTTCATTAGAATGAAGGGAGTATTTAAGCACTATTCCTAAATACCAATGAACCATTCCTTTTTTCTGTAGTAATTTCTGCCATGATGAAGTGGGTGGTCTTGAGATTTGTAAAACCCTCTTTGTTAAAGCTGAGTTGATAGTGTTCTGTCTATGTGTGGTGCAGTTAGACATACAGTATGCTATATAATGGATTGAGCTCAAGAGACATGACCATTCTTTTATGTGTTTTGCTTATGGTGCTACGATTGCACTTTTGTATTTCATATTTCTTTCTTTGCTCACAAAGTCTTAGAGTCTAATATACCACAATAGTCTTATAAAAACATATTTATAAAATTACAACGCTAAAAACCAGTTGGATATTTTTGGAATCCTTGCCATCATATGTGGTGTTTTTAAGCCCTCAGTAAAATCAGACTGTGCTTAATCTGAGAATTTTCCAGAGGTTTTATTAACTTGCTGCTTTGAGTTTATTGCTCCATTGTGATTTTCCACTTACATTGCACACTGTTACAGAATATTTGGTTTCTAGTTGTAAAGACCCCTGCTGACCACAGTATGTTTTTTTTGTTTTTTCTGTCCTAGGTGGCTGAGGTTGTGCAGTATATCTTAATAAAGGACCAGAAGAAGGTGCCTATCAAACGAGCTGGTAAGCATGTAAAATCTCAGAGATTAACTATTCAACAGGACTATCCCTTATAAGCCTTCTACAAACAACCAACCACACCTACCTGTCTCCACTCATGGAAAAAATCTCTCTGCCTGCTTTTCTTCAATAAACCTATACTGTCTTTACTTCTTAATCCAAGTAGTGAATCTGTAATGATCACTGTACTGAATTCAGGAGTGATTTTTAAATTGTTTTGTATGTTTTTAATTAAGTGGCTTCCTCCAGTTGAGATTTAATGACTTATTTGGTACTTGGCAATTACACTTGTTTGTCTTTGATAAAAGTAACCTTTAAGGTTGATGTTTCATCAAGGACTTACATTGAGACAAGACGTCGTGCTAAAATCTGCAGATATGCAGCTTTTTGTGTGTTCTATATCTGTCATTTTCTTTCTTACAGATATTGTGAGGCAGGTGATTAAGGAATACAAGAATATCTACCCTGAAATAATCAAGCGAGTCAACAGGACATTTGAGCAGGTGACTGTTGGCATTTTAATAACTTATTGGAGGGGGTGGGGGTTCAAACAGAAAAATATAAAGAGCCAAAAATGGTTCTGCTTGCATTCTTAATGAAAAATGCTTATGAATTGTTTTTTTAAGGTAACCAGATTATTTTTTATCTGGTTACATTGTAGCTGATAGCAACCATTTTTGCATGAATGAGCAATAAATCAATCTGAACACATAGACAATGTTTGCTTGTTTAAATGCTTACATTTTAAAGAAAATCCTCTTTACTATGTGGTATTCTTTTTAACACCATTTAAAACTTGTTTGGTGACAAATGTAGATCTCTGTATTTTAAACAATCTGTATTAACACTTCTCATAATAAGGCTTATTAAATTGTTCTGTTGATGAACTTGAGATGCAGTGTAAGAATATTACTGTATCCTGTAATTCTGTACTTGCATATTAAAGATTTCTTATGGGTTGATAATTTTCCACTGTACATGTTAAGTATTTAGACCTAAACAAAGAGCTTTTCACAAAAGATAATGCACACTGTTATGGGCATGCAAACTACTAAGAAATCAGTTGTAAGTTAAAAATGTCCGGTAATAATATCCTTTGTGGTTTTATTTTCATTGCCTAGTGAAAGAGAGTTAACTTGTGTTCTTTATTTTCTGCAGGTGTTTGGCCTCAAGCTAGTGGAAATTGATTCTAAGAATCACATTTACATTCTCATTAAGAACCTAGAACATGTGGAAGGGGACCCAGTGGGCACGTGAGATCAAATTATCTTTATTACTCTTATGCCATTTATTTTTAACCTTGCAGTTTCACTAAAAGCTCACAAGGATGGACAAACCTTAATTTTTAGTGCTCAAGTGTTATTGCAGAGTGGTTCACCATGCTGGACTAAACTGCAGTGGCAGCTTTGAGAGTTTGAAACTAGTTATATCGGAGAATATTGTTTGAACTAACTGCCTTTCAATTGTGAGTTTTTTCTTGTTTCAGGGGCACAGGAACACCTAAGACTGGCCTTCTGTTTGTCATCCTGGCTGTGATCTTTATGAGGGGTGGTGTAGTGAAAGAGTGTATGTATCCTTGCACATTGTCTGGCCTATGGTGAGAACTCAGTGCCTCAGTTTGTCAGGAGTTTGTTCTTGCAGTGCTGGGCTGTAGCCTCTTCAGTGGCTCGGTATTGAATGACCTCAGCTGCAGTTGCTCTGTATGGCAAGGTCAGAATGTAGGAGTGCAGTGACATCCATAGCCTAGTGTTAAGCAATGTTTAATTTGTACATTACAAGCCTTACATCATTTTCATAAAATCATGTCTTAAACATTTTGGTTTAAAAAAAGATATGAACAAGTATGTAATGCAATCAATACAATTGTTTTATTCAGCCCAGTGACCGCGTCTAGCATTAGCCAGATTTTAGGAGCACACTGTACTATCTTGTCAGACAATTTTATCCTCATTTCTAAGTACTGTGAGTGTGCTGCTGAATGTTTCAGCTTCAAAATTGGAATGCCAAGCCTGTCCTATATCCATTCCAAACAATTTCATGTTCAAAACTATAACGTTCATGACCTCTAGCTTTTTTTTTAAAGTGTGTGAAAATCTTTGGCTGTAGCAGATATTTGTTCAGATTGACCATTTAATGATGAACCAATTTGATGATGATCAATCACATTTAGCAACTCCAAAATACTAGATGTGGTTATTTTTGTCTTGGTTCACGCATATTCTGCAACCTTTATCCTGTTTCTTTCTTTTAACATGTGGGCCATGGTGGCATGTCTCCCACTCTTTAGCCAATCTTATGCCTGATATTTTCTCTGGACAAAGTTTCATGTCATGCAGCAGATGTTTATTTTTCCATACTTAGCCATGGGTAGTTTGAGTAAATTCAAAGTCTTCTTTTAAAGATGATATATGGTTTTAAATGTACTTCTGAACTCTGAAATCTGAAAACTCAGATTTTCAGCAGAACTCTGAAATCTGCTGCTCCACCTCCCCACCAGTATATTCAGTGCTGCAGTCTTCACTGGCAGCACGAACACTGCTTCAGCATCACTGCAGACTTCAAGGCTACATGTCCCTCTCCGCTGTTTGTTTTCTCTATTTCTGAGATGCAGTAATCCCTTGCTATGCAAGAAACCACTATATGAGTTTTCATGTACTTGAGACGTAGTGATTCCTACTAATTTTTCTCATTTAACGATGTTCACACTTACGAGTTGGGCTCTTCTAAAGCATTGGCAAGATTCTTCATTTCTCAGATGTGAAATTTTAATTTTAATTTTTTTATTACATTTTAACTTTTAGAATAGGGTTACGTGTGTTAGGTGCATATAGTATCTAATGTTTATGCATTTCGTAACAACTGTAACAATGTAACGATTGTACTGTAAGTGAGTAGGAGTGTTGATAGGAAAAAAACATTGTTCATGCATCAGCTAATGACCTTAAGCATGTTACTCAAATATTTAACCATGAATAATAGTTTTCATACTTAGGCAGCTTTTTGTGCTGTATTAAGGTGTTCTGAGGGAATGTTTTTAAATTCTGAAACCAACTGGGGATTATAACATGGGAAATAATGAGAATTTAATTTGTGCTATAGTTTTCACCTTACAAGCAGTTTTTGAGGGACAAATTAAGCTTGTATAACAAGGGATTACATTGTAAATGCGCATGTTAAATTTTTCATGTCACAAGAAGGTGCCAGTGCTGTGCTTAGAGGTCCAGGAGCACGAAAAGGCTAAATTATTTACAGGTGTTAAGATACTGGGCTATAGTTTAGCATCTGAGTGTTCAACTGCAGTGTGAAATGTAATATTAAGGGTTTGATGGAGAAAATAGGTAAGATCATTGTATTTGGACAAGTTGGGCTTCCTGTCCTTGTAACATGTTGCTTCGTCGTGTTTTCTTCACTTTTACATGTGAGGTAGCATTTAAGAGTTTGCTCTTTTTATTTCATGTGTATATATATATATAAATGCTCTTTAACGTTTCTTGTTTTTCATGTCTTTTCACCACAGCTGTGATCTGGAGCACACTAAAGAAGCTAAGAGTAGATCAAGGGTATGTAGACAAAGTTAAGCAAAGCAAAAAGTGGTCTATGAAATGATCAGCTATACAGTAGTTGACGTTGAATACTATTATCATTAATTTAGATGACTAGTTAACATGATAAATATGTTTTACACACGTTGTACAGCTGAATAAAATGTAATCAAAGGTAATTGTTGTAATTAAGAAAAAAGCAAAGCAAACAAAGCAAACAGAAGCATTTAAATAGAACTTCCACTGCCAGGGAATAAATCAATTGTTTCTGCAGGGAGAGGCATAAAGACTTTGGTGATGTGAAGAAGCTGATAACTGAAGAGTTTGTCAGGCAAAAGTGAGTAAAACTTTTGCATGATGTTGTCATGCCGTAAACACTTACCTGAGTGAATATGAAGCATGTCTTTTTAGGCCATGTACTGAAACACTGAAGTAAAGATCTGTGCCTTTTGTTTGCCCTGCCCCCCCATCATTAAAGACCCATTCACACCCTCTCAGATCCCATTCTCCAGTGGCTCAGAGGAATTCTCCACTGTAGTAGAGTCTAAGAGGTTGTGGGTTCAAATCCCACCAGTTGGTGTGTTCAGAGCGGGAGTCTTGCAGACTATAGGCTGCCTGTTTATACCACACCAGAGAGCAACACCACTGCCAGGAGCAAACAGGGGGCTTAAAGTAAGTTGGCTCATCTTGTATCCTTCATGGCAGTACATTTCATTTCAGATTTTTTTTTTAATCAAGACACAAAACTAGACTATAATGTTTGTTGTAGACTTAATTCATTCAGTCAGTGGCTTTAAGTTTGAATTCTGTGCTGTTAGTACTAAAAATGGTTACTTACACTGAAAACAAATCATGAAGGACTAGTAATAATTGCTTCTCTGCCAGTTAACAAACCGTATGTGTGGTATTTGACAATCAAAAGCAATTCTACTATTTCATTATCTCAGGTGTCATAGGGTGCTACTGGTGTGGAAGTCATGATACCAACAAGAATAGATTATAGGAACATTTTGTAAGAGAGCTGCTGAACTGTATTGATCAAAGGCCAGTTCACAGATGGGGATTATTAGGAGACCATGAATAGTAAAGGAGAGAGGAAAATTTAGGCCAGGACACTGGGGTAACAACCCTACTCTTTTCAAGAAAGGACCTGGCATTTTAATGTCCACAGGGAGTCAGGACCTCAGCTTTACATCTAATCCAAAGAGCAGTGCCCTTTTTACAGTATAGGGTCTCCATCACAATGGACATTAGGACTGTCACTCTGCAGGATCAGCGCCCCCTACTGGTCCCACTAACACTTTTCCAGCAGCATCCTTAGCTTTTCCTATGAGGTCTCCCATCCAGGTACTGGCCAGGCTCATACCATCTTAGCTTCCATGAGTTGCCAATTGTGATATAGCCAGCAGCTATATGTCACTGCATAGAAAGCTAAAGAACTGGATGTTATAGGAATTCAGTCTGGGCCAGTGCTTGAGTCCTCCTCATTGACTGTGTCCAGGATTACACACGCAGTGGTGTAAAATTGCCTGACCTGTTAAAAGATTACTTGCAAGTGAGCCAAGACATGCTGATTCACAATTCCAAACCTAGTATACCATAAAAATGACTTTCATACGTAATTATTTTGCTGACCCCTGCTGTCTCTCGATGACAAATCTCGATATACTGTCAGTGTTTTGCACAGCGTTTATTGTTCATAGGTGTAACTGCTGAATTAAAAAAAATCTATTAAATGGAGCTGGGAATCCTGTGCTCCTAATGTTTTTTTTTCTGTATCAGATATCTGGAATACGCTCGAATCCCACACACGGAGCCTCTGGAGTTTGAATTCCGCTGGGGACTGAGAGCCGATAAAGAAGTCTCCAAGCTCAAACTGCTGACACTTGTGGCTCAGGTAATAATGTACCTTGATTAAAGGGTTAAATATTACTTCTTGGTTACTTTTTGTTGATATTTTAACTAAGCAATATAGATTGAATTAATACCAGCCTTTGTTTAGGAGCCTTAAAGGACATTTATGGTCAGTTCTCACTGACTGTATATGCACAGGTATATACAGTACAGTAGGATAAGTATCTGTGCTGTCTTCAAATAAAATTTAAACTGGACAACATACTCTACCACACCCAAAAGTCCTAAAGTATCCTTTAGTTTCTGCTTTGCCTCTGGTTTGTGTTTGCATTTGGACATATAAAATGCTATATAGGAACAAGTAGTAGGTTTATTCCATGCTGAGAAAAAAGAAAACACAATGTTTCGGCCGCGGAGCCTTCTTCAGGTGTGAGGGTAAAATGCTATATGCTTGTGCATTTATACAGGCTAAACCTTTTTACATTTTGTTTTGCAAGTATTGCAATGAATTTTAAAATGTACTTCTACCACATCCACAAATTCCAGAAATGAATGCAACCAAATATGAGCCAGTTATATCTTGGTCTCCTCCCTCATTCGCACAATATTTTTGACTGCATTTCAACCTGATCACTGAACTGTCTGAAGTCTGATAGTCACCTGGTAATACTGTCATGTAGCACGAGCAGTCTGGCTGCTCCAGGTAAAGATAACCATTCTTAATAAAATGTGACAAAATAATTCTAGAAGGAAAATTGCCTTCTTTACAATTTTATTACCAAATTGCATATTGCTTGTCATTTTTCTCCAGTGCCCACACAAACCATTGTCTTTGGACAAACTCATTTTTAACTCGTACCTAATCAACTTTTGATTTTCTGATAAGCATTTTGTGTGGTTTATAGATTATTAATATGAACTCAAAATGCCTTGTTTAAACATAATGCTTAGAGTAAATGTTGTTTTATTTTCAAATGGACCTTAAATACCCTTAATGCTGCTGCAGTCTTGCATTGATGACCAGAGCTCATTTGGCTTTCTTTTTCGATTTTGGCTCAGTTGCACGAACAGGACCCCCAGACTTGGGCCACTCAGCACAAGGAAGCAACACAGGCAGAGGGAACATCGAGATAGATGCTGGGAGACTGTATAGGTGTGTCTGCTGAATGGAGTCTCGCCTATCAGTTAAAATGTGATTAAATGAGTGGAGGGTTGTTCCATGGTTCATTTATACCTCTGAATTGCCACAGGGATGAGTGAGCTCTGAATACATGTGAATACTTTCTTCACCAAATTGATCTTATTTTCTATGCAAGTAGCCTCACTTTAATCCATTTTAAATGTTTCTTTTTACCAGGATCCCAGTTTCTACAATATTTCAGCTCTATAGGGTATTGCTTAAAACGGGAACCTGATCTATCAATCTTTAGGAAGATGTGATGTCATATTTCAATGTCAGTATTTTTTAATAATGACATCTGTGAAGTTTTGAAACAAGTATTTAGAACATATTCAGAAATAAATGCATGGAGAGATGTTTTTATAGGAAAAGGGGCCCATTGCCACTGTAACTCATACAGTGACCTAATCAACATTAATGTTTCAAGCTGTAGAACTGTAAATATTTTAGTATTGATATTTTTTTATGTTGTATTGTTTTTAGTACCTTATACCTGTGATACCAGGACAGGAGTTGTAACTTGTATTCTTCAATCCCCAGCTTAAGCAAATACTGGTAGCAAGGGAAAAAGTAATACGAAGCTTAAAGAAGGGGAAATTGAGAGAGGAAAATTAAACAATTGAGGTCTGGTCTTTTTCTTTTTGGATGTATATACTGTTCTGTTCAGTTGTTTCTGTATTTCAAAGTGTGAGTGGAATGCTCTTCAATTTTTGGTCTCACTACAAATAAAGCTTCAGACATTTGGTGTTCTGCTTGAGTCTCATCTGTGTGTAAAGGTTTTGAATGTTGGGAGTTAAGATATTAATATTTGCATGTGTTTTCTACAATTCCTTGAAGCAAAGATCATTCTGTTATTTGTGTCAGTTTAGAAAGTGTTAATTGATTTTTTTTTTCTTTTTTAGTATCGATTCACGAAGTGCATTTGTATATCAGTGTAAATCTCCTCACCTTTGTCATGTACACTAAATTAATCCACATTAAATAGATAATTTCAACCACTGAATATCATTTATTTAGACCCTACACCAGTTGTTACGTAATATTTGTAGTGTACAAATCTGCTCCGTACATTCCAATAATACAGTAACAGCAGTTTTACAGCTGTTTATATAGCAATACCCAAGCAACTTGAGAGAGCTTGAGCAAATCTAGTGCACAGAAGTTTTGAATTCATTCAAGTTTTGAATAAAATATTAAGTTTTAAAAAACTGTAAGCATCATTTCATAATTTCACAAAATACGACATTATAGGAAGGGTCTGAATTCGTTGGTAACGTCTTGTACGATTAAGAGATGTTCTAGAAACTGTTCATCCTTGATATCATTATTAATTGGAAATTCTAAACTTTGGAATAGATTAAAATGTTCAAAGTTTGCTCCTTTAGGAATCATTTTTAAATGTATCAGTTGCTTTTTATCCTTATTGTGTTCACAAATGTTTGGATACTCTGGAAGACTTCTTTTCATTTAGTTTTTAATGCAATGTTCAGCTCATCCAACACTCTGAAGAGTCGTTTTGTGTATGCTTACAAAGGCACCTCAGTTTGACCTCAGGTAAAATTTGAGAAACATCTGCCTTTTTGGTTAGTATAAAATGGTGAGACTTAACAGTTAGCTTTCACATAGGGAAAATACCCAATGAAATCTGCATGTTATTTGTGAGGTTACCCTGCCATGCCAAAGTGAATGAAAGGCAGATATAAAAGCAAGGGCCAGCAAATGTTTTTTTGCCTGCCAGGAGCTAGGTTTTTTTCATTGCAGTCCAGCTTTAATAAATCAACATACTGTTTACTGTTTTAAGCGGCAAGTGTAATAAAAAAAAATGGTATCAAGGCTGCAGGCTATTGTAAATATAACTGTGATGAGAGAAGTATTAATGATGGTAACTAAAATATTTAAAAACTGCTATCAGCACAAGCGTTTAATGTAACAGAGGAGTGAAGAACGCTGGGGTATCATTTCTTCCATCCATGTGACTGAAATGCATTCATCACCGTTTTAAATAGCATTGTGCTAAATTGAGAATTGACACAACGCATATACACATCTACTGCTACATCTGTTCTCTTTCTTTTTCTTTTTCTTTTTCCCGTTTACAACCACTTTTGTGCAATATATGCCAGGGACCTGTGCAATACATCTATATTTATACTTATATCTATGGTTACATCTATATTTATATTCATATGTGTGATACGATTTTCTGTGTACTGTTCTGTTCTAGTTTCCTCTTGTGTGTCCGGACTGTGAGTAACTCTTGTATTGTATTGTATGTATTGTACTATTAGTATATAATTCGTTACACTGTGGCTGTGTTGTGTGTGTTAAGCTGCTTTTGCACTGCAATTTCCCTCACGGGATCAATAAAGTATCTATCTATCTATATTGGTGTTATTAGTATGTATTCCCAGTATGCTTAATTTGCACCACTTTTGCTAAACGCCGAGGTATTTCTTTTTCCAGTTCTTTTTCCTTCTCCCAGATTCTTATAAACATCTCCGAGTTAAACCTACTGTCTCACAAGCTACTCATGTTGCAAGATCTTGGTACAGCAGACATCTGCTAAATTTCATGCAGTGAATTATCACAAGACTCCAGGAAGAAACATCTGCTTGGCATTCCTTTCACAAACCACTTCATCGTGAGTCGAGGTGAGCTACTAAAAATGGCTTTTAATTTTTCTTAACATCACTTCACATAAGATGATTTCAATGTAGTGATACAGTAAGTGTTTTGAGTTGCTAACATCACTGTCTAACCTTAACGGTTCCAAACCTAAATGAAATTGTTTATTTTAATTGAAGTGTATTCAGGTCTTCACACCTGTAGAAGGCTCCACGGCCGAAACGTTTTTCTTTTTTTCAGCATGGAATAAACCTATTGTTCCTTTGCATTTTAGAAACATATTGTGCTCTGGGGCACAGCTGTGAGTTATATGCAAATTTTCATGTGGGGCATTTAGTTCTTACACCAAGAAAGATCAGAAAAATAGCACTTCTGCTGTTTCAGTTGTCTATGTTCCACTCTGGCACTTGATCGCTTATATACACTTCACCTTCCTTGTCTGTGACACACAGTGAATCAAAAAATCAAACTTGATCTAATTCTTAATGGTTTAAAAAACATTATGACTCCATGAGTTGGGTGGATAATCCACAGTTTATGCTAAACGTTATCAACATTAAGTATGGACTGCTTTTATTACTATAAAAAACATGGGTGAGATAGATAATACTTTATTAATCCCGTAGGGAAATTGATGTGTTACAGCAGTCCAGCCCAAGACATGCAAAACAGACATCAGAATAGTTATAAAACAAAAGACAAACAAGATAAATAAAAATAAATAAATACATAGGTGTGTGCAAAATGTGCTGATCATAGTCACTGTAAAAACAATAAAATATGTGCAAAATGTGCATAGGTTTATACAGACTGATTGTCCAAAAAGTACAATGGAGTAAACATGCTGTCCATAGAGGAGCAAATGAAGGGCTAAAAGTCCTAGCCTAGGGCAGCGTTATACACCCTGACAGCCACCGGGAGGAAAGACCTGCGGAAGAAAAGTGGAAGAGAAGAAACATTTTGTGAGTTATGACAACTGAGACTGTAGGTCTCTTAAAACATCCTTGTGTAAACCTGGATGCAGTCCTTTGCTAAATTTTCATTTGTTAAATTTCACAAAAGAAATGTGCCATGACCTCCAGTCGAATGAAATCTAAGCAGTGGAGCAGACTCCTGGTTTCCCACTCCCAATTTAAGCAGAAAGATAAATGAGAATTAAAAGGAAAGGGAAAATGATAGTTTCACAGTCTAAGTACAGGGTAGGCTTAAGTGGATGTTATAATAATCAGATTGATTATACAGCCCTGCTGTCTAAAATATTGGCTACCCGGAACCAAGATGGTGCAAACACAGCAGTGTCTGTTAATTTGACTATGTGCACTATGCAGGGCCTGACGCAGTCATTCATGCAGAAGGCTGATGTTTATACTAGCGTAGGTACGGAGGTGTTGAGGGAAAAGTGGATGACAGTTTCCACAGTATGCAGAGGACCCAATTTCAATATGGCAGGGATTTGCGGTTGCCCGGAGCAGGTGAGTAAATAAGTTCACAGCCTCTCTGTTATACATTCCAGATAACTTTTTGTTCCACTGCAGAGTCAAAGGCCAGCAACTCCAAGTTGGCTCTTCTGTTTGCTAGTCTTGGAAAAATAAAATAGGACCTTAGATTTGACCACAGGAATCTTCGGAGCTTCCTGGACTACTTTATATTCTGCTGTAGTCTTCCTGAAGTTCTTGTTTTACGTAAATGGAATCTGATTCTCTATATCCTTGCTAGGTCTGTCATGAAAGTTTTTACCGTAGCAGGGAGCATTTCAATACGTTGTTTAAAATAATTTGAATTGAAGCAGGTTTGCGTAAGATCTCAACTCATCATGTGAAAACTGAAATTGTGCTATTGACATTTTGGTTCAGCTGTGTAGCTGTGTCATCATGCGTAGGCTGCAAAAGAACAAGTAAAGGTTTATTTCATGCTGCAAAAACAAGAAAAGAAACACAACATTCCAGCTGTGAAGCCTTCTTCACACCTGAAGAACTGTACAAACTGTTGACAGGTTATCTTCAGGATGCGTGGCAAAGGTGTGAGATTCTAATTTTTTTCAAATACATTATGACATTCTTAGTTAAAGTATGAAAAAGCAGATTCATGGGTTAGACAAATGACTTTACTGCACCTCTGGCCCTAGTGTGAAGTCTATTTAGACATCTTTCAATACTTTATTCATATAAAAAAATCTACAAAAGATGTGAGCACACAAAAATGGGCAGAAAGGGGATAATTAATTCTGAGGACATTGAAGAGAGCCCATCAGTCCAGTGCTAGTTTTGTTCTACTACACTTATATAAGGACAATTTTTGAAAACCTGTGCAACCAAGTACAAATTTAAAAGTATATCAGTCTCAACCCAGCTCAGATAACAGAATGTTTTTTTTTTAATTTTTGAAAATACAGTTAGACCTGCAAACAGGACTTTTACTTGAAGATTGATTTTCGTGAAATGGGATGCCTGTTATCACATCTTCTCAACTGCAATGCCCTTTCATGTGCTGTCATAACCAAGAGGGATATTTTTCTTTTTCTTTGTGAAGTCCCCTTTCCCCTCCAAGAAGTTCAGCACAGCAGGGGCTCTTCACTACTTTTATTCTACAAAACAGTTACAAGAACCACAGTGACAAATGTAATTAACATTAATGTTCAGTACACCCCCTCATTTTTACATTTGAAAGCTCTGACATTTATTTAGCCCTCCTTCCTTATTTTGAAAGAATGCAATTCTCCAAGACAAACAACACTGTCATTTCCTGGCCTTTAGATTTAAAAAGAAACTTTGGAAATCACTGGACTGCACATAGTCCATCTGTTCATCACTTCTTGCGTTATAAAATGTGAACAGTAGTAGGGATGCATTTCACAGTTACTTTAGTTTTATTTTTGTCCTTTTAAATTCATCAAATTGAATTGAAATTGCTGTTTTGTGCTGTGCTTTTAACACACTTTGAACAAGAAGGATTGAGATGGAATTACAGTATATATGCAACACAGAGTCTACATTACATAACATGACTTATTCTCACAAATGCATGGTCTGCGAGATTAATGCTTGATGTTAAATATGTTAATCATATAACCATTATATGCAAACCTGTCAAAGTTTTTAGTAGGGTAACATGATCTATTAAATGAAAAGGGTTTAATTAAGTTCTAACATTCAAATGGAAACTATATAGGTAACTGTTTATGTTGTTTAATTGAATGAAATAAAGTATATGATTGTCCTTTAACACTCTGATTGTTCCATATTTTGCACTAGATTAGGACAATAAGAACTTCAGCCCACTGGGCACGAAAATTTACTGTATATTGGTGCTCGATTAAAATTATTTAAAAAAAAGGCTTTTTTTATTCTAGAAGTTTATTGTACTGGTTTTCTTTCTGTAACAGTTGTAAGGAACATCCGATGTGTTTGTCGAGCGTACCTTAATTGTATCATCAGGTGCAACACTTTCTTCAATATCTTCCCAAGGCTCTGACACTGATACCAATACTGTTTCTCAGTTTAAACAGTTTAATCACACTTGTTTAAGCCACTTATAATCTTTCCTGGAAAGCATATGAATTTTCAAAGAATCATTACATGCAGCCATATACTGTATATATAAATAATCTAGCACATTCAACAACACAAATCCCACATACAGGCCTACATACCTGGCAGGCTAAAACTTTTCAAATATTACCTCCAGAAAAGTTAAGAATAATAGACTGTCGAGTCAGAATGCCTCTGTAATCTCTATTAAAACATCAGAGAATACAAATATACAGAACTACTGTGTATCTCTGTTATGTCACTTTAGTCATTTGTAATGGGACTTTTTACTGTGTATTAGGTGACAGTGCTGTCAGCAGGTTTAGGAATATGGTACTTTATTTTAATTATTAATGTACTGGATCATTGTTTACCAATCCTGATCCTGGAGCTCCTGACTCTTCTGGGTTCCATACCAACTGAACCTTATTCTCCAAGCTCTTCAGTGAACTGATTGCTTGTAGCTTTAAAACAATTATTTAAATGATAAATTATTAAACATGTAATAAATCAGCATTTAAAGTGTGCCAAATGCTTGGATGTAGTTCTCCCTTCAGTTAGGTTTACTAATTCAATGAACTTGTGGAAATAAACCAAATGCAGAACTGAGAATTCTAGTAATGACAATGTCATTCACACTTGTGTGTGCATCTCATTAATTGATCAGAGTTGTCTAGAAAGCCAACAGGTATTTTCCTGAAATTACCACAAATGGGAAACTGATCATCTGGTCATCAGGAACTTTACTGGAATAATAACTCAGATGGAATAAAAACCAGAAGTGACAAAAGTAGTGTAAGATAAGGACTGGGAAACAGCGTACTGGATTATACATCATAGGCATTACACAGCTTTTTACTAAGTGGCTGCACTTACACATTCCCAATATTATTTTCTGCTATATTGATTGTACACAGACATGAAAATAACAGTCTTCAGTAGTATTTTTAACAGCAGGTCCCAAAACCTGTCTGGGGACATGTACATCTGCACTTAGCAGGACAAATGTTTTTTTAGTGGTGGAAGGTCACAGTTCAAGCCACTTCACTTTTGCTACAAGCTTTGTGGACTATTACCTGAGTTTCATTTGTAATGGATCCCTGGCTCAGAATGACTCAAGAGTGCCTGGCTACAGCAAGCCTTTTTTTAACTTAAACAGATTAAGATTCCAACAGTTACAAAAGTACATTACCGTAATATACAGAGAAGCATTAAAAAGGCATTGGTTCCAATACTCAACAGTATTTTAAATGCATCTCACTATATCTTCCCTTTTTGCAATCCCAGACGTACCTCTTGTTCACTAACTTTATTGGGTGCTGACCGACATGCGTGACACTGTTGTAATTGCAGGGGCTATGAGACAGGATTGCCCTCATGCCCAGACAGTGGACTATCCTGGCCAGGGTGTTAGAGGCACATCGGTAAAGATGCAACAGCCTGTCAGTGTCGCGGGGTGTTGGCTATTTTGGAAAAGTCATCAATGTTGCTCCAGTGGGCTATGGATTTAGCTGATGGTCTTTACTGTTTTATGACAGTGGTACAAAGAGGCTAACATGAAGTCTAGAATAACTATTAAGCATGAACTGTACATCCCTACTGCTATATAAAATGATGTGTTATATTGTTCCTTATTTATAATAGGAGCCCAGTATTTCTTTTTAAAGTCAGTTCTTTAATTTCAGTGGCAGAAACAGAAACATTCTATCCCATAAACTATACAGAATATATTATACTGACCGACTGCAGTTAAGACTTAACAAAAGGCTTAGTGGATTTCTTTGTGGGTGAAAATCTCTCTGATGGGCCTCTAAAATTTTGAATTAATAAGGTGGGACAAACAATGTGCAGGGAAGAAATCGATGTGTAAAACCCTTTTAAAGAGGTTGTATAAAATATGTATAAAAAATGTTTGTAAAATCAAAGAAATATCCAGACCCAGCGACACTTCGGGCTGTACCAGATCATTGATATTCCAGCACCACTTACAAAATTAAAAACTAGTTTAAAAAATAAAAAGAGTAAAATGATAACAGAGGTAAAAGTATGTGAACTAAAAATAAGTTGTTAAAGTCCAGATTCTTCATCAGTCTTCATTCCAAATTCACAGTCCATTTTTTATATATGATCTGGGACAGTTACCAAAGCCTCTTCTGATTCTCTGGTAATGTCTACATTCTGCAATGACAAAATGAAAGGTCGGTCAGGTCCTCTTTCTATTAAAACGGAGAGCGTCTTAACACCAAGATTATAGGCAGACGATACATAGGGGCAAACAAAAACTTTCATCTGGTAGCTAAGTCTTCATGAGTCATGCAGAGCATGAAGCAGACAAGTCATGCAGAACAGCAAGGGTACGGAGGTAGTATGGAAAAAAATATTCTTTAACTAGTTTCAAGTGATACTTTACCTCTGCACAGCAACTTAAAATACCTTTGTGCAATGAGTCATTATTAGCTGTCTCACAATCGAGCACATGACTCTTTGAAATCCTGTTGGCAAGAATTGGTGTTTTTATTTATTGCATATTATCACATTTTGTTCGTATTCCAGTTTAGAATAGCAATTGATTTTATACCTATGTCCCCAAAATGAGCAAGAATTGTGTAAAAGGACATTTCCTCACATACAATCACTATTAGGGGCAACTCAAAACCAAATCCGTTTTCATTTTTTTACATTGTACTGCTGGAAAGAAAGAAAAAAATGGTTATGCATAATTCTCATTTTCATTAACAACAAAGTTCTTCTACAGAACCACAGACCACAAAGATTCATTTTTACGGGCAGGATAAGAAAAGCAAGCCCAGGCATTTTCTCTGTTTGGGTTGCCTTTCTGTACAAGATGATCAGTTACAGCCACAGTCAAAGCCAACAGCTAAAACGCTAAAAGCTGTAAACTTTTTGTAAAAGTTATAAAGTTTTGAAAATGAATAATGGCCGCAAATGAATAACTTCAACTGAATACTAGTTTTTCTGTGGGTCTGTACGGACTGAATTACAAACCCATACAGTACATCAATAGCATGATTCTGAATTGTAATAAGTTCAAAGTTCCTCCAAGTTGTAATTCTGATCGTACGCAGAAAGACTAGGATCAGCCTGAAAGGGTGAAGATTTATCCATGTGATCAGCTTGAGACTTTTAAGGAGGTGCACAAGATGTCCAGGAGTTATTCACATGTCCATTATCTCACAATGTTGCAATAGTGTCCATTTACTTTTTTTCCTGCAATGTGTGTACAGTATGTATATAAACTGTTTAGTTAAAACATGCTTAGGTGAGTAGGGTGCACTAACCAGGTTACTAAAAGACTAGGTGTTTGAGGAGGAAACAAAGAACAAGAACATTAACAGATGGTGGCATTTACACATTAGATTGGTATAGAATGGAAGTTGTCCAGTTTTTATATCACAAGAAGCGGATGCCCTCTAGTGTTCTCTGCTGTAAATGTTTTCTTACTCAGCACAGCAGATGGTTTGTTTAGTGATCTGAAATCGCCTGGTGAGAGCTTATTTTAGAGTGAGTCATCAAGTACAGTACTTCTTATTTAATTTATTTTTATTCCTGATATTGAGATACTGTGTTCCCATTAAATTACTTTAAATATTTGTTCATTTAAAAAAATATATATATAATGTAATAATTATAATGCAATGTTTAAGGACTTTAGTTTATAAAACTAACATTTTTTAAACGGAGCCTTTAGGTTCTTCACTCAGTGGTTTGTGGAGAGACCATAGAAAACATATATTGAGATAAATGTTGTCCCTTCTTGTAAAATCCAACCCTGACACTCTGAGATGGAATATGGCTCCCTGCATGTGGCTCAAACCTACAGAACATTACTTGCTTAGTTTATATATGAATAGTGCTCAGCTCCTTCTTTAACACTTTTCATTATTTCTTTTGCTGAAGCACCTACAGTAGCAAGAGTGTGAGTCAGTTAGTGGCAGGCTACAAACAGGTAGTGCCTTTATATGGCTCTGCTTGGGAGTGTTATGATACTGGTGAAACCAGAGGTACGCTAATGATCCCATGCATTATTGTGTGCAATCATCCTACTGTATATACCCATATGTCTGTGGGCAGCAGTGTTACCTGCAGGCTGATGGCAGCCTCGCCCAGATCCTGCAGTCGGGGGCTTTTGGTTGGCATCGGGCTGGCAAGTGGGGCTGTGCGGCGGTGTCGGTACAGGGGCGCATCACTGGGGCAGGGGACCTGCTTCTAACCGAGGGAGGGGGGAGTAAAGGGTAGTGGCATTGGGAATTGGAGGGGTGATAACCGGTGGGAAACAAGGGGAATCATGGGAAGGAACAGATCAAGAGAGAGAGGAGGGGGTGTGAGCAGGTGAGACAGGAAATATTGGGGGGGGCGGAGGAAAGCCAAGAGGTGGGGAGAAGCAGAATTAGTGGAAAAGTGTGGAAGGTAGTGGGAAGAGATTGAAATAGAAAAAGGGAGGTTGGACCAGTGAGGCAAAACAGTGAGAAGGAAGAAGGAGGGAAGGCAGATATTTTTTAGAAGCAGTCAGTGAAAGAGAAGAGGAGAAAGATACAGTGAATGTGTGAGTGAATGTTTAAGTAGACCGTTTCAATTACCGACACAGTAAGGGAAGTAAATGTGTTATTACCAAGAAAAAACAATGAGGGAAGCAGGAGAAGTAAAAAAAGAGAAAGGTGGGAAAGAGGGATTCAGAACCGAGTTGAGGAAGAAGGAAGATACAAAGAGACACAAAAGGGATGAAAAGATAAAGAGGAAAAAGTAAATCAAAGTTGAGAAGGACAGGACAGTAGACACAGTCAGAACCACAGATGGTGTTTATGATTCCTTCTTCCTACATGAAACCGGACATTTATCTGAATTCCTTTTCTGTTTATTGACCTGTGATCCTTAAAATAACTACATGCTTGGGCTTAAAATTCCCAAGGTATGTTACAGTAAAAGAAAAATGACTTCCAAATATCTGAATCAACAAATAGCTTAACGCATCCTACAGCCAGACACTTTCAGCGACAGCGTTCATTTTCAGGGTGAACTGATGCTGGCAGCACTCAACCAGGTAGTGGTGGGGGCTCTGAAATCTATGCAGAGCCAGTATTTTCACCCCCCCGATCTGCATCAGTGCAATCAGGAGGGGGGAGGGGTTGAGGCTTTGATTGAATAATATATATCGATTCCAGTGGTCCCAACCGAACCCAAAACAACCAAGAACAAACGTATCACTTCTGGCAGGTTAGTATGAGACTGGACCAGAGATCTTCATTATCTTGCCCAGCAGCATGTCACCTTTAAATGTGTCCCTTAGAATTATTAACCGTTCTTCTACTTGAATATTCAAAGGCACAGGACAACTTTTGAAATGGAAAGAAGTTTCTCAAAATGTATCTGTTTTTTTTTTTTAAAAAGAATGATATTCTGCCTCCTTGTAATAATTTTTAGTTCTATTGTTTTCAGTATCACTGAAAAAACATGGAAAAAATGGTTCATAACTATCGTTATTTAATTCCTGCAGTATATATTTTAGTAGACTCATTTCTCTGCTGATGTAATGATTCCTTATTTGGAATTGTAACAGTGTGAACAGAATAATCAACAGAAAACTGGAAAATGTAATTTTCAGAGGTGCTTCCATATTATCTTTGATTGGCATTTTTAACAAATTCCATTTAAAGAAACCCTCTACTTAAATTGCAAGGCAGCACTGGAAACAACACTAAGAATTTGTTCCTGGTAGTTATGCTGGGGAAGTATTGATCCCTGTGGAAACTCTTGAAACGTTTCTATCAGTTCAAATGAAAGTTCACTTTGCAATCACAGCGGTAGGCCTAAATACTTAATAAAAACAGCATTTTCTAGAAGCATTGCTCTGAATCAGTTTCCACCAGTTCCTTGTGATTTAATTTTATTGCAACAATGTAATGAGCCTCTGTGACAGCCAAAACAAAAATGTTAATTGTCCTTAACCAGTTGAAATCAAATCTATTCATTGAAGCAAGCATTGAGCATAATGGCCTACGCACAATGTGCACATTGTATCTGGCTTTTAAAATGAATTTAATATACCAATACACTGTAGCAACATGTGTTTTATGGCAGAACCCATGCAGTATGAAGTTTCAATTTGGATGGGTTCCTTTTTCTTCTTTTCCCATTCATGCACTACTCCAAGAATAAAACATGCTTATTAAATTAAATATTTTTTTTGCCAATACCACTCAACCATTATCACTAATGATTCGCTGAATGAAGAGCTTCTTACCACAGGTTTATCTCTGTGTGTATTCACTGCTTCAATATTTAGGAAGATAGATTCCACTTTGCAGCCTGTAACAAAGAAAACAATGTGACAATGTGGAAGATCATACAGTACAATGTTAAAACAAATCACATTTCTTTTATATGTGACATAACAGTCCATGCATAGTACTGGTTTCATATACAAGGACTGGTATAAATTATGTGTGACCTGATAGCAAGACTGTGACCTAGGTAAACAACTTTGCTATCATGTGGAGTTGTCATTCAGCATTTGCCAAGTTAATGAACTGCAATTCACAACATTCAACAAAATGAGCTGATAAAGGAAAATGTGATTAGAAAGCTTACGTGTTAGCTATCCATTTGCCATCATCATGTATCTACCTGAAGGAAAACCCTCATCGAGATTTTGGTATCTCTGACTAAAAGGCTATTTTACTTTGAGAAGCACATATTCTTTTATGGTGGTGCTTTCATTTTGGTTTTTGAGTTTAAAACAAAACAATAAGGACATTTCATTATTTTACTTTTCCTAAACATACAAACATTCAAACAAGACAGAATTAATTAGAAATAGAGTGATTCCAACTACTGCTTTATATAAGGACTATGTAATTTTTTCAAAACATTTATAAAAGGTGTATTCAGGCTTCTGGCCAAACAAACGTACCATAGGCTACAGGGGTGAGTTTCAGTACAGTGTGAAGAGGGCATCTGAGGTATGGCAGCTCTTCTGTGGGGGTGAAAACAACAAAGATTTTTCTTAGGTGAACAGGATGCATTCAAACATCTTCTAACTGCTTCTTCCAATCCAGAACCGTGAAGAACCCAGAACATATCCTGGCAAGCAACAGGCATGAACACAATGGACCCTGGATAAAAACACCAGTCCATCGCAGCACACACACAGACATACTCACAACAGGGTCAATTTTCCCCAGAGCCAATTAACCTACCAGTATGTTTTTGGAATTTGGGAGGACACTGGATCACCCAGAGAAAACCCTCACAAGCACAAGGGAGAACATAAAAACTCCATGCAGATAGGACCCCAGGTCTGGAATTGAACCCAGGGACCCAGTGCTGTGAGCCAGCAATGCTAACCACTGTGTCACTGTGCTGCCCAGACAAAACACATACTGTATACAACCAAAATAAATGTACAGTAACTTAAAAAAAAACAACCTACTAGGACTCTTACATTATCATTTTATAGATTTTTGTCTTGTCGCAATCTCATTGCACTGTTTTCAGACGAGGATAAAAACGATATAAACTTAAGAGTGGTTTCTGAATGTGGTCCATGTTTTCAAGAAGCTCGGCTCATACTTGCTTTAACGGTCTTATTTTATCCCCGCCCATAAGAAAATGTACTGTTCCTCCTGTTTTCTTATTTTTATACACTTTTTTAATTTGGTCAATTTTTTTAATAGAAAAAAATATATTGATCTTTAACATCCCTTAACATATGGGTCAAGAGCTACATATCAAGTCATGTCATTACTAATAGATATAAATAGTATTTTCTGTTCTGCAGACAATTAATATCTTTTTGCTCAAGGACAAGATTATCCATTTTTTTCAAACTGTTTCATGAAGAAAGCATTTTATAACCTTAATGTAACTTCCTCTCACTAGCAATTCAAGTAGGTAGCTGTGTCAGTATGCGTAAACTGCAAAGGAATAAGTAAAGGGTTTTTCCATCTTTTAAAGAGAAGAAAAGATACAACGTTTCGGCTGTCAAACCTGAAGAAGGCTCCACAGCCGAAACGTTGTCTTTCTTTTCTTCTCTTTACAGCATGGAATAAACCCTTTACTTGTTCCTTTTCCTCTCACTAGCTTTGTGTCTTTAAACTTTTACAGGTACTTCCAGACAGTGAAGGAACAAGTAATAGGTTTATTCCACGCTGAAAAAAAGAAGAAAGAGAACACAACGTTTCGGCCGTGGAGCCTTCTTCGGGTGTCAACACCCGAAGTACAGTAGTGTTGATGCAATACAACTACTTGGTTTCATTAGAAGATAACACCAACATACCATTAATTGCAGTGTGTTTGTCCCTTTTCATGCTTAATGAGAAAAGGTCTTGCTTTCCATAATTAGGATCAAGCCCATTGTTTTTCATACCTGCGCTCTTGTCCAAGAAGTAGGCCAGCAAACACCTCATGACGGCCTGATGGCAGATGACCAGCACATTCTCCTGCCTTTCCAGCTCCATGATGACCGGCTCCAGGCGCTGTACCAGGTCTTCGTATGACTTCCAGGCGTTAGCACAAGTCAATGCAAAGGTACAGAAAAAAAACCTCTGCTATTATCATTGCGAGATGTGCACTTGCACAGGCTTGCCTTCATGCTGTAAGGGCAGTTCAACCCACAAATGCTTTATGGCCACTAGGGAGGAGAGGGTGGATGTGTGTCTCTTTTTGCTTGTGTGTAGTCAAGTGACACCTGTATACTACTGTCCTACTGACAGCTAGATCCTGATCCTTGCTTCATCACTTTCTACCTAACCTTCAGTTGTAATTCTTTATATTGGCTGTTGCATCCCAGTCCTGTTCGTTTTTCTGCATTTCTGCTTATTTCCTTGTGGGCGTGCATTTCCTGTGGCATCGGGTTTGAGACAGCCGTGACAGACTTGCACCTTGTGTGCTTTGATATACAGTACAAAGATATTGTTCTAAATTGCACCGGAGGATATCTGAAGCCTCTGTATTCTCAAGGGAGCTTTAATTCAAATGTTAATAATATGTCGATAAAAATAGCTGAAATTCTCCAGATAATCAAAATATTGAGCATCCTGCTGCCTAATGTTCACAGCTACATTCATGATCCAAGAATGTAGCATGCAGGATCATGCAGTCTTACAGTATGTTGATTGTTGTTTAATCTACTGTGATACTTTATAATGAATTATATTAATTTTGGACTAGAGTTCAAGGTACAGTGTTCTTCTGCTGTTTTAACTACTTGCTTTGGCACATTACAATGAACAGCCCTGACACAACACTAGGTGTCTAGTGAAGAACACACAACGCTGTGGGTACCTGTTAGCTGTGTGCAAGATACACAGCCTAAGATATTCAGATGTTACTAAAAGAGGTGTGGCAGTAGTACAGTTGATTTTAGTGTTCTAGACATGCTTCTTTTCAGATCTTAGTGCTCTGTGGCTTCAAAGAAAAAAAATGCAGATGTGCAAAGACAGAATATGACAGCAGTGGAAAGTCCAGCAAAGCTGAGCCACGTTTCCTCTCAACAAAACACCAGTCAAAGGAGAAACAATGAGAGAGCATGACACGGAACACTTCCAGAAGCATGTGGAGTAATTAGGAAACAGAACAAAGAATATTCCAGACAGACACCCTGATTCATTCCTAGCTCTCCTTACTTCTCCTTTGGGATAGCGATAGCGGTACTTGTCTTGGTCTCTGAGAGCAAATTCCTCAGGGTAGTGCTCTTGAATCTCTTCATAAGTCATCTCCTCACATACTCCCTGGGAGGAAAAGAGAAAATTGCAGAAAAGACAGCAGGTCCAGTCATGGTGAATAGGACAGTAGACAAGTGATGCCACTCTAAAAGTCCTGAAACAGGTTATAAATAAGACTGCTGGGTTCCTCCAGCTCACCTGGTTTCTGTGTAGTTTAAGGATCTGAGAATCTCAATGCTCATTGCACAAGGAATTCTTTAACAAACACAGCAGAAAAAAATGTATTTTGTCACTTTAAACCTCCAAGCACTAAAAGATTTAAGAAATTCAAAGAAAGTTTCCAGAAATAGCAGTGTTCAGTAATGCGCCTGTAATGTTTCTATCAACCATTAACATCCTGAAGGCATTTTTCAGTTATAAGTATAATGTGCACCACACTTAAAATATTTTCTCCATTAAGATAAGTTAATGTCTCAACAGATATTGTGCCAGAACATTTTGAAAGAATTAAATACTATTACTACTAATTACAAAAGCAATTTATAGCCAAAGCAATGCACAATTGCACCCTTTTGTACATCTTGATATTTTACTGGAAACTATTTGGGCAAAAGACAAAAATGTATGACACCAGGCTTCCGACTGGAAGTCTGGAACTTTAATCATAGCTGCTCACTGCTGAAGGAAGACTTTTGCCTAGGTCTCAGCACAAATGGCAGCTGTTGTATTCAATACTCAAGCCTCCAAAGAGACTGGAGTTTAATGCAGTACACTTAGCACACTACTCAAAACTTTTCACAGGACTTTGTTTCAGTTGGTATCTTGATGGCTTAATTGAATCTTAATCGTTTGCTTGACTCTGGAGGAAAACAGCACTTAAATAAGTGTGGGGGAAGCAAAATACAGAATTGCCTTGGAATTGCAGGCTATGACAACTGAAGGACTCACAGCATCTATTTCGTTGAGGGCCTTCCATTGCTCGTAAGGCACTCCCAGTGCCTCTGCCGTCTGAATAGTCCTCTTCATGTGACTTGTCCAGACCTTCAGGTCTCTGATAGACTGGCTCTTAATGAAGCCTGCCAAGGTGGAGGCAAACTGAAGAGAGAACAGCAGGGGGATTTAGGCTACTAACTGTGATGAATAAACTAAATACATTACACATTGAATTAACACTAGAGAGAAAACAAGGATGTGAGGTGGGTCAAATGAGATTGGAGTTGCATTCTTTTATACAGTATAAGCAATGGATGGAGTATTCACATTTTTGTTTCATCAGCATGGCCTGGAGCCCACAGCTCATAAACCCAGTGTTACGTCCAACCATGACATTGCTCTTTCACCCAAACTGTTCTCAAACAAGCAGCCTTGAGATAATGATAACACCCATGAGAAGGAACATGAGGCACACAGGAGCAGACACAACCACAGCTGTATCTGACCTTGTGTGTTACGCAGGGCCTGACGCAGTCATAAATATAGAAAGCTGATATTTTGACTGGGTCCACACAGGTGTTTTATTCAGTGGGGTGCTTGTTCAATGCAGCAATGCTCTGTGAGGGTACATCAACTCAATGCAACCTCGTTTGCATTGCCCTCTGGGAACCTGACCTTGTTGCCTCGCTTGGACAGCCCCGAATCCCCCCCGATCCTGCCCAGCAGGTTGAGCTCGCTTTCTCCATGCCGGCACAGGTAGATGGAACGAGGTGTGACATGGATGTTCATCAGGTAGTACACGATCCGGCTCTGAATGTGATCCATCACATGGTTCACCAGGTACCTACTGCCCACGTTGAAAATCTTGATGTATGAGAGGTTCCTGACTCAACCAAGAAAACAAAAGTGACAACCTTGGTTAAAAGGCCTAAGACCCCATCTTACACTTGTCATTCCACCTTAAAGCGTCACTTTATTTAATTGAAAGGTTCTTCCCAAACAATGGCAATTATTTGCTGTCTAGCACAATTGTATTCATTTTAAAGCATCTGATCTTCTGAAAGAATGCCAGAGAGCGTTTATTTTTACTGTAACAATTCAAACAGCAAGATAAACACAGTCGCTATTGCAAAAGTGCCAAATGGGTATATTATGTTGGAAGTAAAGTGCAGAATGATGTTAATGTCATGGTGGCTACATATTGTTTGCTCATTTTTCCAGCTCTCTTAGGTTACAGAACTCTCAGTACCTGTCAAACTCATCATCTAGGGCGACATAAGTAATCTTGTAGCACTCGATTCTCTTCAGGAAGTCTTCAACTGCCTCCTCCTTGTCACAGTCCTTATAGTCTGGACTACTGAGTTTAACTTGCTGTAAATAGTTTAGGGAAGCGCATGTTTTTGTATTTATATATTGCACAAAACATAGTTTCAGAATGTGAAAATGTATACAAAACAGTTTTAAGTCTGGTGAGTCAAGCCATATGTCAACAACAACATTTGAAGAACTGTGAAAATGTGTTAACCCTTTAACTACTTCCTTCTCAGACAAATGTGTTTCCCTTACGTTAAATGAGGTATGATTGTTATGAAAGACTGCTTTAACAATATTTAATAAACTAGTGAATAAAATATTGTCCAATACTGGATACTCACACATACATTAGCAGGTGTATAACCGAAAACACATTGTAGCTAAGTGAATACACTCAACGCTATGGATTCAAATGCCTACCATTATATTTTCTGCTATGATCTCTGGATCATCACAGATCGACTCGACAAAAAAGACCTGTAGCAGAAAAGGCACAGAGGGAGAAATGTAGGGATCATTAAAGGTCTAAGAAAAGTCCAAGATGTGACATTATCCTATCTTGTACTGTTTAAAGTGACTGAGGATCTGAACTCATACAATCAAGGCACTTTTTCATAAATCAAATTTTATATTTTAATCTCCCAAGTGTTGCAGATCTGTTCCTGGTTATATCAAATTCCAGACTTTAAACAAAACATTTTAAGTGAATAATATTTGATGCTGCACATTTATTTTGTGTAATTAAGAAATTCTGTGACGAGATTCTTGTGTTATAAATATAAAGAATAAAAAAGGATTAAGTCTGAAAAAACAGGAACAGGGACAAGCAATAGAGAATTTAAAAGCCTTCTTCGTAGAAGACAATGTTCCTGCAAGCTGGAACAAAGTGCAACAAACAAAAAGAACATGATCTGCATTTAAATGAATGGCCTTTCTTTTATTCAGAACCAAATTCAGCTCTGGAAAATTTGAAAAGAAGAAGATGGAGAAATAGCAGGCCTGGATTATTTTGGATTGCTATAGCCCACAACAAAAAATCCATCCACACTCACTCACTTTGTAACCATTTTCTTTTGCAAAGTTAAGGATCATCTCCCTTCTCTCTCTGGTTGTATTGGTGGCATCAAAAACCTGGAAATTTAAAGGGTAGATCCCATAGACCTTTACATCTTTCACATAAAGCATTACCAATTATCTTACAATGTTAGAAAAATGTGTTTCTCTAAGAGGGTTAAAGTTCTTTGTGATTTTATATTGTTCTGAATCTGAATTTAACCTGAACTGAGGTGCCATAGAGTAGAGTAGGTGTGGTTGTGTTAGTAGAAGATACTAAATCTCAAAGATCACACATTTTGGATTCAATATGTTGGTTAACAAGATGAACAATCTCAATATTTGAATATATGAACAAGATCTTGAAAAGGCATGGTTATAAAGAAGTACTTAAATGTAACGTGACACCCAGAAGCTAAGCTTATTATTACACTGTCATCACAGTGGTACACTGCTTTAATTTTCATAGCCTGGGAAGCTAGGCTATCAGTGGTAGCATGTGTCATACTGAAGTTCTGTCATTTTCCGTCAGGGGTCTCCTTTCTCTGACTGGATCCGGAGGTCCAACCACACTCTCAACTGCAAGTCAGAATGGTTGTAAATCCTTCCTGAAAATGTTCAGAGATTTTGCCAGATTGTCTTATTACTGGCATTTTGGCATTTTAGATCATTTTTCTAATTTTCTCATTTGTTTTTCGTTTTTTTAATAATTTAAAAATAGTTTTCCTGAATGTTTGCTAATGGAAGTTTGGAACATTTAATTATTAACCCCTGGGGCTTGTGATCAAAGTTTGAATCGCCTGAAACCGTTGCTCCCTACAGTTTTGTTTGGTCCCTTACCGCAACCTGTCCTTGGTCCTGAGTGAAGTAGGTGCAGACGTCTTTCAGTGCAGCAATGGCACAAGCCCTGCAAGGACACCACTGTGAACTGCGTGCTTCCATACTGCACATCCACACTTCACAGATGAAGAGTATATCCATTTCCCAGAGCCAATGCTTTGAGAATAGCAGTAACAAGTAAAAAGTACATAAATATACATAAAAGCTTTATGTCAAAGTTGTAACAAGAAAGGCTCCAACAAATATTTGTAAATAAAGGATCAAATGAAATTATTTTGGGAGTTCTATACAAGTTTTACACAGTGATTGTTCAGCTTTATCGGAGTTTTCGAAATAGTAAACTATATAACTATATAAACATTATAAACATTATTGCAGATGTTTTGGCACACTATTAGGAAAAAGGTATTACTGTATTTACCATAGAAAGTTAAATAACACTAATAGATGCAGATGTAAGAATTGTTACCCTGTGTACTTATATTAACCTACTCTCCCATAAGCCGAGTTTTAATAATTTAATACTGAGAAAAAAATGTGACATTTGAAAAAAATGTGAAAATTTGTGTTCTATAAACTTGAAAGAGGTCAAAGTGACAAGCAAAAAGCTTTACACAAACAGCAGTATTAACTATTTCACATATGTGGTAGCAATACTTAAGTTGCTAACTGCAGTACACAGAGGGCAATAAGAGCTGTAATATTGAGGCTGGTTTTCATACTTGCGAATCTTCATAGCTTCTTCATTGTCGGGTCTGAAGAACTCAAAGGTTTTATATGTTTGTACAGCTTCCCTGCGGTACTGTCCAACGTTAAACACTGCCAGCAAAAAGATATGAAACACAGAACTCAGGAAAAGCAGAAGTAGCCCGACATGATATATTGAACTTTTCCTTCATGTACCACTTGGGGTTATTAATAAAAGAAACAGGTGTGGTCTCAAACAATTCTTAAAAGAACCGAATACCAGATGAAATTGAAACCTTGGCCGACCTGCAAATACAATGTTTAAGGCAAATTACTTGATCATAGCTTCTAGTATCTACACATCAGAAATGTATTCTGAATGTGTGATTGGTGAAAAGTTTTTAATTTAGGACTCACAAGTAGTTCAACCAGTAAAGGTGCTGGCCTGGAGTACAGGGTGAGCCCTAGGATTCATGCACTGTGAGTTCCAGCCAGGGTCACGTCACCATTCCACTGGGACCGGGATTCCTCATGTGGAGGTGCAGCTGACTGAGTGATACCTGAGATTAGTCAGGCAGGGATCTTGGCTTGCAAGCCTGCAACATCTTTGGCTTCCCTGATTGCTTGCAGGGATGCAGTGACATCAGTGAGGAATATGCCAATCCTACATTGCAGGATTGATTGATTGTTGTGTCACTAGTTATGTCTGGAATGATCAATGGGGTTCACAGTGAACATAGTTTGATGCTGCGCTCTGCCATGCTTTGTGTATTTCTGATGTTTAATGGCAACTCAGGCCTGGGTGCAAGAACAACACCACACTTCTGTTGAATTGTAGATTATAAAAACCTCCCTTACTTAAACAGGTTTTCATTGCAGATCAAGTCTGTGACAACAGACTGACACTGACTACTGACAACACTTAGCTGTTCTTACTTCAGACTTTATCTAGTTTGTGTGCACGTTATTTGGTTAAAAGTATTGCCATTTCAGATTGTTAAAGGTCTGTTTTTTAAACACAGACATTACAGTGTGATGAAGGTCTATGTTGTTTTGTGCCAAAGGTTTCTATTCAAGGATGCATGGAAAAAACATTTTGTGGAAGCAGGAAAGGTTGAGTAGGAGTAAGAATTGAGCAGGAAATTAATTACACAGGTAGCGTGCCCCCCCTTTCTCCCATCACAGGTTATTAGGTACAAGGTGTAAAAAGAGTGTGTGGTCAGTGTTTGGGATGGTCTATGGTCCATCTCAACACTGTGTCAAAGTGATGACCAGAGATCTGTCCTCTTCAGTGTTGGTGTGATCAGCTCTGTTGGCGATTCTAACCTTTGGTAGGCACGCCGATCCAGTTGAGATAACGGGTCAGTTTCTTGGAGATGTAGGTCTTGCCTCTGGCCGGAAGTCCGACCATGACAATCAAGGTAGGGGAGTTGGTGAACTGGGGGACTGAGGCTAGAAATAAAACAAAAGAAATATGTTTACCCAGTTACCATCTTTTTCTGCTCACAGAGCAAAATAGGAAAAAAAATAAATGATAGATGCATACAAGTATCTTTTTACTGATAAAAACTCCAATAATGCATCTGAAAGGTCCAACACAGATGGTGTTGTATTTATCCTCCTTTTGGTGCTAAATTGCACTGTAAAAGTATGGACTCATCCAAAAGTATACATATACATAAGGACCTTCCATACTTCCATGACTTTGACTCTCCTGTTTCATTGTTTCCTGTTTCTCCATTCACTGCCAAGTGGCATTTTCTGCTTGGGTTTTTTAAATTATATCTACAAAAGATATGTAAATTGCCCATAAATATTCAAAGTTTCAAATCCTGTAAAGCATAACAACACAACTACTTATAATAGTAAATAATTACCATGATTTTGTGCATTTTTGTACTTTTCATTCAACAGGATTTCAAAGCACATTGCAGCAGAGGGCCACATTATCGACCACTGAGATACATCCCCACCTGGGAGATACTGTATGCCGTATACTGTACTATGTGCAAGCAGCCCCACCACACTGGATTCAAAGGCAAATTCCTGGTTCCGAGAAAAGAGCACCACCTACTAGTCCAACAACGCCACTCACATCAGCAATCCGATATTGATCTGCTTTTTTCTTTGTAGCACTCTGATAGGTACGTGACTAGAGATTAATTTGCAGAAAGTTACATAGTCTTCTCGGGTACATCCAAGATACAGACATCAAATCCATTTGGGTTCTCTTTTAGACTTTACAGAGATAATTCAGAAGTCAATTTGTTTTATTTTTGTCAGAAGACAGAAACTTATTGACCTTGGCAGCTCTCTCAGTACGCTTTCTCAACACATATCTCAGAGGTTAACAACTTCTAGGTCATGTTAGTCGAACCATGTGTGTGTACCAATGGGAACAGGTCAGTACAGGCTCTGTTTGAAAGATAAAAAGAGTCAATTTTGCCCATTTCAAAAGCTCTTCTTTTCATGCTAGGCTTTCTTTCATCTAGGTCTCACTATTTTGAGCCGTTTAATGCTCATAAAAGTTTGATAATCTAAAATAGCTTGATGTTAAAGTTTGGGGGAATCTCATGGAAAAATTAATTATAATCTTTTATAGGTATATCCTTGGGATGGTGGGGAGATATCAAACTCCTATTGTGCTGAATATTCTACCAGGATTCCCCCCAAGTATAGGCTCCAACAACCTCGCAGTCCGGTATTTGACAAAGCGGTTAGAAAATGGGTAGATGAATTTTCCTGAGTTCAGGTACTGACATGCCTCTCATTCTTCTCATCCTGTTTTAAGAATGACTCATTCCTTCACACTTTTCTTGTATGGAATTGTCTTAAAGTGTCTAATGACTCGATGTTTGAAGAAATCTACCTCTTACCCGGGACTGTTGCTCAGAAGCAGTAAGAAAAACCGATCAGGCTCTTTCAAAACTAACATTGATTATGTTTGCGGGTACATATATGACCAAACTCCAAAAACCAGACTGCCACTGGTGTGTTACCTCCCCTTATTTAAAAGACCCAAACACTTTCTAAGATGAAAAGAATTCAAGCTGGCCATGGAATACCAGAAATTGCTTGCAATGCAAACATGAGAATTTAATAAACAAGATCTTATTTTGATGAGTAAGGCCAAGTTCTGGAACACAGTTAAAGCAAATACTGACATACAGATTTTTTAAATTAAATTTAGTAAACCATGCTAAATGCTTGAACCATGCGTGACACAAAAAAGAAGAGTGAGTTACTCTGTCTTTGAAGGTTCTTTAACAGATTTTATAATGGAGGGAAACTGAATAGGAAAAACAGTTTTAATTGTAGTGTAGAGTAATTCATAACGATCATATGACCTTCATAATAGAAGGATGACAATAAGGTCTTCAAAGCTGTTTATCTCCAGTTAGGGGTTACAGCAATTTACACAAAGAGGGGACTGTGTCCGGGATAGGACACCAGTCCACTGCAGGACACATACATGTTAACTTAACCCCCACATCCCTGGGAGCTGATGGGGCAACCGGAGCCCGTGAAGAACACCTGTGCAAACACAGGGGCAAACTGGGAGTCTGGATGTGCAAACTCCCTGCAGGAAGTGCAACAGGCCAAAACTGGACCCACGATCTGTGAGACACAAACTGGACCCAAGATCTGTGAGACACAAAAGCTCTCCATCAGGACCTCATGCTCCCCACTCCCAACTCATCAAAAATAAAAGCTAAGTGATGGAACTTACAAACTTGTGCTGATATACAGCTGAAAAACCTAAATCAGTGACTGGTAGCATAAGTACATAATGTGGAATAGCAGTATTAGGGTGATCACAAATAAGAATTGTACAATATTATAATACAGCATCACCTTAAAAAGTGGATAGTCTGCATACATTCACACCCCTTATTTAGTGGCTTTTTGATTGATATGCACATTTTTAATATACTGGATCACTGGGCTTTATTGGACTCCAATTAATTAGACTGTTATATATATATATCCAAGTGATATATGTAATATAGAGTATTGTACTTTTCTAAAGGATTATATATTCTACTAATAGTACTAAATGTGTATAGAAAGATGAGCAATCATGAAGCAATCATGAAAAAAAGCATTCTGTAAATGCAAGGAATTATTATTAAAAAAAGAAACACAAATCAAAGGAAAATAAACAGTTAATAAAGGCTCACTTACAGCCTCTCCTCCTCTGAAGCTTGGTGCACATCCAAGGCACCCAGATCTTCTGGAGAGGCGTCTGAGTTAACTCTGCCGTCTGCTGAGACATTTCCCCCCAAAGCAAAACGCGCCTCTTAGCAGCCGCACGGGCACAAGGCTTTTATCTGACAGGACAGGCTTCTGTCTGTGCGACAGTGGCAGACTGCACTGGTGTTACCATGCCTCTGTCACCTGACAGGGCAGAGGGAGAGAGGCCGTGATGGGGAGGGTGCCAGAGTTCGCGTGACACGGTATCTGCGGAGTTCACTTAAAGCGCCAGCCACAGAAATGCCTCCCCCCCCCCACAGTAAAATAGTGTTTACCTCCCTGCGGACCAACGCAAACACCTCGCCAATGGCTCGCACCTGTCATACTGTAGGACGTCTCCCCGAGTTCAAAATGATGCAAATCTTGCCTGCAAATGAGATCGGGTTGCGTAAATTTACTGTTTGAAAGCCCGGTAAAAACGGATCATTTTTTAACCGCAGCGCAGTTCACGGAGTCACAGAAGAAAACCAAAGACATCTCAACAGCGTTGCGATATACATTAGCGGTTTCTTTGCTTTATACACATTTGACATTTTGATTCTCCTTACAAACGTCGCTACATTGTCTTAGAATCCTTAGTGATTAATTCATAATTACATTGTGTTTTCTTAATGCCCCGGCTGGACTAATGGTGTACATTAAAACAGTGATTTCAGTTGAGCTCCAAATCTCTGCTGTTGATTGATTACTTTCACTTAACTTGTTTAGATATTTGGTTAACTTGTTTCTGTTCTCAGTCCATAGTTTCTACAATACCCCACTTCGGGGGTGCTATTTCTAATACCAACATACTCAACTTTAGCAGCGTTTCCACATCGTTTACTCTTATTTCCTTATTTCTGACTATACAACTCTTAATAGATCATTTATGATGAATTTACTTGCGTGCCACAAAAAGCTTTTTGGTTCCTTTTGTAGAAATCCAATTGGGTACGTTTAGGCAACATAACTGAAAGTTGGCATTTCTGAAACTTAGAAATTGATAAAAGGTTGGAAAAACTATTTCAAATCCCATTCGACCTTTTAAAAGATGAAACTAAATTCCACCTCAATTTAACTTGTCTCTATATGAGAAAAGTTAGAAAAGTTGAAATTGAATTTTATGTTCCCTTTGCAATACAATAAACTATGAAATTATCACAGAACACATAAGTATAACACAAAACGTTTCCTGTTCGAAGTCCACTGGGCTTCGGAAATAAACCAAGCACAGAATTAATATAATTCTTCTGGATTACCACAAGGGGGCAGGGAAACGTTTTTAATTGATTTTTAAAACTCAAACTCGACCTGGGAATTCATGTACGGAACAGTTTTAATGAAAACAGCGTCAATGAATTGTTATTGGTGCTAATGTGTATGAGTGCGTTTATTATTCCCTATTTTCTTATCACAGCATTTTCTGTTAAATATTTCATTGGGCAGTTTGGGACTAGTACACAGACGTAGAGCTACGGGAAATGGAATGGAGTTAAAAACAGCAGTGGCTTTAGTTAACCATGTGGGCTGAGACTGATGACAAGGCAATTTAGTTGTATACAGCTGAGGACCTCACTGTCTTCTGGGATACTCTACCTGTTGACACTGCCTAGTCAACTGTAGCACATTCCACCTCAAAGAGAGTGAGGGCAATTACAGCCACAAAATAAGCACATGTCATGTAAAGTTGTTGCATATGGGGCCAAAGTTTGCATGTATGAATTTGGCACTAAAGTTCTACAACCCCAAGCACCTAGCTAGCATTACACAGGAACTACCATGTATGCCCAACCTGAAAACCATGCCACACAAAAAAAAACTGACAGGGCAAAGAAATACCCACCCTTAAAGAAAGTAAAATGGCAACTGTATCTTAACCAAGAAAAACTAAGTGCTCAGATCAAACGTGTTCTACATACTTACACGATATCCGTTTACAGTTCTAGGTTACCAGCAAATTCCATTATCACTAAGATAGTAATACTATCATTAAGATGGCAGGGTTCATTGTGTTTGTTTTTTATTTATTTTAAAATACTGTTAAGAAAAACAGAACAGAAGAACTTCTTTTTGTTTCAGCTGAAAAACAGTAGCAGATGAGCGACAATCCACAAACAAGATTTGAGAAGTGAAGGGAGAAAGCTTTCTGAACTTTGCTCTCTTCCTGTCCTCACTTCCCATAGTGGAGCACAGCCTTGTGAAGGACAGTTTGCCACCCACAATCCTGCAGAAATTAAGTTGAAAGGATGTCCACATTTCCTGCCTTATTATATTCATATTCTATTAAAGACGATGCTGCAAGAAATGTATTAAAAACTCAGGAGTTAACAGCCTTCCAACAAATCAATAATGCTTATTTTCAGTAGCAGTACAAGATCATCAGGCTGAAGTGCCATGCTTTAAAAGTGTATACATAATCATGAAATGTGCAACTATGATGAACGCAGGAATGTCAGCAAAGATCCTGTACGTAAACACTGTTAAAATAAACCCAATAAGTGACAAGCTCAAAGTGTAAACATTTTTAAATTGTATTAGGGAAAATATTTGCGGATCATTTTTCCAGTGGTACCCAAGAAATCAACCCCCATCCTGTTGCCTTGAATTTGCTGGTATGTTATCATAATCTTGATGTAATTTATTCAGTACTTTTAGATACTGTCCGTTCTTGTAGTTTAAATTTAATGTCGGGTAGGGCACTAAAATACTGGGTATCTTAGGTCTCATTTAAATTAAAGCCTTTTTTACACTCGGGGGAAAAATATATATTTATTTCTGTAAACTAGCCCAATTTGTAAGTAGCTGTAGCATGTTATTACAAGAAGGTAAAGGGAAAACATTATTGTGACATGAACTGAATATATATCTGCCTAACAGTCTAATTTAATTGGTGTAAGTTGTGGAACTTATTCCAACAAGAAATCAAGAATTAATCCTCATGCCAAGCAAATTATTTAATTCACTGAACAGTGAAATTTAAAATATAAATCCAACCATGAAACACCCATTCCTTTCAAATGTCAGTGGAGTCATATGAAGAGTCATTAGACATCAATTTAATTTAACACTACAGCTCCAGCTATAATCTGTAAATGCTTCACAGACTTTCACTAGTCTCTCCTAGCCCAGGAATAGTTTCTTATGCTCAACAACAAGTAGTCAAATCTCCCTATTTACAACTGGATGACACATTTCTAAAAATAAGAAAATGTATGCCTAGGTTACCTTGGGCTTCTGAAAAGAAGCATTATCGTTAAAAGTTAAATTTCAAACCAAAATTTAGGCTGCATCATGAAATGTTGTATCTAATCACACCTTCCAACTCTACAGTGTGTCTGTGACTTGAAAGTTGTGTGTGTGGGGGGTGTATATTGACTATTGAGGCCTCTGTATGGGTACAGGGGTCTTATCTTATTGATCTGTTGCATTCCAGGAGTAGTGTTTTTTCTTAGCTGAAAGAATCCAACCCCCATGTATCACTTGTCAGATAATGCCTGTCCCTTCTGCACTGTGGTGACAGACATACTGTAATTACTGAACAAGCACTCTCCATGTCTGAACAGAAAAGGAACTTAGATGTAAGAATACAGAAACTGCGCAACAGAAGCTATGTTCTTAGATCACAATCTTAGATGGAACAATTAGTTTTTTAAACAATTCAATCAACGACAAAATATAGTTATGTGCAACACCTCATTTAAGAAAGTGTAGAAAACAGTGCATGTATACACTACTTTCTTTACATTTACATAATTAAAATGGTGATCTAACATTATGTTTAGAATGGAGGTAAAAATAATTACAAAATAATTTATTGATTCATACAGGAATCTTCAATCCCAAAGGAGCCCAAAGCACTTTACATATACAGTATATTGAAGTACAAGACACACTTGATATCCAGGGAGGTGCCCAGCAGACCCACTTGATATCCAATATTTTGTTAAATCATTGCCAGACTTCCAGACTAACATTCCGATTTTCATGGCCATGTACCCACATCATGCCCAGTTAGAATCACTCAGAAACATGTTGTTTACAACTGCAAAACGGTGTACAAAGTTCAAGAGGATTTACATCTTAAGAGATCTGCATTCTCTAAAAATAGCGCCTTGGCTACATTGTTATGGTCCACAAAACCATGCCCTGTTTCTAGGTCAGTCTCCACTACTGTGCTGCAGTAAACAATAAGATCACTTTTTTAGCCACATACAATTTCTTGCATTAGGAATTTGTCTTTTCACAGACCCCAGCTTGCTCTCCATGAGACACACAGGCACACAGACGGGGAGAGAGAAGCTTGGGGTCAGAGCACAAGTCAGCCATTTATACACCACCCCTGGAGCAACTGGGGTTAAGGGCCTTGCTCAGGGGCCCAACGGAGTAGGATTCCTCTGCCGGCCGCTGGATTTGAACTGGCAACCATCCTGCCACAGACACAGATCCTTAGCCACAGAGCCACCGCTCCACCCTAAGCAATGTTTTTGTTTAAAAATGACTCAAACAGAGACATCTGCAAATAAACTGTTCTGGCAAGACAACCATCGACACAGCACGTGCTCATGTTCTCAGACCACTGGGACCTGAGAAAGTTTACCAGAGCTGAATAAAGTCGATCTGGGCCACCAAAGAGTCACATATTCCTTTGAGAAAATGTTTATAACAAGCACATTTTTTTCAGAAGTGCATAAAACCCAAATCTCCAGAGAAGATAAGCAGTACATAAAACCATCACACATTCATTTTTACCCATTTTTATTGCATACCTTTGCTGACATGCAATGCCAAAACTGAATCTAACAATCGCCGTAATATTTCAACTGGCACATGCTCCTGTTCACTCACCGTTTGGTTACTATTTAAACATTTAACCACTTCTAGTTCACTTCTTCTATCTGAAAAACTTGTCCAATTAGGCTTTTCATTATTATTCTCCTCATATGCAATTTTCTTCTGCGGTCTACTAGAAAGTCTGAATGCATTTTCAAATAAGAAACTTATTGCATCCGCATTTTAGCTACTTTTCTGAATTAGAACCTCTGTAGCACTACATTTAGCTTTACCTGCTCAGTGGAACTGTGATTTATTTTAAATCACGAAAAGATTTGCACTTCTTTTTGCAATATTGTCAATTTATATATATGGGTATCATTTTTAAAATAATTAGATGCAAACAGCTTGAAGAGAGTTTGTGA